CCAATTTTTCAATATTCTAGAAAAAAGTAAAAGAAAAACCTTGCTTCATCATTCTAGCTCCTTTTGTAGTATGGATTGCTTCTCTATGCTCCGTAGTAGTAGTACATGTCCGATAGGGGTCAATGGACGAATACCAGAGATAAGCTAATAGTTTCAGATGTTTACGTCTTATCTCCAAGACGGAGTACTCTGCTCCTCCTCACGCTAATCCTCAATATCCCTCATGGATGCATGAATCGTTCCCAAAGATGTGAACTCGATCTCCGCCACCTCCTCTTTTTCCCCCATTCCTAACTGTCGGTCTACCCGGTGGAAAAGGTGGGGTTATACTCCGGCCCTCCAACCGGAAATGTCACTTGTCGCCATCTCGAGGGTCGATCATTGATGGTTTATCGCGGTTAATGAGTTGACTATCGATCACTTAAACTGACTCGGTGTTTAGGAATAACCAGCCATCCCGAGTGGCAAACGATCTCTTGTTTCAAATGTCAATGCATCTTTTGGGTCAACGATGCCGCCGAGTCCACCGTACCGAACTTCCCTCATTGCCTGCCTTACCACAGTATTCCGTACGATGCAGTTACTGTGCAGCTCGCCTTGAGTTTCCCCCTTACTGCTTATTTTCCAGATGCTAACTTGCTTGACTCACCTCTCGACTTGCATTCTAGAAGGGCCCGGCAACTGGGTGGCATAGGCTGAAACAATGTGCGGCCTCGTTGGCGGCAGTGCTGCTTTACAGCGAATCGCTGACGCATACAGCCGCATCTCCATGTTGCACGAGAAGGAAACAAACATATTGTTACTTAAACGATTCACCAGCTCCTTGTTGTCTTTCTGTCAGGAGGTATGGCTGGAGTAATGTAGTTGGGTAAGCTTAGCCCTAACAGCCATAGGGCATACACCGCCCTTCGTATTATAGTAATCCCTGAAAGCCCAAACGGACTGGCCGAAACGCCATTCTATTTATTGATTTATCTTATTTTTCTTGGTTGCTCCCCCATCTGGTTATAGCTGTTGCTCAGCATGGCCGTAAACTGTTCAAAGTTACACCAGGTCACTGCGGATGTACGCTTCAAGCGCGAGAGTCGAAGTTTCGGTTAGACGGTAAGATCAGCCGGCCACCATTCTCCTGCCGCATTCAGGGTGGCTTAAGCAACAGGCGCACCTCCGAAAACTTGTCTTCAGCTTGTCGGAGATATTTTCGTAGTGGGCATTGATGATCTAATAAAAAAGAGACAAATGAATATTCTGATGCCAAGCGCCGAATTCCTCGAATATAATCAATAAGATAATGCAACGATGTTGTTCCCCTTCTCCCTTACCGTTAGAGTTACGGTTATCTACCAGGAGTTATTGGGAAAAGATCTCCACGAATTGTGCCTGGGTCAAGAAGAACCAGCTCTCCCTTCTTCACCCGTAATGACCTGTCAATCAAATCTCATATCTTCCCGGTCGGCCAAGGGAGGATCGTGCATCTGAGGCTACTTGGACGCAGTCAGTAGGCCGGTCACCTGCAAGCTGCAGCGTGGTGTCAGCGATCTACAGCATGCAGCATTCTTTTGTCACCAGAAGAGCGCCGAGGGCTTCCATAGGCCCACCGCGTTGAGGTTCTCCAGCCTCTTGAAATGGAGGGTTGACGATGGGTGGAAACTCTACTCGGAAAGCAGCAGCTTTGGTCGGGTTACCATTGCGCTTCCCCCTCCATCGAGTTGCATTTGATGAGAAAATGCGGAGCCCTCCTACCATCCGGGGCACACCGATGGTGAGGAGGGGTTCGAGAATATCCTTTCGACCGTCAATCCTGACATGTGAATCGCGAATAAAAGCAGGTCATCGACGGTCGGTACGTCAGAGACTATGTCCGTGCATGCCTTATCGTGATGGTGAATCATCCGGCATGTTGCCTGGAGGCTTGATGAGAATGTTCCGATCCCAACCAAAGCGCACTGCTCCCTACATAGACCTGGTTTGCATGGGCAAATGACCTGACCGAACCGAATTCTCCCTTCAGCACGTAGGCAACCAGGACCAATTCTGGATATTACCATCGGGGATGGCTGCAAGTAAAAAAGATGACGTTTCCCAAAAGGGAGGGAGGGACAAATCCAATGACATCATGCGGCAGGCACCTAAGCCCACAGCCCACCTCCGATCTCTAATAGTTGCCAAGAGAGACCACTCAGTTTAGGGCTCCCGTGGTCGAAGTAATTGGCCGTCCCCACGTGGCGCCGTGACGGTAGTCTGATTCATGCCTCAGGCAGATATTGACACACGTGACTTAACTCACCCGGGTGCGGAGAAACTGGGGTTCCGCTCATCACCGGCGCGCTCCCGGAAGGGCACGCCCAAGGGCATCCTTCATCCCGTACATTCTGTTTTTGGCTGTCGTTCCCCACTCCGAACAGCTGCTGTTGCGATGGCGAGGAAGCTTAGAGCGGCTGCACAGGCAGCACAACAGTCGCTGAGTATGTTCATCTCACTTCCCTTGGTCTTTTTGTCCCGTGCCCCAATCCTACAAAAATCGCACTCACAGGCGCGTCCACTAACAGCTCCACAGGGAATGCTCCTCCTCCGCTCCCCGATGCCTCCGATGAGGAAATGGCTGAAGCGCCTCCGTCGCGCGGGTCTTCACCCGCCATAGAAGACCCAGGTGATGCGTCCGACAAGGATCCCGATGTTGTCCCCGAACCCGACCCGCCACAGGAAGACGAGCCTGCCGCCGTCACCAATCCTCCATCGCGCGGCGACACTCCGACCCGTGGCCGTGTGTCCGCCATTCCACGAAAACGACGTATTGGCCGTCCCCCGAAGAACCGCCCCCCAGACTGGGATCTGCCTGACGATGGTACGGCGCCGCCGCCGATTCATGTAAGCACGCCGGTGAAGAGGAGACGCGGTCGCCCTGCAGCTAGTGGCGGACGATGGGCTCGGAATCGGGGGCCGTCGCATGTGACCCAGGTGCCGATTGATAAGGAAGGGAATATGATGGACGTCATTGATGATGAAGTGGCCCTGCCAGATGATCCTGAGGGTGAGACCAAAGTCGACAAGAACGGCGTTCTGAAGGGCGACCGAGAGTATCGAGTTCGTACGTTCACGATCCTTAATCGTGGCGAGAAGCATTACATGTTGTCGACAGAGCCAGCTCGATGTATCGGGTTCAGGGACTCCTACCTGTTCTTTCAGAAACACAAGCTTCTTTACAAGATTATCATTGATGACGACGCTAAGCGTGATCTCATTGAAAGAGAGATCATCCCTCATTCCTATAAGGGTCGGGCCATTGGTGTGGTGACCGCTCGGTCCGTGTTTAGGGAATTTGGCGCCAAAATCATCGTTGGTGGCAGGAAGGTCATTGATGACTACAACATCAAGGCAGCCAGAGAGCGGGGTGATGTGGAAGGTGAACTCGCAGTACCAGAGGATAAACTTCCCCCTCCGGGAGAGCCATACAACAAGAATCAGTACGTAGCATGGCACGGAGCTAGTAGCGTCTATCACACACAGGCACCATCGGTTCCTCTGCCTACTGGCAAGGCCGTCGATTCTAAGAAGCGGAAAGTGACTGTCACTGGTGATAACTGGATGCTCGAACATGCCCGAGAAGCTAGGTAAGTAACGCCTTCAGAATGGCAAGGCTTTATTGACCTACCAGTATGCTAATCATCCGATAGCCATTACAATTCATTACTTTCGAACGTACGTCGCGAAAACCTCGGTGGTGTATACGATATTCATACGAATGCTATGCAATACCCCAAAATCATGCAGCCCTCACACGCTCGTTGGGAGCGTCTACCGCCTCCGGATCCTCGAGTAGCGACTAAGTTGACTAAGGAGATGTCGACATTGAGTCTCACCAACGGAGTTGAAGAGGAGGAACCGACTACTACTACTACTACTACTACTACTGAAAGTGACGCGCAAGAGGAGAAGACCAACGAGGAAACGAGCAACGAGTCTATATTCTCAACGATTCCGTATGCCTTTTCTCGTCGTTTCGCCATTCATGATGTTCATTACGAAACTCCACCATATTCCAATATGGGCATTCCTGGGCCTGATGGTGACGTGCATGACCTCGGCTCAAATGGTATCATCAGCACTGCCAACCTATCCTATCCTGAATTTGTGAGTCCCGAAATCCTGGCAGAGCTACCCGCAGACTGCAAGGAGGCTCTTGTCGAGGCCGCTGCGCGCGAGTGGGAATGGAAGTCCAAATGGCACAGTGAGGTGGGTGACGGTGCTCGCACAACTCCGCTCAAGAGCTATGCCTGGTTTCCTTGACCTGGTCGTGTTCTTGCTGTTTAATTTCTTTCTATGTATGACACATTGTGCTTGGTTTGGGCCCGGTTTTTATGGATGGCATGAGAAAATGGGAGTTCTTCTGCGTTTGCTTCGGCGGTGTATTATGTTCCAATGTTTCTTTAATTAATGTCTCTTCACCGATATCTTAGAGACAGCGGCAGGCAGATTTGCCTTTATATGGATGTCATGTCGATGGCAGATTAGACAATTCAATCGATATTTCTAAGTGGCACGGGATGGTCTTCTCTATCCATTGTTATGGGGCTAGAAACATCTCTGACCTAGATTGACTAAAGTCCAAGGATTATATTGGGTTAGCACAGGCAGCCCATTCTGGAAAACTGGTGGTCGATTATTGATCGTTGGCTAAAGACGAAGGTATCTAGTGAATAGACACTAAGTTGAGTGTTATCATTGCTGATTAATCTCTCACAAAAGAGAGTACTTTACTCGTGATTCTCACGGTGCATGTCTGTGATGGATTGCAAATTTATATCTATTTTCTTTTTTTTTAGAGTTCTCTACGCTATTCGGTCAAAAACTATGTACCTATCTTGGTCTTTCAAGTATTAATCATGATGGACTTCGTAATTCAATTAACCGACGCTTAATGATTGTATCGAATAGAATGGGCTAGCAAAGTAGGAAAAGAAGACAACTTGGGAAAGAAAGAGCAAGATAAATGACGTGGTTTATCCCATGGCCATCTCTGCGCGCAGCTTCTCCAGTTCTGCCTCCTCGTCTTCTTCCTCTTGTACCTTTGATTTGCCTTTGGCTGTAATCCAAAACCAGGTTAGACGCTTTTCTGCATGTTACATTCATTTCAGGTCGATATGACTTACGTTCGCCGTTGGCTGCGGCTGGTAACCGATTGAGTTGATCTGCAACCGGTACTGTCCCTGTGTGAAGCATCCGCTCGTCCATCGCCTCCTGTTCCAGACCTTCGAGCTCGGCCTCCAGCTCGGTCTCGTCTGCCTGCTCGCCAATCTGGGTGTTTGTGATAGCCTGTGCGATTTCCTCGCTGAGTTGGTGTTGCTCGCGGAGTTGGTCCCTGTGTCCCCGTCAGCGGCGTGGGTCCCCCAAAGAGCCATAGGAGAAGGGTAGATCCTATAGTGAAACACGCACATCGTCTCATCAACCTTATCAATAGTCAAGTTACCGTGAATCCGCTTCATTGCCGCGCCAGCCTGCTCCATCGCGTTCAGAGTCTCCTGGTTGATATTCGCTGCCTCGATCGAATATATCTGTTGTTCTAGCTGGATGATCTGCGCCGTCGTCTGTTCGAGGTTCTTCTCGTGCACCTTCTTGCGTCGCAGGGCAGACTTGGCCGCTTGACGATATCAGTCTCGTTCACTCCGGTAACGGGGAACAGAATGCAGCGATAAGGAAAAAAGGAATCCGCATACCGTTCTTATTTGTCGTCACGTTCTTCCTGGCCACGGCATCCTGCTCCTCCATCAGGTTCTCCAGATGCTTCTCGCGCTTCTGCAGCATATCAAGCTGCTCCCGGAGCTTGAGGATCGCATCCTTAGGCGCATCCTTCCGCTTCTGGGCTGCCGAGCCGCCAAACCATGACCACATCTTGATAAGCGGTTTTTGGGGGTATGCTGTGCTTCTTCTCCCAGTTCCAATTCTTGAAATGTATATTTATAGGTAGGGTATTCACTATCCAAGTCCGTATGGTCCTCGACGCTCGGGATTAGAAATCGGTAGAAAGTGGTGGAGTCAGGCAGGGGAGATAATAGGCAGAGAGAGAGAGGGGCGGCGGTGGTCGAGTCCGGGTGGTGTCGTAGGCTGTCGCGAAATGCAATATCGGGGACAATCGATCTCCAACAAAACAACGAATAGGTCTAGAGGGGTTGTTGCTCAGCGCGGAACAAATCAAGGCAACAATATTAGAGAACGATTAGGAATTCACGATGGCGGATGAGATCCGTTTTCCCCCTCCGTTGACCCTATGACATACGCGCTAAGCCTATCGGAGATGGTAGGTCACGTGGGATAGTTCGATTCCCGGATTCTGTTTTGGGTTTAGTCTATCTTTTGGGGACTGAGGCATCTACGGAGTACATCCTCTGGACTTTCCTCCAGGTTGCGACGGCGTTTGATTCGGGGATTATGTCCGTTACGTTCCTATGAATTGAGGCATGAATGGCCCTCCTCCTTCCACGAGAGCTTTTCTCTCTAGTGTTCCTTCTCTCCCTCTTGGTTTGAAGGTTCGGTTTCTTGGTTGGTGCGTAGATTGCCAATGCTGGGGATATCTATCCCAGATCGTACATGCATAATATAAACGCTAACCCCGCGGCTAACGATAGCGTAAAGACTTACAATGTCGCTACAGGCCACCTAATACTAGAACATAATTACCCCCGCTGTAAACCAGCCCAGGAACCGCCCTGCATCCCCGTCGATGTCAATGCCGTTCTGCAAACGGTGACGGCGGACGAGCTGCGGGTTGGGGCGTGGGTGAACGTGCTCGGGTACGTGAGAAGAGAAGAGTCCTCAGTCTACGTGGAGGCAGTTATGGTCTTCCGAGCCGGAGCAATTGCAGTGGGAGAGTACGAGAGGATTCTGCATCATTCTCTGGAAGTGGATCGAAGGGTGCAGAGACCTGGATGATATCTTCCTCCCATCGACAGGAGTATGCAAGGCAGGATGATGCTGACTTTTATCTAAATTGAACACACTATTCATTATGGTTATCTTGAACACATGCTTTCGCTGCCGTACATGCGAGATTGTATATGCGCTTTGAAATCAAACCGAACGCCAAACGGGGGAATCACTCGAACTTTTGGTGGAATTATTGTCGATGCAGAATATGCTGTTTTCTTTTTGTGTTGCTCTCTTCATGATTTCTCGGTGCGCAGGTGCTGATGCAGTTTAAACCTCCACCTTCTCCTTCTCGGTTGCCTCTGCGTTCGCTTTCGCCTCTAGTCGTTGTTGGAGACGCATTCGCTTCCCCTCCAATCTCTTCTTATCCTCCTGCATCTGCACAATCAAGGCACTCTTCCTCCGGATCTTGTATCCATACTTGTAGAACACAATCGGAATCGGAATAATAGCAACCTCAAGCAGCCCAAGCAACGTCCCAGACCAATTAGGCCCAATCCCAGCATAGAGATACGTACCCACCAAGGGCAAAACACCGCCCAGGATACTACGAATGACAGAATTTCCCGCCATGGCGGATGCAGCGTACACTCCATAACTATACGACAGATAATTCGACGCATAGATGAACACGCCCGTGTTCCCAGCACCGAATGGAACTCCGGCGAGGATGGGCACGATCCAGTGGATGGATGCCGGGGCGCACGTCCATGCGAACCAGAGTTCACCGGCGGGGATTAAGATGGCGGAAATGCATACGATCGAGACCATGGCTTCTGGGGGAACTTTCCCCGTCTCGGGGTCGATTGCGTGGTTGTTGATCATGCGGCGGATTAGGGGTTCGCAGGCGATGGTTATGAGGCAGCCAATGCCGATGCCCAGGAAGGCGAGGCCTGAGAGTCCGAGGGACCAGCCGCGAATGTCGCGGAAGACGATGGGATAGGCGGTGAAGCAGAGGTACAGGATGCCGTAGACGATGGCGATGTAGATGTTCCAGAATATGCTGGTGTGGGGTGTTAGTTCTGTGGGCCTGCGAGGTGTGATGTGAATATGAGAAATCTTACCAGATAGGCTCGGTGACAGCCATGACGAAAGGCCGGCCCAGATTCACTTTCAGGATCTCGCCTAGACTAGCCTTTTGGTCGTATCGGCTCCAGTAGGGGTCACCGGTCTCTTTACGCATGCGGGCAGCTTTCTTCTGGAGTATCATGGGACCGTATGTCTCTTTCATTATCAATGAAAATACTAGAGCGACGCCGGATAGCATCAGCGCGATCCAGTCCATCCAACGCCAGCCGAGATATTGTGTGACAAAGCCTCCAATAATGGGACCCAAGACTGAGAGGTGGTTAGCTATGAGCCATATTGAATAGGATGGCATGTAGATACGCACCTGGGCCGTTTACGGGGCCGATACTCCAAATCGACATGGCGAGAGCTCGCTCTTCATCATTGACTAGATCTGACACCATTCCTGGCGCAGTTGAAATCATGACACTACCAAAGAAAGCCCCAATGAATCGTACAACGATGAGAGTAGCTACGGACTCCGCGCGTGCACAGGGTATGATCAAGACCATGAAAACAAACAAGCAACCCACAGATACGGGCTTTCGACCGTACACTTCACTCAAGGGTGCCATAAACATAGATCCAACAGCAAGACCGATGAGGTATAGAGTAAGGCCTAAGGTAACAATGGTGCTTGAAGTCCCAAACTCGGCCGCGATGTCTGCGACGCCAGAGGTATATGAGGTGGAGTACAAGACACTGGTTACCGTTAGGCACGTTTCCTTCTCACGATCAGAAACATAAATTGGCCGAACGACTTACACAACCAGAGTGTTCCAGGACAGAAACGCAATTCCCATCCCTTTGTACCTGAGTGACCAGTTCTTGGGGTTCATCTGATCATGTTCATCCTCAAAGTCGACTTCATACCTCGGGTCCGACGTTGCGTTAGTGCCGATTGTGGTGGTCTTTCTGGCCAAAGACCCCGACTGTCGCGAAGCTTGTGTGACAATTTGTTGTAGTTCTTCGGTATCCTCTGTCGACGTAGACTCAGCAAGAGAATTAGTATCTGCCGGCGAAGCCTCCTCCTGGTTGTGTTGGGGCCATTTCTCGGCAGGGTGATGCTGAGAGGAAGACATCCTGCCTGAGAATGTCCGTGATAGAAAGTTGAAATCTTTGGAGCCCTATCCAATGATTCACACAGGCCAGATTCCTGTTCTATATGGTTTTCCGCTGGAAAAATCGAGACGCAGGGTATCAGGCGGGGATCTCGATAAGGCACATTAAACTCTTACAGATGGACAAGAACATGGATTAAAGATTAAGAAAATTAAAAATAAAAAAAAAAAAAAATTTGGCCTTTGTACAAGCCTGAGAGCTATGACCGTCCTTCGTAGCGAATTTTTAGTAGAGCAAATAGTTTCACCTGGTTGAATGGCGATCTTTAGGACAGCCTGTAACGAAGTAATAGAAGTAAAACACAACACACTTTCAAGAAAATAGGACCAAAAATGTCTAGACAGGGAAGGATTCGCAGCTTTATTTTCCACTGTAACGATTAGCGCCTTTGTCCCTTAATAATTATCTGGGTAGATGTGGGGCTTAGAGGCAAGTGCAGTTTACTTAGTATATGGAGATAAGGCGCTGATACATTTCTTTAGGGCACGGGGAAATGTGATCTATGCTAAATGTGGTACGACATACCAAGAGTATCGTACATAAGGAACTCACAGTCCCAGACGCCAAGAAGATACGCCATCATGTTAACGTTGTCTGCTCGGGTATCTCATTCTCTTGCCGGCCAGAGTCCGAGGTCGAGCAATCGCCTCCACATGTCCTATACATAGGCTTTCGGAGAAACGACCGATCTCTTACCGCAAGAGATCGACCTATCCAAGCAGACCTATGCATCTTTCGTCTTCAAAACTTGGTAGGTGCTGGCAACCCATGCTGACGCTGTATCATGTGTTGTGGAACGAATCCCGGGCCCCATCAAGGAGCGGTTTGTTTCCGAGGTCATTCCGAGCATGGCAGTTTAGCGCCGTTAACAACATAATCATGAGTGTTTCCGGTCAATTGTAGGTTCTATATCTTGTCTGGCCCACTGACCTTTAGTTGGTGTTCTTCAACGCTCAGCTTAAGCTCATTTACCCCATATCCCCGTACTCCAGATGGGGGAGGAGTCCATACAGCCCTAGTCAGTGGATAGTGAATGAATGGGTCAATCAATCAGTGATGAATATGCCAAGGTTAGGTCGACTCCACCAGGACGTTAGCCGAAGAATGACTCATCAATTGGAGGTCGTTTGTACGTATCAAACACCACAACACCCGTTGTGATGGGGAGTTTTTGCCCAGTGAGCTTTGAGCGTCAGTTCCGGTTTACCGCTCGTGCCGGTTTGCCGATCACAGGGACAAAGCCAAGAGATGAAACGCAGCTGAAAGGGAAAGGAATGGAGGCGATCGTGGTCAGAGTGAAGGTCTGGATCCATTGGGTATCCATGCGGGAAATGGGGGCTTTCGGCTATTAGTTCCGGAGACACGAGGGCGATAAGTAACTAGTACTAAACTCTCTGGTGGTAATTGACAGGTACAATACTGCTATCAGCATCGAGAGAAGGTAGCGCTCTAAATATAATCTTCATGAAAGAGCGGAGACTTGCCCTGGAAGCTGATGGTTACTGAACTCAGGTGCCCTGAGAAAATGATAAAGGTGCCCCGGCAATGTGCACAGACTACGATGGATTACAAGTGAATGAATAAATGAAACTCTGGAAATGTATGAGGTGCCCTGGGGGTAATAAAGACCTCTGACTCCCTAGAATGTATCTATCTACTTAGGGTTTGGAGACTTCCTTGCCTTCTGGCAGCAGAAGTTTAAATAAGCTATGCCGTTTTAATTTACTGATCACGTCTGCAGTATCACGTGGGACCCTTCTTAAAGCGGCAACGGCTGAGTTAAAGCGGACTTGGAGTGCAGAAAATCAATCTTTCATAGTTCTAAAAAACACCATAGATAGTCAACGATACTGAGTATGTTAGGGGCACGATCCATTTTATGATATTATTGACTGTATATGCATGTTATCGGACTATGCATGGTTAATTGGATTATCCAATGAGATCCCTGCCTTTACGCAAATCGTCTGGTTGTCTTCAACCTGGCGATCCACTTAGTCCATCCAAAGAATGAACTTGAGGCTTCGAAGGCCTGCGATCACTGTCGTGCATCTAAGAAGCGATGCCGTCCACCATTGCCGTGTCAGAACTGTGTTTCCGCTGGGGTACGATGTGTAGTTCGAGAGAAGGCAAGGTACGGTATTTCTAGATATGGTTCCTTTCCCTCCCGTTTATCTCCAAATCCCTGCATAGACTTTCGTACTTTCTTTGCTCCATTTTGTACATATCTAATCTAGAACATAGGCCATCACGGAGGCGTAAGCCCCGGGCGACGGACGAAGTCCTGTCCAACAGCTATACAGAGCCGCGAGCCGCGAAGTCAAGTAGTAGCAGAGAGCTTACACCAATCTCAAAGACTGATCCTGCAGACTATGTCAAGGAACTAGTTTTCAACTACATCTACTCAACATATGGTGGGTCTTCATCTTTTCACGCCAGAGGCCCATGACTAAATGGTCGCGTAGATGTCGTCCTGAAATGCACCCTTGAAGAGCCGACAGCACTCCCAGATGATAGCCAACGCAGCGTGGGCTTCAATTCCCAAGAGTCCATCTGCGTCGATGCTTCAACCATACGTCAGCTCCTCTCAGTATCAGCAGCGGAGTTTGTCGCGCGACTCTCGCCCGTGGAAGCATCATACATAGAAAAGCTGGCCCGTGACATACTATCCCAAATTCCTTGCCACAAGAAATACATGCCGATTCAAGACCTCATCAACCTGAACATACCCCCCGATCGACTTGGTCTTTTTCTATCCGCATTAGCGCTTTGTTGCGTATATCCTAAACAGATCGATGGCAATGCTTCCGCATATTTCTTGGGTTCTCGCTACCTACTCAGTTATTGTTCTGTGAAACCGTCACTGGACCTTTGCATCGCATACTATTTGCAACATCTGTATCTCCTAAAAACAGGACCAGATAACCAGGACATAACCTCCCTAACCATGGCCATCCGCACAGCTCATGATCTAAAGGTCAACGAAAGGGGGTCGCCCGATAGTTGCACGCTATCTGCGAAATTGTACCTGTTTTTATATTTCTACGACCAGTGAGTACCCTTCCACCCCCGTCCGTATCTACATTCATAACCCGAAGATAATCCGCCACTCACCAACACCAGATGTTGCGCCATGAGCAACAACACCCCCCCTCTTATCAAAACCACCGACTACAAAGCCAACGTCTTCGACTATGTCTTGGAAGAAGAGCCCGATTTCCGGCCTTTATTGGACATCCTCGTAGCCAACGGCCAAGTCCTCGAAGCCCTGTACGGGAAGCCCTGCGATCACAGCAACATATACCACCTCGAGGAACTCCTCGGCTGCGTTTCCAAATCGGCCCGCAAACCCATGCAACCATTCCTCGGACTCGGCGGAACCAACATGAACTACGAAGCCCCCGTCCAGATCCACATGTTCTGGTACGTCCACGCAAAATCCAACAACCACCCATCCTGTCATCAATCACTAACCAACAGAAATGGGATAAACAGGGCAAGAATAACCCTCCGCGTCCACCGCCTCACCCTGACAGAAGACTGGATCCCTTCCATGAGCATCTGCGTCCGCGCCTCCCAAATGATCCTCCTCCTCTACTTCCAAACCTACAACCCCTCGATGGCTCCCGGCGCCGCCACTAATCTGCACAAACCCGGCCTCCCCCTCCTCGCCATGGAGGGCCGCATGCCCCTGGCCTGGCGCCAGGTGAAGCGCATCATGGCCTCCGCGTTCATCCTCATCTACGCGTACTGGCACGGCGAGGTCACCTTCGAGGAGGTCTGCCGGGGCACTGCGATGGCGCTGGTACTGCATGAGTGCCAGCGGGTCAGGTGGGGGAGGGAGTTGGATGGTGCTATGACGGTTTTGAGGGACATAGCGGGAATTTGTGGGATGACTATCCTGCCGAATTTGTCGAGTTTGTTGCCGGATGTTGATCTGGGGGTTTTGAGGGTTATTGCTGGTTAGGGGGATTGGGTTGTTGTATGTAGTGGTTGTAAGAAAGATGGAGATATATGTAGATGTTTGTTCGATTGAGTACTTCAATTTAATACGCTTGGTAATGCAGGATATGCAGCTTAAAATGCTAATACTAATAATAAAACAATGAAATGAATAAATCCCGAAACAGCTCAATCAGCCAGAAAGGATACAGAACCCAGAAATTTTGTCCAAAGTGAAATGAAACCACCGCCACCACGGCTTATCCAGTTAAGAGAATTCAACCAAATCAAGCAAAAACATCCGTAGTATACCGCTCCTTCGCCTTCATATCATCAAAGAACTTGGCCGCAGCGGTCTCCTCATCATCATCCGAAAGGGGCTCGCCCTTCTCCTTCGCAACGCGACGAATCTCCTCCCGTCTCTCGAGGAACATGCTCTTGATCGCATCGCGGACGGCATTCCCCACGCCCGGCGTACCGCAGACGTAGATCCTTGCACCGCTTTCGAAGAGATCGACGAGCTCCTTCTTATCTTCCATCATGAGGTCCTGCACGTGCGTGCCTGCGACCCGTCGCTGGGGCGGCTGTAGGCCCGTCGGACTTCGACGGCCCCGATCTTCTCCCATTCGGCGAGCTCGTCGGCGTGGATGTCGTCCTTGCCCTGGGTGCGGCAGCCGGCGTAGAGGATCGCTTTGGCGGGTTGTTCGGGCATGGAGCCGGAGCTGCGGCGGCCGCGGATCTTCTCGGCGCGGTCCATCACGAAGCCGCGGAAGGGGGCCAGGCCGCTGCCGGCGCAGGCCATGATCATCGGGGTGGTGAGCTCGGTGGGGGGCTTGAAGCCGGTGTGGGACGGGCGGACGGAGAGTTGCACGCGTTCGCCGGCGCGGAGTTCGGAGAGGTAGGTGGATGCTACGCCGAGGTATTCGTCTTCTTGGGTGAGGGCGGCGAGTGATGGGGCTTTCAGGACGGAGAAGGTGATGGAGCATTCGGTGGGGTCGACCAAGGGGGAAGAAGAGATGGAGTACTGGCGGACTCGCATGGGAGGGAGCATGGCGACGAAGTCCCCGATCGCGAGGTTGATGGAAGGGTATTGCAGCAGCAGGTCCAGTACGCTGATGCGCTTCTGGGAGATCTCGGCAAATCGCGCTGGATCAGAAGCGATCGCCTGTAGCTCGTCTTGGGTTTGGGGGTCTATGGCGGCGGCGGCGGCGAGGACTGCTAGGTCACGTTTCGATGCGGGCTGGGAGAGTTCGACGTAGGTGGCGAACAGGTCGTAGGCGGAGACTTGGGTATCCATTGGGATGGAAATGTGTTTCGAGGATGAGGGAGATGCCTTCTCGATGCGGAGCACGGCGTCCCAAGGAAGGTCGAAACGGCTCATGACTTTGCGGACCACACTGCTGGGGTTCACTGGGAGAACGGCCAGGTAGTCACCGCACTTGTACTGGGTGTCCGTAGGGAGCTTGAAGCGAATTGTCCGCTTGGAAGGCACGTCGGGCTGCGTGAGGAGCGCATTCTCCAGGACAAGGCCTTCTTGCAGCTGGAGACCGAGGGTGGTTGCTCTGTGACCCGAGCTGACCTCGACACGGAAAGTGGATGACTTCTGGGAGCCCTGGGTGTTGGAACCACCGAACTTAGCGGCAACTGCTGGCCAGAACGAGGTTTCACCCCAGGTATCGAAATCCGTGATGATCTCAGCGTTGGCCGTGTCAGCCAGGCCCATCTCGCAGAGTCTGTTTGCACCATTCTCGCCAACAAGGCGGTTGACCTCCTTGGGAATACGGTAGAAGGTTGACTGCCAATCGTCTAGATTCATACTCTGTTAGGGGGGTTTACCGGCAAAAGGAGGAATTGAATGCACTTACGATGTCCACAGCCGAACACAGCATAATTCACGCCGCCCAAGGGGTTGTCGCCCTTCAAAGCGCTGAGCCATTCGAAGAAATGGGCGGCATTATCTGGGGGCTGTCCTTCATAAGACGCGGTGATGAAAACAACAGGCCCATTCTTGGGGATGCTATCCTTGGCCGTATCCAACGAATCAACCTCGGCCGAGTAGCCATAGCCAGTGGCATCATCGGCGAGGCGTCTTGCGAACGCCTCACAGGTTCCAGTGTTGCTACCATAGTAGACATACATAGGCTTCAAATCGGCGGACTTTTCAGCGGCGGACTTGCTGTGACCCGCAGCATGATCTGCGTGCTCGCCGCTGCTAGCGCTCAATGATGATCCGAGGTGCACAGCGTCCAAGCCCTCGCGAAGGGCAGCTCTCATATAGAAATTATTGGGTTTGATGGTGAGCGTCTGCTTCAGCTGAATGTTGTACGAGGGATCATCCATCTGGAAGTTGAAGTTTTGCAACAACATTGCGATGACGAGGAGCGCTTCCTGCCAGGCAAACGGCCGACCGATACATGCTCGCATTCCGTTTCCGAAGGGTTTCCATGCGTGCTTAGGCAGCTTGTTGAAATGCTCGTCCAGCATGCGCTCTGGCTTGAATTCCTCTGCATCAGGGCCGTACACCTTGGGATCGCGCTGAATCTTGCCCAGCAAGAGAGCACATGGCTCATCCTTGCCAAGAACATACTTTCCATTGCCGAGGGTGACGGGGTCTTCGTGGTTCTTGGTCGGGTGAGCGCCGACTGCAATAGCGGGCGCTGTAGGGGTGAGTCGTAAGGTTTCACGCATGACCGCAGTAATGTAAGGCAGCTTTTGCAAGTCCTCAACGGTGATCTTGCGGCGTCCAACGACTCTGTCCACTTCCTCCTGCGCTTTCTGGTAGGCCTGGGGGTTCTTGAGCATGTTGTAGAAGGCGAACGAGAGCAACCCGGAGGTGGTTTCATGTCCTATCTGAAGTCAGAACCAACTCGCTTGTTTCACTAATGTATACTCACCGGCAATCAGGAAAGTGATCATGTTATCGATAATGGAGTCATATGACATGCCCTTGCCGGATTTCGGGTCACGGCCATTGATCAGAGCATTGAGCAAATCTTTCTTGTCCGTCGGATTTTCTTTGCGGGCATCAACAAGCTCCTTGCACAGATTGCGGAGATACTCAATATCTTCCCAGTACTTGTTGTTTTCCGTTGTCGGCAGGTTGTTGACCAAGCCTGGGCGACGGGACCGGTCGCCTGCAGTCTTCAACATCCCAACCATTGCGTCCACAAAGGGATGCATTTCTTCGCTGTAGAACGAGTTGAATCGGGTGCCCATGGCACATAGGGCAATGGTATCTAATGTAAGGCGGGTGAAATCATCTGTGACCATGATTTTTTGCTTGGGCCCTTGTCGAGCCCACTTCATCACCAACTGTGTCGCGATGTCGTGCATTTCTGTATTCTCTGTTAGCCACTCTCACACTCCCATACCGCGCTCGATTCTTCGGGCAGGATATACCATCGAACATATTTTGAATGGAAAGGGGCCCGAAGGCAGGCATCAAAACGCGATGGGCAATCTCCCAGTTCTCCTCGCCCATATGGGCCGTGAATAAACCATCGTGGATACCGTGGCGAAGCTCACTGAGACCGGACATAATCTTTTTGGTAAACCGCTCCTCATCGAACACCTCGGCTGCTAGCTCGTGGGAGCTGATCATGCATCGTGAGAAACCGAAGGTGGTTAACCGATAGATAGGGCCTGTCAAGGATTAGTGTTTCCTTATAGAGTGGTCCGGACTGTCGTCATGGATCCTACCATAAGTATCTGCCATCATTTCCAAGCTCCTCAGGGGGATTTCGCTCTCAATATCGAGGATATTTCCCATGAGAGGCACGCCCCGCGGCCCCGGGATGGGGACGGGTTCTGCCTTGGGCGTGCTCATTGTGTGCAGGGTTTAATGTGAGGGGGAGCGTTTCGTAGGATTAAAGAGAGCTGGTGCGGGAGTAAATTGGCAGGTATTAGAAAGAGGAGGTATAATGTTCAGTTGGGTCTATATCATGAGAAAGGAAAAGGAAAAAGAAAACAAGGAGGGAGTAGCTTTTCGTGGGTAGACTCCAAGCTTTATATTCGATCCGCTCTCTGGATCAGACCGACCCAAAGGGTAAAACCTGCGACGTGGTTGTGGCTCGGCATGTCCACTCTACGCCAATCGTACAAAGGAGAATGTCTGTCTCGACGTCACCGAAGCTTCTCCAACGGCAGGGAGACCGACCGAGTCGGGCACGGGGGGTCGGGATCGCCGATGTTGCATATCCACGCATACCCAACCCACGGTGGAGGATGCCGGTCGGATGTACGAGCGGATATCCAGCCAAAGTGTGGCGCAGCCCCACCACCAGTCCGGCTCTTCGTCTCCACCCTCAACGACCAAGTATGCAACTTAATCTTCTTGGGTCATGTCTCCGAGAGAAGAGGGACACTCCTGGTCCTCTCTATAGTCTAGAGTGATCTGGTTCGCATCACCACTCACGCGGTTACTAATCGCATAATCCGGTCAACCGAGGGAGAGCCATCATCATAACTTCCTCGATCATAAATCTCAGTGACTTGCATAATTTGTGCCCTAGAGTCGGTTGACAATTGGCATTCCTGTCATTGGTCTACAATCACATGCTATATCAAAATCGAACCCTAAGGGCTAGACCGTGGGTCTCCCCAACGCCCCTGATACACACTATGGATCCTGCTGCCAGGGCAGGCCTCTCAGCAAGAGGCCACAACCCTAACTGGTACATGGTCATTGGAGCCTCAGCGATTTCCGCGGTTCGATCGCCGGAGAAGATCGGTAGTGACAAGATCGCGCAGGGATTTTAAACTCTAATCAGTTAGCCCTTGGCTTTAAAACATCCTTTTGCCTGCCCAGTCTTCGTCGAGAGGAGGTGTCATGCAGCATGGGCCAAGAATGTCGAAGACGCGTGGCCTGTAAGGGTGTGGATGCATTTGGCGTATGATAGATTCCCTCCGCGAAGTGATATCGTTACATCTTTTTAGCTCTCAAGCAACACTGTACCAGTAACTACAAAGGGAAGTCCAGCTGCTGGGTAGGTATCAGCTTGGGATCTAGGCACGCTGATGGTGTCGTACCTTGTCAGTTGTTACTTGACTTTTTTCGTATTTTCGCTCGGAACCTCGGCTTGGCCAATGATCGCTTGTGTTTCCGTCCAAGATGTCGATTAGTCATCCCAATCCACAGACGGCTGGTCAAGTTACTAGTAGCAGTATAGGCAAATATGTGGCTGCTGGACCGTTTTCCCTCTTCCATTTGGGGGTCCATCCTGTTTATATAAAGCCGGAAAGCACACCGTCATGTAAAGATCCCCATTTGGGAGGAGGATTCGCGCCTCGTCAACGAAATCAGCTCACCATGCACAACGTAAACCCGAGCCCATTACAGGTCTCAAGCGGCGAATGAAAATGGCTCGCTCCCTAACCGAAGGGGCTAAAACTGGAACCGAACAGCGTCGGGGAGTCCCCCGGGGAACTTAAATTGAGGTGCAGGGACCGCTAAAATGGCCTCGATCTTCCTCTCTAAAATCTGCCCTGTTGGAAGCGTACATGCGACTTCCTTCACGGCTGGGTAGTCGGATCAATCTAATTGGGCTATGTATGGGGGTGTCACGGAGAGCCGCAGGTGCAATCTGGCTAATAGGGGTAACAGATATAGCGCTGAGTGAGCGCACCACACTGCCAACAACACATTGGCTATTTCAAGGCACGACAGACTGGAACAACTGGGTGTGATAGCACAATGCTGTCCATAATCCTGACAGTATGCATTGCGGTGCTGCTCTATCTTTACCATGTCAACCGTGCTATCATGGCTGTTCCCGAGGAAGCTCGTCGGACGTGCCCGCACCGCTGGACAGTCGATGAGATCAAGGCGGCTTTTGAAAAGGCTGTGGACTCTCCCACCGATGTAGCCAAAAGTCTTCCTCCGAAGCAACATCGACGCTATATCGTGGTTGGTGGATCCGGTACGTTTCAGTCCTCACCGCAGAATGATACAACAAGAGCTCGACCAAATCCCGGTCCCCACGTAATATCGTTTGACAAACAACTAACCCCGTCCCCAGGACTCGTTGGAAGCTGGATAGTATCGCACCTTCTCATGCGCGGCGAAAACCCAGCCGCTATCCGCATCTTGGATCTCCAGAGTCCCCGATCTGAAGTTCTCGATCGGGGTATCGCCTTTACCAAGACAAACATCACCGATGAGCAGGCCGTCCTGGACGCCTTCTCACAGCCATGGGCCCCATCAGTCGCTGATCTGCCATTGACCGTATTCCACAACGCCGCAGTGATCCGACCCGCAGAACGCCTCAAGGCGTTCCTGCCTCTGTGCCGCAACGTAAACGTCGGGGGTACCGTGAACGTGCTCAACGCCGCCAAGCAATCCGGCGCAACCTGCATGATCGCGACATCGTCTGGCTCTGTCTGTCTCCGCCGATTCCCGCTGTGGATCGCGCCCTGGACAAAGACCCCTGAGTACCTAGTCCAAATCGTCAACGACTCCAGCGAAGTACCCAAGAAGCACGACGAATTCTTCGGGAACTACGCCGTCGCCAAAGCAGAAGCCGAGAACATCGTGCGCGCCGCCGACGACCTCGAATCCAACTTCCGGACCGGCTGCATCCGCCCCGTAAACGGGATCTACGGTGTCTCTGACTCCGCCGGCAGCGTCACAGGAACCTATCTCCGGAGTGGCGGTAGCCCAACGTAAGTTCCACCTGACCACTCTTGTCCCCCAAATCAAAATCAACATCCCCTAACAAGAAACCCACCCTCCCCCTTCCCTGAATAGCTGGACCTACGACGTCATCCACCACTTCGTTAATGCCGAAAACGTCTCCATCGCCCACCTGCTCTACGAGCAGCGTCTGGTCGAACACTCGGCGAGCCCCTCCACGCTCCCAGATATCGGCGGACAGGCCTTCGCCGTCACAGACCCCAACCCGCCCAATTCCTTCGACGACGTCTACCTTCTCCTCACGACGTTGGCAAAGACGCCCATCGCTTTCCCCCATGTCCCCGTCATGCTGTTCATCCTCATGTCTTATCCAATTGAATGGTACGCCTTCGTGCAGCTGCAGTATCTCCCCTGGCTTCCGAAGATCACGGGTGAGCTCGCTCAGTTGCAGCCAGGGCTGTTTGCTATCTCTAACGCGCATGTTATTGGGGATGACTCGCGCGCGCGCATGTCTCCTGAGAAGGGTGGGCTTGGGTATAACCCGCCTATTACCACGTTGGAGGGAATGTGTAGGGAGGTCAAGGCGTGGAATGAGAAGGCGGAGAAGAAGGGTTCTTAAGGGTGGTAGGCAGTGAATTTTTCTTTCGTAGAGTAGCTCTCACTGGACCTGCGTGTGGTTGATGTGTCTTAGCAGATGAGGTATATACATGATCGATGTATATATTAGTGGCAGCTTGTTTACTGACAGACTAGAAAGACCGATTGGTGGCTGGTCTATTCTTGTACTGTATATATATTCTGCTATATGTATTCAACAGACTGGGAGTGTATATAGTATTCAAGACAAATATCATGTACGGAATGAAGAAGAACCCTCAATTTCGCATTCTGCATGTCCTAATCATACTCGTAAACAACTTCCCCACAAGAAAAAACCTACAACCTAGCAAGATTAACAACCTCCCCAGGAGCGTGATACGTCGGGATTCTCATCTCCAGCGCCGCACCAGAATATCCCAGATCCTCAGCAGTGAGCACAGCACACTTCTCGCCGATCAGCAGGGCAGTCTGTCCTCATTAGCCAACCCATTCCTGCCCGAAAAAGCACATCGAAAGAGAAAGAGTGGGTGTGAAAAGCAAATGCAAACTTACACTGAAAGTATTGCACCCCACGTTATCCGGACAAATGGACAAATCACAGACCTTGAGGCCCTTGACTCCGTGGACATTAAGACGCTCATCGACGACACCGCCGTGCTTGGCGATCGAGTTGCCTTCTCTCGGCGCCATGCTGCAGGTGCCGAGGGAGTGCCAGGTGGTTTCGACGTGGCGTTGGACTGGATTGTTTTTGTTGTTGTTAGTAAGAAGGTAAGGAGGCTGGGAGGTTTAGATAGACTATGCGTACCCCATTTCTCGATATGCTCGATGTCCTTTTTGCTGTATTTGATTGGTTCTCGGGTCTCCTGCTTGTTGGAGTTGAGGTAGCTTTCTGTGGGGGTTTGGCCTGGTTCAAGGGGTTGGGACCATGATCCTGTTTTCATTGTTAGTCTGCGTCATGGGGTTATGTGAGAGGGTGGGCAGGCTGGTGCGTACCGTGCTGGATACCGGCGGAGATGTGGTTCGGACCGGCGTATGCCTTTGTCGTGGCTAGATCGAGGTCGAATGCCCGGGCCGCAGAGTCGAAGGCGAAGTGCGGGTGCATGCCGGTTACTTCGCCTGCGTAGGCGCTCATGCGGCGGGCGGTCTCGCGCGATTTGATGTAGCCCCAGACCATGGGAGCCATGTCGCGCTTGTCGTTCATGAAGCCGGCGTCGAAGTCGGGGGCATCGTAGGGGTCGGCGGATTGGATGTGAGTGAAGCCGCGAGAGAATGGGTATTCCTGGGATCAGGTCAGGTGGATACTTAAAGATTGGTTGTTGATGCATGGGGAGGGTAAGATGGCGTACCAGGAAGTGGAACATCGTGAAGAACTTGCCTGGGGGCATGAGCATGTGGTCGCCGAACCAGCTGTCACCGGTTAGTTACAGAAAAGAAGTATTGATAGTCAGGGAGTATGAACACTCACCCAGCAATGACGGAGTAGTGCATCACAGGCTTATCCGGCTTGTTCTTGAAGTAGCTCTCCCAGCCGCTGGTGAACTCCGGCGTAGGCCAGCTCTTCATTTCATCCAGTTCCTCTGGCGTAGGCCTGATTTTCACACCGGCGTCGATGCCGTTCGTGGCCAGTGGACCTGTACCTTTGAGGTTCCACTCCTCAAACACCTTCTTCTGCACTTCAGGGTCACCACGAACGAAGTCATCGAAGGATTCAACGTCCGGCTTAGCCCTGTAGACAGAGAAAGTAAGATAGTGGTCCTGGAAGTTGCGGCCCACACCTGGAAGGTTGACCAGGGGCTTGACGCCTGCTTTACGGAGCTTCTCGGGTTCGCCGATTCCAGATCTCTGCAGAATGAGAGGCGAGCTGAGTGTGCCGCTGCTGACGATGATTTGCTTGCGGGCTCGGAAAATCTTGCGTGGTGGGTTACGACCATCTAAGGGCTTGGTTGGAATGGTCGCGACACCCACCGCTCGGCCATCTTCGATGATGACCTTGTCCACCTTGGTGTTGCACTTGAGGTGGAGATTGGTGTACTTTGCTCTCGTACTGTGGACATAGGCGTGTGCAGCATCGCTACGGCGGCCTAGGATTCAGCTATTGTTAGCAGTGTTAGCACCAGGTAGAAAATCAACTTACCGGTATCACGGTTGATCCATTTCAACCAGTGTTCAGCTCCGTGTCTGTTACGTTGTCAGTATTGAACTCAAAGTAGTAGTATCTTGTAAGCCATACCCAGTCTTCAAGTCCTGCAGGTCATCCGTGGCCGGAATACCCTGCGACTCGGCAGCACGCAAGAAGTCCTGCATGATAGGATACGTATAATTCCCGAAAGAGACCTTGATAGGTCCATCAAACCCATGCAGGTCTCTGTTATTGCAAGCGCGCTGATACGTCTCATGCTTCTTCATCAGAGGAATGAGCTCCTTGGTCGTCCATCCCTTTGCCTGGAAATCGTCGTAGTCTGAGGCCGATGCTCTCGTATACATCTGGAACACGTTAACCCTTCATGGTCAAGGATTGGCAGTGCCAAGTAAGTACCATGAAGTTGATCGAGCTGCCTCCTCCGAGGATATTGGCACAAGGGACGACAGCCCGACGTCCGTCAAGCCATTCCGATGGACGAGAGTAGTAAAAGGAAGCCGTCTTTGAGTCCAGCTTCATGTTCCGGGGGTAGATGCCCGGGCGGTAGACCCTATTATGGTCAGTGCCATCTCCCTTGGTGTACATGAGATGATCTCTCGCTTACCATGGGTTGTTCAGGTTGTCTTCGCCTGCCTCGATCAGCAATACCTGGAGGTTGTGATCGAGGTTGGCCAGACGGCCAGCTGGGACACACCCAGAGCTCCCACCACCACAGATGATGATGTCGACCTCGTCTGGGATGGTCATTGTTACAGTGATATCTTGATACTTGATTTGCTATCAACGAAGTAGAAAAGTGAGATGTTACAAGGATCGCTATGAGGGAGAGATACCTCCTGAGGGGAATCCTGGGAATTTCCGATGAGACTTATATGTTCAGCCACGACCCCGCCAGGGCTGGTTCAAGTCCATGGGTCGTTATCGGCTTTCAAGGCTTCTGCTCCATGCATCGAATCTTCTGTTTCCTTTTCTGTAGGGACAATTCCCCGCATGACAAAAGTACGACGCGTATAAGGGCCCAAAATGTGGACTATCAGTGGGTGATTGCTGGGCCAAGGGACATCCAAGCAAAGATCGATCAATAAGAACGGGAAATTATATTTCGAGAGTTGTGGAATGTCGTCTACTACAATTCCCCGTACACCAAGACTGCTTATGCTACCAACAATATTGGATAATTATCCGGACAGATCCAATGTGTCACTACGACCGCAGCGACGAGCGGTACCCGTTGTCCGAGAGGCAGAGTTGAGCTTGGATGATGTGAAAGAGGTTCAAAGATAAAGAAGGCGGCGGTTCATTCATATCGTATTACTCCAGGACTGCTTTCCTACATCCCATTAATCCCTCCAACACCAGAAATCAATCGCGATAGGAAATCGATATGGAAAACCCAAGTAAGCCATGGATCTTCCGCGACAGCGATGCAATGAACTGTCCGATCGCAGAAATCAATCGCTCGAGACATCCGACACATTAGCTTTGCTGGGAGTAAACAGGAAAGTGGTGTCCGACTGTGCGACGATAGGGCCCCGTGTGGACGCAGACACGAATCAGTTCCATGTAGGATCTCGACTCGAGTATGAATAGCAAAGTTCACCACTAGCGTTGAGCATGAGTCGGCCGAATGTGGGGAAAGGAACCTTGAAGCTAAAAAATGAAGCTAAAGGTCATTACTCTTTCAAGGATTTCCCCGCACAAGAAGCTCCGAATGCTGTAGTGGCCGACGCCAACCACCAGATCCCTTTCAACCGTTGCAAATCCCGAGCGGAGATGATTCACGCTAATGCACTTGATGATTTTTCCATCCATTGCTACCCCGGACTCGTTTCTTGGCTTTCAAAGGGAGACCCACATGTCTCTGTTCTCGTGGGATTTGATAGATGGCCGCTGTTCCAGATTACTGGCTTGTAAAATTCGAACTGGACAGCCCCAACAAAGACAATGAAAGGCGATGCCACCAAATATAGCAGCCATTCAGATGCAATGGTATAGGAATCATAAACCAACAGGAGGGCTGAGTCAAGGATAATCGGCCATCTGGACAGAGAAGTTGCTTGGCTGTGATAATATGATGTGGCCTCTGGGCCCGACGCTTCCGGGCCCCGCATTAGGAACTGCAGGGAATCCTCAAAGTAGACTAAGAAACGCAACTACCGGGCGTGTTGTTGCGCAAGCTGACGTCGCTGCTCTAGGATTTGCATCCGCAGATTCTCCGAGGCCAGCTCAACGTCGAGAATCGCACCCACGCCTCTTTTCCATGTTTCTTCCAGCCCCACAAGCTCTCCTTTGCTAGACTCTTGAGCGATCTTCCTCTGCTTGTTCACTGTCTCCGCAGCTTCCTTGGTCTCAGCCAATTCCCTCTCAAGTCCTCGTAAGACATCCTCCAGTTGAGAGTTGCCAATCAGCCACGCGTTCTTACCACTCTCTTCCAGGAGCGTCAGATTATCCCGCCTCATGGACAAATGAGAACTAGCCGTGTAGGCCTTCTGCAAGGCTTGGCGCCACTCGTCAAGATTGGGGGTCGCATTTGGTCCCGCCTCGGAGGATCTGGTTGGTGGCTCAGGAGCCTCATAGCGTGAAAGATCAATTCCACCGGTCAAGGGCAATCCAGCAGCCTTCCGTTCGACCTCCTGCTGCATGAGGGGGGGAAACTGGGGTTCGGGGAATGCGGGGATGGAAGGATGAATTGTCGATGAATAGTCAGCAGGAAGTTCTGAGGCGATGAGCTTCTGGGCATTGGCTCGAGCCTGGGCGGAAGGTTCGGCATCGATATCTAAAAGAGTTGATTGTTAGAAGGAGAGAGGCCGCTGGTAGGGACGAGACCTACAAGGGAGAGAGTCATGGGACTCATTGATGAGAGGCATGTTGGGCTGGTTGGATAGGGGAGGTAGACGGTCTAAATTAATTGCCGGTATAACTCGAACTGAAATGGGAAGCTCTCAGCCGAAGAGTAGTGACTCTGTATAGATGAGGTTGAGGTTCCTGCCAACCTTCATCTTTTTCTGTCGGGCGGTGAACCAATAGCTCCCTCTACCTGATGAGTAATCAGAGCCCTAAACCCAGCTTCATGATTTGGAACAAGTTTTAGTGGCTTAAAAGACGAGTGAAAAAGGCAATATGAAGGTGATGATTATGATGGTCTCGTTAGTAATTGCGTCGTCAAATTAGGAACTCCAAAATATCTTGTGGCCTATCAATTTGGATCCAATGGCATATTGGATCTTGGACAAGTATTGAACTAATCTCTCGAATACTTCTAGAGAACAAGTTTGGAGGCAGAAAAAGGCTCCGTTCCCTTATCGATCTGCTGGAAAGAAATGTTATTTTGACGAGAATGTATAAAAGGACATCACTTTTGGGACCTGGCTATCCTTTCTTCAGGAATGTACACGCACTTGATGCTAGAAGGTGTGCATGCACCGTCAGCTCGCCGAAGACGATTCTTCCACCATCGACCCCCACAAAGTCCACACTTTTTACCTTCCATGCCAGACTAACTACTGTCCGCTCGATACCCTTGTGGTCGTCCAACAGCAACTTCCTTCGGCACGAGCTGCAATGCCGAATCATCATCTGATAACGTTGGAGCTGGCGCACCCTGGAAGGCTATTATGCTAACCATCATTAATTATTCTGGATGACCGATATACATTGGTAAGAATCCAAACGAGCGTATTTCCTAAATTCCCCCACTAGCCAAAGTATTTACACCAGCATGTGTAGAAGTCTGTAAGTCACAGCTAAAAGACCTCAAGCTTTGATGAAAGCTAAGTATTAACATTACTGACACGCAACTCTAATCCAACTGCTCCAGGAAAGGCAACGGATGAAGATGCGATGTCTATATCCCCGAGTCCAAGAGGTTCAGACATATAGTGCTTAGCTCGTTGCCACCGTAAAGGAGCCACTTATTCCTTCAAAACCCCCGATGTCACCTTTAACGGTCTTGAAGTCTCCATAATAATGCAGGCGATAGGTTCCGTCCTTGAGGGAGGTAGGGTTTCCAACGTTGTAATAGTCATCCTCTATCTGCCACTGGATTGTAACCTCACTGTGGCCCAGAACCGTATTCGTTCTCTTCCAGGTATAAACAAGGTTCCAATCTCGGTCAGTCCGTACAACCTCCCAGGTGTCAGTTCCGGGCTTCTGTCGCTCAACCGCCGCGAATGTGGATTCTTGACGTAGGTTGTTCCGAGGGTTAGCTCCGATGAAGGTGGCATTCACAGTGTCACCAGGTCCATATGTGGCATTATCGACAGACGAAACGACATCACCGAACGTTTTACCGATGGGGCTACCATCGTACAAGACACCTGGAATAAACGATAAAGACTTGTCCGTGTTGATAGGAGGTTTCACTTCGGAATCCAGTGGTGGCAAGCTGGAGCTGTCACCGAGATATGGAAGATATGTGAGTGTGAGGTTAATATATGCCGCGAGAGTGTTGGGACCGTAAAGAGTCGAAGCACCCTCATAACGTTGTACATGGTATTCTTCCTCGGTCGCCACATAATGAGCATAGCTATTCGACGGAGCACCCAAGACTACCAAGGGATTTGCCACCGAAAGCACGTCTTTCGCGGATTTTGCGATGGCTTCTTTCCAGCGCCGTCCAGACATAGTCGTGGCCTCGCTGGTTGAGATGATGATAAACAGCTGACCAACCCTCAAAACCTGGATATCAACAATATTCGGTGTCCATGCATACGGCTGTGTTACTGCTCCCACATCTAAGAGGACCTCTTTCGGCGCTTGGCACGCTTTCTGCTCCTTAGATGGTTCGTGAATGAAGGCACGAGCAGCATACCATAATGGATTTTTCTCTGCTGGTCCACTGCTGTTTTGTGTAAAGTCAAACATGCCCGGCCCATCAGTAGTACCGGCAGCAAACGAGAAGCCGAGAGCTGCCGAGCATGTCTTCAGAGTGCTTGAATTAAAGGGCGAGATAAAGGTGTAATCGGAGAGATCCTGGTACACGTGGAAGGCGTGGACATCAGAGCTCTTGAGAATCGGAGTGGGATTGGAGTCCAACTGGGTATAGAGTTTTCTGGCAGCCTCATATTGAAGCTTCCCGATTTCGAAACAGCTCTTGGCACCGTTGTCCTTTTCGCGGAAGTAGGGCCCACGGCCACGACAATCTTCCATTGTACCACCACATGTGCTGTCTTCATATCGGCACTTCTGCCCAGAGCCATCTTCACACCATGCTCCCAAGACGTTCGGACTCGTGTCTCCGACATTCGATTGGGAAAAGCCGGCAACGAATTCGTCAGCGAACTTTTTGTCGGCCTTGACACTTCTTTCAAAAAGCCATGCTGCAACTCCTTTGTTATCGCCAGTTACTAATGTATTGTTGTTATACATGGAAGTGCCATGCACTGGGAAGAAAGTCAGAACGGCCGTCGTTTTATTATCCGTTGCTCGGTCGAATCTCAGAAGCGTCATGGTCTTGTCCACACTGTCCGAGTATCGCGCTTTCTCTTCTTCCGGATTGTGATCGTAACTATACGGGCTTCTGTTGATGTTCGCATTTTCAATGTCTATGGAGCCAAAGCTCAGGCGTCCGGGAGCTATACTTTGATGGGCTCGTTTGATGGAAAGCAGGACACCATCGACAATTGCCTGGTAACTCTGCTTGTCGAATCCCTTATTGGGAATCTGAGGGAGAAGATAATTCATCCACGCACCCGGTCCTGAGTGGGAGTGGGTTCCTGTAAAGGCTACGTTATGCTCACCATAGTCTGCGAATTCACTGCCAAGGCTAGCAAGGCCTTCGAGGACTCCATGTCGCACAGCAGTGTCACCTGTCAGCGAATCTATAATTAGATAGATGAAGGTATCCTTTGGACGGTTCGGATTTGCGACTATGAAAGCACGAGAGTAGATTCTCTGTCGTAGACCAGTTCCAATCTGGTCCAAGCTGGCGTAGCCGCCAAATCCGATCTCGACAACAGGCCTGGTTTAAAACTGTTAATGGAACCTTGAGGTATTGAAAAGAGGAACAATTAGGCGGCGAAGGGAGTGGACAGGAAAAGAGAGTGTAGGATTACCCAGTAATGTCCGCTCTACCAGCTCCTAGTAAGAAAACGCTGTCATCAGACGCGAATTCAGTGTTTCTGTCGGCCCATTTATACCTGCTATCGACCACGGGCGGTTGGTTGGAATCTGATATGACGGAAAACAGCAACAACAGGAACAGCGCTGCTATAAAGGTTCCCGAAACTACGACACCCAACCTCGCATTCGCCATATTGAGGATGTTATGGTTGAAATGACAGACAAAAGGTTACGACATTAGGAAGCCTGGGCAGCCGAAAGGGATATCGGACCTTTTTATCTGGATATCCCTGTGAATCGCTTCAAGCCGAGGCGAGTCGATCCCTCTGCATGCGCATGACCAAGTATAGGAGTAAGACCAGCGATCACAAATCAATATTCAGTTGTGATATCCCGGAAGGAAGGGGATGAAATCGTGCGATTGGTGTAGAGCTGAAGGAAGGGTGACATCGTCTGTCCGTAGTTTGGATGATGACTTGCCCGCCCTAAACTGAATCGGGCACACGTCCTCTTCATCCCCCGCTCTTTTGAACCCTAAGTCCAAGGAGTAGTCCCTGACGGGCACCGGATGGAATGCAACAGTGCATAACAAAAGCAATGATGAGCATTATGATAGACGGATAGTTCATTCCATAGGGCGGGGATGTAGCCATCTCTAACCCTTCCGAGACTAGTTCTCGTTTAGTGACTCCATATTAGTGAAAGGGTCCATCCGTTCACTGCCGATCCTCCAAAGGTCAATTGAGCAGTGGGCCAAGACGGAGCTCCCCGAGCTTGTTCCTGGGGAAGTCGTCGTAGTACTGGAAAGAACAATCGTTAAAATAAACAAAAGGAGTTGGATAGGGCTTGTGCTTGTACGGAGTAGTAAGGTTGAATTGATTCTATACGGAACGTATCTTTAAATAGCCTGATTCATCCGATATGAGAATTGTAACCGCATAGAAGAGCAGAAGCCCTATTGGTGAAAGACTCCCCCTATTTTTTTTCTCTTTGCTTTCTCTCTTCTCTTCTCTTTTCTTGTTTTCATTTTCCGACATTAATTCCGAGGTCCTTTGCTAATAACTAATGGAAATGATAATGACAATCATTTCCTGGCATAGCTTTATGCCAGTCGCTCCTTACATCTTGCATAAACTCAGTTGTTTTTGCACAGAGGAATATATCCTCCGAAAAACAAGTACCAAAAAAAAGAAAAAAAAAAAAGATGTATTCTTTTACAAGCTATCTTGACATGGGTGTAATTTATATGACAAGTAATAGAGGATTCACGACCAAGAGAATGGCCTTATTAGTAACTACTAGTAGTAACACAGTTTAGCTGGTAAAGATAACGCGACAGCAATTCATGATGCCACTGAATTATGCGTCTTTACTAGAACAGTAGCTGAAAGGAGAGTTAGTTATTACATTGTATTATTTGCATACTACCGAGGCAATTATCCACCATCGTGTCCAATCTAGTAAGGACCCAAAAGGCTCAGCAGCTTACTCCGGCGTACACACCGAGGAATATACCAAAAATAGCTCGAACTGGACTTCCAACATCCTCTATAATACGATCGTCATATAGCTCCACCCGTAAATGTATAGATAACGGTGCTAACTGTGCTTTCTGGAACGGGTCCAATTGGAAGTTGAGAGAATATTGCAATGTCTTGCTATTATTTCTAGATATAGAGTGAGAAGTCTACTTGACAGGTGGAAAATTCGCCGTCATTCTTTACTTGAGTTAACTAGATGAGGATCTGCGTTGTCAATATTGGGGTATGGTATGATTTGAATTTCCATTGAGTTTTCGATAATAAGCTAACTCATTAGATATTTATTGGAATTGGAATCGGTAACTCTGTATATCTTCATGATAGTTGTTCCTGTCGTCCAACGTATACAGAAACTATATAACATAGATATCACATATTTACCCACCCAACACAATAACTCCATAAAACCAAATTCTAAGCCCGACAGAGTTTCCCATTCTCCGTCGGCAACCCATCATCCGTAACAACCCTCCACCCCTCACTCCCAACAGCAGTAGCAGCCCAAAACACATCCCCCGGATCCATCTCCCGCTCCAACTTCAAAAGCTTCCCATAATTCTCCCCATAAAATGCCTGCTGGAAACCCGGTTCCATGTGATCACTCTCTCCCAGATACGACCCAGCGCCGGGACTAACATCGCGCCAGCGCTGCATGTGCCCGTAGGTGAAATTGTGCCGAGCGGCAGCGATCTCCTGTGCCGTCGCGTTGGGACTCCAGTTTACGCTGGAGAGAGCGTGCATGACTGTCCGGCGCCAGGCGGGATTGACTGCGTTGTCTGGGTGTTCGCCTCGGGGTGCCATGTTGAAGGCAATGAGGGTTAGGCCTGCTTGGGAGGAGGCTTTGATGGCATCGAAGGTTGCGTTTAGGCGGGTGGGGTCTTCCCAGTTAGTTTTGGGGAAGAGGCGTGAGCCCGTTGCTACGTGGGTCTTTTCGACAACTTCTAGTGGGAAGGAGGCGTTCCAGGCTGAGTAGAAGTTGTCAAAGTATTGGGTCTTTGGGATGAATCTTATTCCTAGTTGATGGAGCCGTTGGAACCAGGGCTCTAGAAGTGCTTCTGTTTCAGTGATGGTCTTGTTCGGGGCGAAAAAAGGTTGCATTAGGAAGGTTAGTTCGCCGTTGGAGGGGAGAATGAAGAAATATGAGTAAATGCCTGCGTCTGAGTGCTCGATGAACAAGTTCAGGTAGGCGTGGAACCCGGCCCAGAAATTCTTGTGTGTGATATTGCTCTTTGCGCCGGTGGACCAGGTGAAGGTCGATGTTGTGACTGGGATGGTAGGGTACGCTTTGATAGTGACGGAGGTGACGACGCCGAAGGTGCTGCCTCCGCCGCCTCGTAGCGCCCAGAAGAGTTCTGTGTTCTCGGTGAAGGAGGCTGTGACAAATCGTCCGTCAGGGAGCACCACTTATATTAAGAGAACTTGATCTGCAGCAAGGCCGTGGATTGAGCTAAGCGGGGAGTGCCCGCCTCCAAGGATGTAACCGCCTGCCACGCCCACCGTTTGTCCTTCGCCTCCTACTACCACCAGCTGCCGGTCCTGAGCCGCTTTGTAGATCTCATAGGCTTGGATACCGGCACCGATCTTGAATGCAGCACCGGTCCAGTCGGTGCCTGATGCATTATAGGACGGAACGTACTGGATCCCCTTTAGATTATGGGTCCAGATGCTGAGAGCTCCTGCGCCCCCGGATTTACCTGAGAAGTCATGGCCGGTGACTTGGTTGAGCAGGTCCCATATGCGAGGGCTGGGCCATGCACTATCACCCGGGAAGACCTTGCAGCGAGAGGTCTGGTTCACGGTCCGGGTGGAGTCTCCAAAGCCGAAGAGTACTGTATCGGCCGGATGTAGATGTTGCAGGTCTTGCGACTGTAATTGGTAGCGTTCAAAGCCGAAGGGCTGCAGACCCGCCGTGACAGTAGCAGCGAGAGTCAGCAGCACGCACGCCCTCATGGTGCCAGGATCATGAAATTGTCGGGACCAATCGCCACTGCGGTAGTTCTGTGTCTTCCACGTAATCTTGGGCGATGGGGAATCTCTTGGCTTTTACGCCAACCACTGTTGCAGGGAATCTCAACATGTCATGAAGGGGCTGCCGCTCAACTGTGCCAGAGTCTACAACTAATTCATCAGGAGTGCAGCATCAATGAAGGCAAGCAGTTCACATTTTCACACCCCTTCAAAATACGGGAGGTAAAGGAAATATCCGAGTCCATCGTTCTACATTTATTGGACCTCGTAAGTAGGATATCACTGTAGACTGGCACCAGGATATTGTGAAACTCAGCCCTAATCATGCCATCAGTGCAAGCATTGCCAACCTGATACTGTGATCCTCACCAAAAGACACGGATCCAACCTCACTCGTACAGCGAAGAGCAACTCACTTGTCCCAAGACCCATTTTCGCCGGCCTATTTTGAAAAGGACCGGCACTGAGCCACCTCGTTTCAGAAAATACTGCTTTGAAGCGTCGGCGCCAATCAACACTGCCGCTCAGCACTCGGCGCTTTGGTGAAGAACCATTGCTTTGTCGCGCGCCAATCCATCCAGTAAAACACCAACAATCTCAATTCGTGCAGGCCAGTTTGAGACACGCTGGATTCAAAGGAGCTTCAATGCGTTTCTGTTGCCTTGGTTCCATAGCGTCAACGACATTTGCCGACCATGATGCTCCGGCCCAACAAAAGGACCGCATTGTTTAAGAGTCTTTTCTCTTCCTTGCATGGTCTTGCATTGTCGAGAGCGTCTGTTTCCCTTTATCTTTTTGTCGTTCTTTCAAGCCTTCCCTTCGTTATTCCCGCTAATATGGGTGATTGTCTGCTCTGAACTGACTTCACTTAATTGCCACTTGTCATGCCGATTTGGTCTAATGATAATCTCGTCGCATCCTCTCCTTAATCGATAAACTGGGATACTACCGTGCTATTCAACTCCTGGAACCTCAGACGACAAGATGCATTTCATATATACAACTCTCGTTATTCATTTTATTGCCTCGCTGTGCTCGGCTGGTCCAATCGCTCATTCTCGGTTAATGCTGGAAAGAAGGCATCATACCCCAGAAGAAACATCGTCACCTGTATTAGACACTTCTACAGCCGCTTCTCACTATCTACAAGATACCTCTGCCACGCCTGGCAGCAGTATCTCTTTACGTACTACGGCTAGCACATTCTCCACGGCGATGCAGACAGAGTCGAGCTCTAGTGCTGTGCGTCATCCTTTCACTGCTGACGAAGATGAAGACGAAGACGAAGATTCCGAGAGCCATTCGGCACCACTTCCATCGTCACACATGGCCGCGAGTAGCTTGTCGGCACCTGCTACACATCTGCCTGAAACAACCACAACCAATACCCTCCCTCATGGTTATGGCACCCCCAGTGCCTCAGCCTCCAAGACATCACGTACAACACATACAACCTTGCTCGCAGACACACTCTCTAGAATCGATATTGTGCATTCCAGCTCCGCGGCTGTCGCATCGAGTGAGATGGCTGAGCCTACGGTCACGACAACTACAGTCACATCAACAATCTATACACACCGCAGCTCCACAGCTATTGCCTCCAGGACACCGTCATCACACTCATCCGGCCCATTTGGAGCCAGTGCATCGACTTGGAAGACTGCGAGACCTACGTCGCATCTGTCCCCCACAGTATCGGCAACTTCCATGAGTCCCTCTGCTGCTGACCATCCTACGTCTACGCCAGCTCAATCTTCTACAATTAAACAGACATCATCACATTTCTTCCGCGGCTCCACAGCAGCCACGAACATTATGTCTACAGTGTCATTTATCCCTACCATCGGCGTGATCCGCACCTTACCAGGAGCTGGCTCTCCTGGTACCTCTAACGGAGCACATCAGAGCCCAACTGCAACTGCATCGCATACCAGTGTCCATTTGACCTCGGGCACAGTCAGCAACACCCATACATCCAACACATGGACCGTACGCCCCACAGCCGCGGCCTCTCACACAAATTCGATATCCCACACCCAGACTGTTTCAAGGGCATCGATCACACACACCGGCATACCAACAACCAAGGGTCCCGCAGCACCGGATGTAACAGGAACGGTCGTCTCTAGAACTGGGATCGTGATAATCATACCGGGGATATCTACAAGCCGGAACATCACGATCCCGCTGAGCCCTGACGATAACATTCCCTCAACGGGAACAGTATCAATGTCGACAAGGTCACCCCAAGGAACAACACCTGTCTGGGTCACCTCACAAACAACCCATACCTTTAGCCCTCATGGCCCGGGCTTGGTGACGACCATCTATCCCACCAGTACTGCGACCAAAGTCATCACTGTTGAATTGACAGCAGCCGGGCAAACTCGATGGCCGACCACTACTGCTACATCTGTCCCTATGTCAAGTGAGCGAAGTTCGCGACCAGCTACACAGGCGACCGCCAGTAAGAAGGCACCCGCTCCAGTGTCGGACAGCCCCGATAGTGGAAATTCTTTGGTTGTGAATCCTGTTTCGCCGATGTTTCTGACTGTGACCGAGACGAAGACGGTGACTGAGAAGACGACTGAGACGAGAACCACTCTGATGACAGTGATGGCTACTGCTGGTTGACGAGATCTTCTCTCTCTCTCTCTCTCTCTCATTCCCCTTCTTCTATAATACGTCCATTGTCTGTTAAACTGTAAACAATACATTCGTTTAGCTAGTTAGAACCAAGATAACCTCTAATACAATGCAATCTAATTCCCAACTCCAAAACCAACTCTTTCTCAAAATTATCCAGAGTAGCCTCACCCTCAACCAACCCCCAAACATCTTCAACCCTCCTCATAACCTCCTCTCCAAGCCTCTCCCTCCTCGAGCCCTCGACTGTCCCTGTTATTTGATTTATGCCACTCGCACCAACCACCAGCATAGTGGCCAGTAAGACACGAATATCTGTGCTTTATGTGATGACTTTTTCTAGAATGTTCTGGTCTTTCTGGCAAATGAAGTCTTTTATTTTCGTAGCTATTGAAGATACGCTCCAAGTCAGAGTAGAATATGCAGATGGATATCTATGACGCCAACCCAAGAAAATATACATCAGACCCTCATCAGCAACTCCGTCCCGTCCGTCAGACTCGCCCAGACGCCATTCCATGTGTATATAACCAAAGGAGAACACACATTATGTACAAAATGAAGACAACACTCGTCAGATCATAGTTCTGAAAGCCATCCTCCTGCGGCTGCAAACCTTGCCTGATACTCTTTGACACTAGCCCACTTGCGGAGTTCCTCTTCGTCGCGATCCATGTCACTGAGATAGCTCATTGAGCGGCCGTTCGCCTGTGGGCTGGCAGCCGCCATTGACGGGCTCGGAACTGCCATTCCCTCCAAACGCATGAGGGTATCGATGAAGGCATGGAGGTAAGACTCTGCCTCAGCCACAGTCAGCGGGTGTGGCCCCGCGGCCAAAGCGGTGGAATCGGCCGGTTCCATATTAGGGTGGGGAAGATTAAGAAGTGTAGAGGCGACCTGGCGGACCTTGGCAGTCTACGGATATCACTGTTAGCCGACTTATCATAGGAAGCGTGGGAAAGGATAACATACAAAGCTAAGCCCGTTTGGCTCCATGTTGATTTCGTTGATAGATCGGATCAACACCAACATATCCCGAATCACAATTCGACGCTCTTCCGCCATCGTGGCACCAATATGATCCGATTGGGCGTCCACATCAGCCTCAAGCACGCTGGGCTGGTCTTCCTCGAGCTTGACCGGTGATGGACTGATATTCGTCGCTTGTCCAGCCCGCTTCTGGTATGCCTTCCAAGCGGCATACAGGGCCCAGTACTTCTCAACTAGATAAGACCGAGTCCCTAGCTGGCTTGCGTAAATGTTTGCCTTCTGAATCTCGTATTGGATGTGTCGCCTTTCATCCTCTGTCGGACTCGGGCCAGGACCCTGACCCGAGACCGAACCTTGTAGTGAAAGCTCTCTTGGTACATCAGCAACGGCGGATTTGGCCTTCTGTAGACTTTCCCAGACAGCAGCCCTTTGCCGTTCCCAGTCAAAAGGTTGGCCACTCCCAAATGCCACTTCCCAAGCCGAGACTTGGTTGTATGAATTATATACGCGGACATTAAGGTTAAACCCCACCAGGCGAGAAACTCTGTCTGCCGGTTGAGGTTCAACATGAGTCGGAAAAATAAACTCATCATCTATTTCGAGGGGTAAGGGGGGATACCGCTCGGTCGGGGTTTCAGGGGGGATGTGAAAAGTAGAGTCCGTCGACCCCATCTGCTGCAGCGTTCGGTACCCAACTAAGACGGCATAGAACAAGCGCCGCCCAAGTTCCTGTTCAATGATGTCAAGCTGTCCTTCTCCCGGTTGACCGGGTTGGTCCTGTGATAGGCGTGACGAATAGGAGCCCGGGCTCGGTGGACTCATCGTCCGAATTCGGGTGCTATGGCCGCATAAGTCATACACATGCAGCATCGTCAAACATTCGGATAGATATGAGCGACATGTTCGCATACTGTACATATAGCCAGCACAAATAGACAGAAAATAGCCGATGGCTGCATCGTAGACCGTCAGGCTCCGTTCGAGATACCCCGCGCCTCTTGCTTGGACAGCTATGTCCCGACATCTCTTGACCAATGCCATGGAGTGCGGGTACGCTGCCTTTTCGGCTGCGGTCTTCAAATGAAGCCTCGGCCGTCGTGGAAACGACGTCACTAGAGTCCCAATCATGGAGGCCGCCAGGGCCAGGAAGGTACGGTTGGTGACATCCTCTCTTCGATCAAGAGCAGCACGAAAGGTCGGTTCATGAGGGACGGGTATTAGCGGGTGGATATAGGTGAAGTAGTCATCGATCAAGAGTCGTATGGTAGACAACGGACATATCAATTCCAAAGAGAAAACTGCTGGTGGCGGAAAAGGCTGACTGTTCAAGAGCCCTGTCGATTCTGGCGATGTATGATCAGACGGGGTGGGGGAGCCAACGGGTGACGCCGTGAGCTTCTGTCGTTTCAGCGCTTCTGCATGACGGTTGGGAGGACCACGGCGCCTGCTTGGTCGCTCATAAGTACAGGGGATATCCAAGCTTGCGCACGACCGACAGGGCGGTCCGCCGGTGTCACACTGGTTGGGGTCCGTTAGATAGGTCTCCGGACCAAAGGGTACCACGTTCGATACTCACTTTCACCTTTCGAATACTGCAGGCATCACAAGCCTTGCGCAGCCTGGTTCTCTGGTCCATGGGTATAGAGGTGAGGTAGCGACCGTTTCCATGCTTGGGTTGAATCCATGGGCCTAGGGCATTGGGCTTTATACCAGGATACCAGTGTTTGGCATTCTCTGAGCGCGGCAGATTGGGATTTGCGATGTCTTGCCCGGACTGATACCCCGGAAGGTGATCTCCAGACAGCAGATTGGACGATCGGAGGCGATCTGCACAGACGTTCTTCGGGTGATGCACAAATTAAGCAGTCGTGCCTCGGTGATTAGACAGGACAGGACTCAACGGCTAGACTCTTAAGCCTCAAAAATGGTCGCATTTCCGAACGGTGCCTGGGAATCCCGGTGCCTAATAAATGAATCAAGCCGGTAAGTCCCTCACCGATGGTGGTGGAGCCAAGAAATGCTTGGCTCACGCACTCCCCCTCCGAAAGTGGGCATAAACCCGTTGTGCTGAAAAGCAGTTTATAGCCACGGCCGATCTAACAGTAGAAGGATTGATGGCCTCTCCAGAGTCTCCACGAACAAATGTCGAGCCTCCGCGACGGTCACGTGGCACCGCAGCATATCCGCCGCCGGCATTTGGTCAAGACGAATGAGCGATCGAACCACACAATAGTTGGCTCTGGACCATCTCCACCTTAGGGTTTCTTATCTGCAGGAAAAAATAAATGGATGGGGTGATTCTGGAGCCAAGCTTGAGCACTGACTGGCTGAATCAGTCGATGGGACTGTCAACAGAGTTTACTATCCTCGACTTAGCTGCGTTAGCAGTGCTCAGGGGTTCCAGTCCGCCACCTCTCAAAAGTCACCGAGTCCAAGAAAAAAAGGTGGTGGATCATCGGTGGGGACTGAACGCTCCCTTGAAAACCCCTCAATCTCGTACTCTAATGGGAGGACGATATTAGTCTAGAGTACAAGACTACTATGAAGCTAACGACCCAGACTAGATGACAAATACTTTAGTCGGTCTTCTGTCCGAATCAGGTAACAGCTTCTTATATGCGTCTGTCTCCGTATGACAAACAAAAAAGAAAGAAAGAAAGAAAGAAAAGAAAAGAAAAGAAAAGAAAAGACAAGGTGAAACATCTAGAACAAAAAAGAAATAAACAATTCGAGCCAAAACAGGTTTATATCGTATTGCCGTCATGATACTCGTCCACTTCATCCGGTCTCGCTCTCCCTATCAGATCGCGCTTGTTCTCTAGATCCACGGCCCAGAGTGCTGAACCAACGGCAGTCGACATCAGGAAAAACATAGACAAGGGCGGAACCAACTGAAGGATCAGAGCAACCGTTCCAAACCTGGCGTAGCCATGGTTAGCAAGTCCCTGTGGATCAGCAAGGCCGAACAACACTCACGTAGTATACTGCAACTGGCGATGGCGTATTTTCTCCTTTCTTTGCTGCTTCGAAAGATCTAACAGTTGGAAGTACCGCCAGTGGTGAAACGGACCCGCTCGATACCCTGTGAGCACGAGAAACATGGGCGTCCCGGCCACAGGAATAAAGTTTAGAGGGAGGAGGACAACAAACTCCACGATCTGTCGCAGAGAGAATGGTGCATAGACGGCACTATGGATCGGCTTTCCCAGCCGTTTGACGACATCATCGCCTTGCGGATATAGGACCCGCGAAGTGGTGACCAGTTCCCCGTGGCCCTCATTCACTAGGACAGCATCGAAGATATCCACCAGGGTTTCATCAACAAAGAAAGCTTCGAATAGTGCGGCCACAATTGCAGCGCCTTCTCCTAAGACCAGGACTGCTCCATTGACCCAAGCACCACGGCCTTGAAAGATAGAAAGAAAGGCGACCTGGGGCAAATAGGTAAAGAGGAACAGAATCACGTAAATGAACGCCGAAAGCAGAACAATCGGAATTAGACGAGTCTTGAACAAAGGCCACAGGAAGCGATGCGACGCGAAATAATACACACCCTAAATAGATGCGTCAGTAGTCACGATCAAGTATACCTACTCGGTAGGCAGCAAGCATTGCACTGACGCGAAGAGGATACAGCCAAGCAGCTCTGCTAGGATTCAGCGATCGGGTCATAGCGACAGGCCAAGTCAGAGTGCACGCTAAAAGAAACCACACTGAGATCTATAATACTAAAACTAAGCAGGTGTATCAGCACGCTGACCGAAGCGATAACTAGTACTTCGGCACGAGAGATGATTTCATGGGTATCTTGCGGCTATGGGACCAAGATCCGAGGCACATGATCTTATCGATAAGCCCGGGCGGTCAGGGCCACAGCTATAAATTGAAATTCTTTTCATCGGCTCGCGAATATTTCTTTTTTCTTCTTCCAACTTAAACTGAACACACCTCCCTATTCACTCTGAGGTTCACAACACCATGGGCCCTTGGAGGGGAAATGGGAGGTTAGAGTAACCTGCTGCCTTACCCCAAATTCTTCTTTTTTTTGTGGAGCGTTTGGAAATATTTACAGCGTACACCCTTAATTTTGCGTCGCCTGGTGTAAATTGGCTAATAACCACAACCACCGAGTTAACCCGTACGGTCGTTCATGACATGTAGAATTCCCTGCAAGCTATTGACAATCGCTGTCGGCTCCAGAACCGGCGCCGCTGTGTCCGCCCATCCTTTCCCAGGCCGGTCAATCCAAATAAATGACTTTCATGCCCACGTGGAGCGCCCCTATTATGTCGAAAGGATTGGAGCTGATCACCCAGATGTCTTTCATTTCTGGCACGCACTTTCCCATCCTCTGGGCCAAATATCTGTAGACCTCCGGGGCGGGCTTAAATTTCTGAACGTCATCGACGCTAACAAGGTCTCTTAATGTCTCTCTATGGTGCGACAGTGGGCCTGACTGAAGGATGGACTTGGATACCATATTCGAAATCCCATTGATGAAGATAATGGGCACCACATTCTGAGCCCTTGCCAGCTGACGCCCGGGAACGCGGCCATGTTGTCATGCATGCGAAGCAGCTTATTTGATATCGTCGTTCCCTACCGACCTTCCCCGTATCATGCCTTGCATGGATAAGCGCATTACGTGTGACGTCTTCAAAGGATATGTATCATCCTAGCAACAACAAAAGGAGCCGAGGCTGGAAACGAAGACACTAGCATAGCTCACACATGCTACTCAATCGCCACGTATACTCGAGCTGGTAGCGCCTCCACAAAGTTGCAATTGACTGAGCACGGTCTTTGTCACAACTGACATACTGTTCCAGGTCTCCGGCTACGGATCCGGGCGATAGTATGGTACTGTAAATATCGAAGGCAACGACCGTTGTTTGAGCCATCACGAACGCAGGGTGGATATTCTGGACCAAAGGATTCCTCACGCTAATTTCAGTGTTTAATTAAATATCTGGAGTTCTGTTTGAGGATGAAACAGAATAGACCTGCGACACCAGTTTCAGGTTTAACCCCACGGAGTATGCGACGGATGACGGGAGATGTCAACCGAAACTCCGATTCCAATGCCCTCCGGACTCCATGCCGAAACCCTGACTCCCCGGGATTTCCCTAGTCTAGCTAGGAAGGTTTCGCGCAGTGTCTCAGCACAAATGTTCAGGGAACAGTGGAGACATACGTGAATGAAGGGGACAGTCACAGAAGAACCCTCGGACCGCTCGAAAGTTAGCCTTGTCGACGAAATTGACACGCACAAGAAGCTCTTCAGTGAATTCAGTCCTATCCTACACTCTGTACGGAGATTGGCAAGTACTCTAGGCGGAGGGGCCGCTTGGCCGTATACCGCGCTTGAAAAAAATTTCAAAAACAAATGTCAGCTACCCAGCAATTAGAGGAATGCGAGTCTGTCGCCTTAGCCACTTGGTCAAACTGCCTTCTTGTAAATACGTGATACTGAAAATGATAAGCTGTAGTTTGCACTGTTTTTCAAGACACTTGACTATGCAACCTATGTGATCAAAGCCTTTGAACTTAGATTACCTACCATAATAAGACCTTGCTACATGCATAGGAAGGGGGAATATATTTATGCAAGAAGATTGCCTCAAATTTTTGAGCTAATGGGACATCTTCGATCCATCTTGTGACATTTTCCGATGTGTACACATGCATCCCGAGATATATAATCCGGCATCTACATTTGTGACCCATATAGGCTCAAATCCCGATCGTTCCATAGCCATTGGAAGAAGGAAGAGCAGTGCTATACTTATAACAATTTAAACAATCCCCGCGAGTCTAACCCCCCAAGCCTTCCCAACACCCGTTTTGTTAATCGAGACTGCCCGACAGCATAGACCAGCACCGGCCGGCTTCACAAGCCATCCCCCACAGTCGGATTCGCTACATAAAGGCTTACTACTATAGTAGTATAATAGCACATCTGGCAGTAACCTCTAGATAATTACGCATTAGTAGACACCACTAGTGGCAGCAGCGGGGAGTCATAGCGTCACCTAGTCCAGGTACCTCGGTGGAAGTTTCGACATGTAAGTGTTCTGATCTCACTAGGACCACAATACACGCTAGGTGAAGGGCTACCACTGAACGCAAGATTATCAAGTGAGCTGAAGCCTGATTCGCTTCATAACAGCCGAATAGTCCCGGTACTCACGGAAGCTACAACCTAATTCATCCATCATCGGTGGGACCCCAGGAGAACCCTTCTAGTATATGTTCTTTACTGCTAGGGGGGTGTTGTGGACCTTCATGGCCACTTATTACATAGTAGTGCCCTGTGTGGACTCTGTCATCGTGCATTGATATTAGGGATACCTGTGCCTCAGATACATCACATAGAACTAGCTAACTAGCATGCAAGCAAAACCCGAAATACAATCTATTCTCATTCGCACAGTGGACGAGGAATCCCCCCGAGTAAGGTATTCAAATAGGCTCTATAGGCGTCTCATAGCGAATGAGAAACCAAGAACTAACATTGATAAGGAGTTAAGGCTAGACCAGGCTACCAAGCCTTGAGGATGTTATCTCAATTATCCATGAATAGTACTAGTGATACATCCATCCGCACAGCACAATCGCGCTACCAACGTCTCTTCGTACATCCCAGCCAACATCCATCCTTTCTCTTCCTTTAGTCCGTCTGTTCTAAAAACAGTACAGTTTAATTGAAGGTACGCCACGAACCCAAAAACAGAGCTCGATTCACCTTGAGGTAATCAGAAAATAAGTTTCTATGAGGTGAAGATGACTCGGGAGCCTCGGTCCCCTTCCTAAAGGAGATACCGGTCCGGAACCCTAAAATGGGTCTGCAACGTAAAATCCCAAACAATATACCTAGCAAGTGGATCGACGCCGCATTTGTTAACGTATACCAAGGCACCGAAGCTATTTGGCAATAGCCAGTGCCTGAATCCGGAACCGTTTTCCTGTTGTGGAGATGGCGATCTTTTTACGTGGTGGGTTTGGGGGGGATTTTTTCTCTAGTGTGTTCCGGACTATGGATCATGACTCGGAGGCTCGGAAAATGTATACGAGAGGGTCGATGGATTCATGGCGTGATTCCTACTGGGAAGACTTAGTGGATCTGGGTAGGGACTATTTGTTGCGTTCAAGTTTGGTTACGGGACTGTGCTAATTTGATGGAGACGATCTACTGTTCGTATTCATTTCCGTGGTGGCAAGGAGATTCGTATTGGTGCATTTGTAGTTTATTGAGGTGCCAGTGTAATCTTTCTACTATACATAAAATTGATTTTGATCAGATATCTATGTAGACCTCTGCGTTGTATATTGTACATGAGAACTGAATCTCCGTGAAGCATAATGTCCCGCAGCTTCTGCTGCCACCCTTCATATCAATCAAATACACCGGCCCAGATGCAATTAAACATGTAAGTCCCACATTTGGACAGAAGAGAAGAGTCCGACGATCCGCAGTCAAAACGCCAATAGCAATACAGGAACCAGAAAGGTCATAAGAACGGTAGAAATAAAGCTTGCGGATGGATGGATGGGAGCGGAGAAAAATCATAGGTATCTCTTCTCGTAGATCTCTTCATAGCACTGAACGTGGTCACCGACAGCAAAACTAGTCCAGCCTTCGAAGCCGATACCACATTCGGTGTCCTTACGCATTTCAGTCACGTCCTTCTTGACGTTCTTGAGGGAATTGATAGAGCCTATAAATGTATGATCAGCGTCCAGCTCGCAGCAACGGAGTTTTATCCAGCCAAACAGGACGGGGAGCTTACCATCAAAGATTGTTTCCTGGCCCCGTATTACTCGTACTTTCCTGGCCTTGCTAATTATGCCATTGCGTACCTTACATCCGGCAATGGCTGTCTTCTCTCTTCCTTTGAGCGTAATCTCGAATATCTGTCCAATCTCCGCTTCTCCAGTGACACGGTGACTCACCGACGGAGGTAGCTGTTCGCTTAAGATTGCTTTGACATCGTCAATGAGTTTGTAAATAACGTTATGATCCATGATTTTGACCCCTCGAACTTCTGCCATGCGAGACATGGCAGGGTCGATGGGCATATTGAAGGAGACGATATGACCGTTGGCAGAGGCTGCATGCTCAATGTCGAACTCACTGATTGGTCCGACCTCAGAACGGAGCACATTAGCAAAGACTTCGTTGTTGCCAATTGCAGTTACCGAGTTCAGGACAGCCTCTGCGGATCCGCCAACGTCAGCTTTGATGACAAAATGTACTGGTTTAGGGCCAGATGTCTCCTGGACCGAACTAGCAGCCTCATTGCCCTCGGATTCTTCCTGCCGGCGCCTCTCGAGCAGTTCACGCCGTGCCTCGTTGATCGCCACGGTATCCTGGCCCAATTTTTGAGTCTCGGTTTTGTCTAGTCGATAGTCTACGACGTCTTTGGCTTGCTGCTCGTCAACAGCCTCAAGAAGTTCAGTCCCAGCAGACGGTTGTTCCCTCCAACCGTCAACCTCGACTGGCATGCCGGGAGTAGCTTCGGAGATTGCGACGCCCGCCTCATTCCTGAGAGTGCGTACACGAGCCCAGGTTGTGCCCGCGACAATGATATCACCCGGCCGTAGTGTACCACGTCTGATGAGCACCGTCGCCACACGGCCGTAGCTTTTAGTTGTGCCCTCAATCACCCATCCCTCAGCTTTGCTGTCGACCTCCGCTCGATGGTCGAGAACCTCCGAAAGCGTGACGATAGCTTCTTCGAGTTCCAACATACCCTGACCAGTTTTACCACTTACTCCAATCGCTTGCACGTCGCCGCCGTAGTCTTCGACGTGTACACCGTGGATAGAAAGATCCTGTTTGACTTTCTCAAGATTGACGTTTTCCTTGTCAATCTTACTGATAGCGACAATAATAGGAACCCTGGCTTCCGTGGCATGCTTGATTGCCTCGATTGTCTGTGGCTTGACGCTATCATCTGCCGCGATTACGAGGACTACAATGTCAGTGACGTCTGCACCGCGGCGACGCATATCCAGGAACGCAGCGTGGCCAGGAGTGTCCAAGAATGTGATGGTCTTTCCAGAGGGCATAGCCACGGAAAAAGCACCGATATGCTGTGTAATGCCTCCGTGTTCTGAAGCGGCCACGGACGAGTTTCGAAGCCAATCCAAAATAGTGGTTTTGCCATGATCAACGTGTCCCATAATGGTCACCACCGGTGGTCTGGAGGGTAAAATGGACTTGTCTTCAGGCTCAGGCGCAGATACCAGGTCTTCATCCTCTGCACTTTCGAAAATGGGCTCGAAATTGTATTCGGCTGCGACAAGGCCGGCGGTCTCGGCGTCAAGAACGTGGCTGTATGTGACGCCCTCAAAGCCATATCTTCCATTTGTTGAACAAATTGTGCAGGCCGCACCCCGATGACATCAGCAAGATTGCTAACACTGATGAACTCCGGTAGATACAGTGGAATTGAGGCCGACTCTAACTCTTTTTGCCGAGCCTTTTCTTTCTTCTGCCGTTTGCGTTCCTCGCGGCGACGGCGGCGGTCAGCTTCTTCCTCGTCATCCTCATCAGCCTCGGATTGTCGCTCCCTACGGATATCCCGGCGCTTCGAGGCCTTTTCAGAATGAGTGACGTCGCCATCCTCATTCAATTTGAGCGATGACGAATCCCAGGACCATGGGTCTACCGGAGCATCTTGTTTCTTTGGCTTCGGTTTGGACTGTCGCTCACGACGACGCTCGGCAATCCTTTCTTCTCGAGCTTCCGCTTCTTCCTCTTCTTTTTTGAGATCATACACAAGCCGCGCTCCCACTGGCTTTCCCTTACTAGCCATAAATGTCCTAATGGCATTGTCCCGTCTGGTCATTGCTGCGGAACCACCATGTTCTTGATTCATATCGGACAGCATCTCATGACCCAGCCTCCGGATTTTCAAGGTTTCTTCTGAAGCTCCAGCTTTGCGCGTTTCAGCCTTGCGGGTTCTCTCCATTTTCCGCGCCGGATTCTTGGATGGCCACGACGGCCAAGCCAAATCTGGTCGCACAGCTTTACAGCATGGGCAAGTCTGATGCTTCCCAAAACAGTTATATTGACAGTCCGGGCAGATCCAGTCCGAGGCACGCAGACTTCTCGGTACATATTTGCTATTCACCTCTAAACCTTTATCAGGCTGCAGGGATTGGCTTTCTCCATCTTCGAAAGGACGCCGTCTGTTCTGTCGCCTTGGAGGTCTGTTCCAATCAACCCGCGATTCCGCTCTACGCTGTGATCCACGTAGTTCTTTTTCTTGCAGTCGTCGTTGCTCTTGTTCTTCCGCGGCCTTCTTCGCTAGTAGGGCATCTCGCATCGCTTGTTCTGCTGGACTGAGACCGGCTGGCTTCTGTGCTTGTTTAGTTCCCCAACGAGCGCCAAATTTAGGCTTTGGGGTCGCAACATTGGAGCCCTCTTCGCTACCTGTATTCGACGGAGAGGATTCGGACGAGTTGAAAGCTATGAGGGAAGAACGAAAGCTCCGCCGGGGGAGGTACGGTAATCTCGGAGAGAAAGGAACATCTCTGTGCCTGGCGGCGCAAGTCCACTCAACACCATGACGGCGGGATAACTGTAGAAGAATATAATTAGAGATTTTCTCTAGGATACGGACAGCGGAGTCCAATCAACCGTTTGGGAATTGCTCACCTCCAAAGCCGCACGCCGGTGCATAATGGAGAGACAAGGAGTGGGTTGTCTTGTCACTGGTTTCCCTCGGGGCAAAATTCCGGCCGGTAAGGGAAAGTCTCTCATAGCTCAGCACAACACCCGTAATACTTTCCCGCCCGCCTCACGTGCATCGGCGTCTCCGCCGAATCGGAGGCCCGCATTTCTCATTGCTTCGCGCCATCGTTTATTCTGATAAGCACATCGGGGGATCCTTTTTTTATATTCTACTTTCTCCCTACTCCATTGATCTCTTTCTCTCCTCTCCACCCCTTTCGCTGTTTTAGCCGTGCCCCCAATAGCCCCCGGTTAGCTACTCACTGAATCATCGCCATTATGGAAGAGAGAGCACTCGAGGACTTTGAGAAGAGCGACGGGGCCCTGCGCACCATCAAAGATTTGGGTGCTGGTGCAGCCGGTGGAATTGCTCAGGTTCTTCTTGGTACGTTGTTGAGACCGTTATCAGCATTGCAGGGTTGAGATACCCTTAGTCATTGCAATTTGGTTTATTGCGTGTAGAACTGTAGTTTTATAGTTTCACGAGAACAAACTATATTTTACGCAGCGTGCTTCTTTCCATTTTGTTTTCTTCAGTGTTCTATGAAATAGCGTTGATGATGAGTTGCTAATCTTCGTATAGGACAACCCTTTGGTATGTACTATAGCCGGTGAGGTAGTGGAGCAATCTAACCCCCGCAGATATTGTCAAAGTGCGGTTGCAAACAACCACTCAGTATGCCAACGCCCTCGACTGTGCGAGCAAGATTTTCAAGAATGAGGGTCCTGCCGCGTTTTACAAGGGAACACTAACCCCCTTGATTGGAATCGGTGCCTGTGTAAGTGCTGCAATAGTCATTATTTTTATCGAGACTCGTCGTTCTCGACCCGCACTCGGAGAGGATAGGGACTGACTTCAACTAGGTCAGCGTGCAATTTGGTGCTTTTCACGAAGCCCGGAGGCGCCTTGAGGAATTGAACAAGAAGAAATATGCCGATAGTAGCCTTTCATACGGGCAATATTACATGGCAGGTGGTTTCGCGGGTCTCACCAACTCCGTTTTGTCTGGGCCTATTGAGCATATCCGTATTCGCATGCAGACCCAGCCACACGGCGCAGACCGGTTGTACAATGGCCCTATCGACTGCATCCGTAAGCTCTCTGCTCAGGGAGGCGTCCTGCGGGGCCTCTACCGTGGTCAGAACGTCACCTACCTCCGTGAGATCCAGGCTTATGGCATGTGGTTTTTGACCTTTGAATTCTTGATGAACCTGGATGCCAAGCGCAACAGTGTCAAGCGCGAGGATATCTCTAGTCTCAAGGTCGCTACCTACGGTGGATTGGCTGGCGAGGCGCTTTGGCTGAGCAGCTACCCATTTGACGTGGTGAAGAGTAAGATGCAGTGTGATGGCTTCGGGGCTCAGCAACAGTTCAAGAGCATGACAGACTGCTTCAAGAAGACATATGCTACCGAGGGTCTCGCTGGCTTCTGGAAGGGCATTGGTCCCACCCTGCTGAGAGCTATGCCTGTGTCGGCTGGAACATTCGTCGTGTATGTTTAATTCTTTTCCTTGATTGGAAACGTCTCGTGTGGAAGATGCTAATAATTGGATTTTAGTGTCGAGCTTGCCATGAAGGCAATGGGTTAAATTAACTCCCCGAAATTACCCCCATTGTTCATTCACGTTATATTTTTGTTTCCTACTACGAATTATTGATATCCAATTTTCGTTCACATTCAACAGTGAGGAAAAAGCTATTAGATTTCCTTTTTCTTTGACACGCACAGTTTTGAGTGGGCCGTTTTGGTCATCCGGTTTTAGCATTCAGGTGATATAGATGGCTCAATTTATGGATATGATGTCTTCATGCGTTTTTCTTTTTTTTATTCTCACCCCTGGTCCATGATACTACTATTGGCTCTTAAGTTGTACGAAAATTTACATTAATAACGAACCTTGCTCGTAGGAGAGGTTCCCTGGGAACTTTGAATCAGCAGCTACTTTGTAAACTTGATCGAAAGCGCGAGAGAATGCACGAACTGTATGCCAGTCCATTGGATGTAGCGCGAATGAGCCGTAAAAGTTTACACCTGACGATAGATATTAAAAGAGGATATGTTGATGTGTTTCCGACCTTAAGAGCCTACAGTAATAATATGGGGTACTCCAGAGATTGGAGTATGCACATCAAAACGGGTATAGCGCTGTTCCTGGATGCCTTAGGCATAATATTCGCCAAGCCCGACATCAAAAGTTCGAGCGGAAAGATAACCCAGGAAGTTATTGCTGGTGGAAATCGGCTTCACAACCTAGCACAGCACAATATGATTGCCCGGCAACTGTGTATGCGGCAGAGTAAGTTTGCTCACGAATTGCGATCATGTTAATGCTCTTTGAAGAAGAACGTCTGCTAATTGCTCTCCGGCCCAGGCCGCCAGCTTCATGCCTTCAACCGCCAGGCTCGGACTCTGAACTCGCTCAACCGATTTTACTCAACTGAACCACCAGTCGACACCACACTTCAGACCCGTATCCAGGAGCGTTCTGCTGAGATCGAGTCCCGCTATCAAAATGATGCCGTTCCCGAGAGAATCTCGAGGAGGCGTGCCGAACAGTTAGCCTGGAAGGCACGAGGCGAACGAAGTAAGCCTTCGCAATTTTACAATTCGAAAGGGCAGCCATCCTTGGAGAATATCGACTGACTGTGTGCTTCTTTTCATAGGATACAAATTCCAAGACCTTGGCAGCAGCGTGACAGACGCCTACAAACCAGAGGATATCCTCCGGAACCCTCCTAAGCCTTCCGACATTACCCTCGAACTGCTCCTTGCTTCTCAGACACACCTCGGACACTCAACGTCCCGCTGGAACCCCCAGAACTCGCGCTATATCTTCGGTATTCGAGACGGCGTCCATGTCATCTCCCTGGACGTGACCGCGGCGTACCTGCGTCGTGCGGCCAAGGTGGTAGAGGAAGTCGCAGCCCGCGGCGGATTGATCCTTTTCGTCGGTACACGGAAGGGACAAAAGAGATACGTGGTCCGCGCCGCAGAGATGGCCAAGGGTTACCACATCTTCGAGCGATGGATTCCCGGCAGTTTGACCAACGGACAGCAGATCCTGGGCCACTGCGAGACCAAGGTCGTGAATGCTATGGATGACGAAATCCCCAAGTACAGGGAAGCTTTGGCCGACCGTTCGGTCCTCAAACCTGACCTGGTGGTCTGCCTGAACCCGCTCGAGAACGTCGTCTTGCTCCACGAGTGTGGCCTCAACAACGTCCCTACCATCGGTGTCATTGACACGGATGCTGATCCTACCCGCGTCACATACCCCATCCCCTCCAACGACGACAGCATGCGTGCCATCGGTGTCATCGCTGGTGTCCTGGGACGGGCAGGAGAAGCTGGTCAACAAAGGAGATTGGAGAACGCAAAGAACGGAGTCCTAACTTACCCACCCCTGACTCCTGGAGACCTCCTCTCCGAAGAGCGTCTGGCCGAGCTCGCCCAAATCGAAGCAGGAAATACTGCTGCCAACGCTGAGGCCGCCGAACTTACCAACAAGCTCGATGAGGCCGTGCAGTCCATCGAAACCGAGCAGCCCGCCGAACCCCAACCCGAGCCCCAGGCCAAGGCCCAGGTCCCAGAAACCGAGAAGCCCACCGAACCCCAACCAGAACAGCCTAAGGCCCAGGCCCAGGCCCAGGCCCCGGAAACCCCCGTTAAGGACCAGTAATGAAGAGCATTTCGTTGGCGTTGCTCTCTTCCTGTCTTGATTTCTTTTTTCAACCTTATCTCTCTGCTTACGTGTGAGCCTTGAAGCAAACTTATGGGACTGTAACTGTATAGAACATTGTAAATTCCTTGATTCGCCTGGTGTTATAACAAACATGTATTACCAATATGACGCATTTAGTGCCTCTTTTCTCGACCATCGGGTTATGTTCAGTACCGTTTGTTTGTCTGTCTTGGAAACAACTATATCACTCTTATCTCTGGAAGTACTCTTACCTTAGCACATATAGGCTATGCATAATGAATCCAAACAAGATGATTAAGGTCGCGTATTCCCAAGCAATGCTAACAATTTGAGATAACTAGTACGTATCTCTAGTAGTGACGTACGTAACTTACCAACCAATACGCATAAGTACACATGGAAAGACCAAAACGCACGACATCCGATAGAAAATTAACAGAAACCCGAACATGTCGATCACCATCGAAGAATATCTCGAAGCAAAGCAATCTATTGGGCGCTTGTGCATTAGACCGGAACGTTAATATAGGGGTCATGGCCACGACGTTGAGAGAACCCCGCTTCAATTAGGTGGCCTTACGTTTTCGTCAGGCGAAGGGGGATACAGAGCGTAGGGAATACACAAGCAAGGAGAATTTCACGACGGGAGGCCTACCCTTGGGATCTGGAATCGCACGGATGTAGTACAAGTCTTGCAATTGGTGGTTTGTTAGCTGGTTGGGGCGGTGGATGGGGTGACAGTTGCATGTAGTGTGGGTAGATTAAGTCCGGAGTGGGTGGGTTTTTGAGCATTTCAATACGATGGAGATCATTTGTAGAAGGGAAAGGGTCTAATCTTGGCCGTTTACTTTTGTTGAAGAGATGGAGGCTCATATTCACATCGATTCAAGTAGACAATAGTCTAATTCAAGGTAGCAAGAGTTATAATTGTATCAAAAGGCCAATGAACAACGCGTCTTATCGTAAATGAGCTAATAAGCCCAGATGTAGCAACAAAATGAATAGAAAACAAGATAAAGTATATCCCCAGAACATGTCCATGTGAAGCAAGGCAGAGACAGAAAAATATAAGGAGAATCGTGCGAACCCGGCCAGCCGAACGAGGTAGAAGTCGAAAGGAGCTAGTTCACGTGTCGTGGAGAGGGATCATCGTGGAGAAGCGAGGTGACAATGATAAATTTACCGCTTGAGGAACTGGCCAAGCTGATCCATCATACCGTTGCCGGATCCACCCTGAGGCTGGCCACCGCTATATTGGCTGCCACCGTAGCCACCATACTCTTGCTGCTGCTGCTCGTGCTCCTTCTTCTCCTTGTGCTGCTTCCAGCCGTCCTGCGCGATGTGACCTAAGATAGCTCCACCAACCGCACCGAGGAATCCGTGCTCAGCCTTGTGGCCGGCGAAGCCACCTGCCAGACCACCGGCAAGAGCACCACCGAGGCCACGTTCACCGTCCTGAGCACCGCCGGGGGCCTGATCACCGGATCTGTGGGAACCAAAATTAGTTGGTTGGTCCAGTAGTGTAAAGGAAGATGCTGATGAAGATACATACCCTCCGTAGCCACCCTGCTGAGCATATCCTTGCTGCTGGCCGCCATAGTGCTGCTGACCGCCGTAAGACTGCTGGTGGTGCTCAGACTGTCCGCTGCCGCCGTAGTAGTCGCTGGCAGCGCCAGAGCCGGAGCTGCCGCTACGGTCGTATCCCTGATCGTATCCAGAAGACTGTCCGTAGCCCTGCTGCTGGTAGCCGCCCTGAGGGGGGTAGCCACCCTGCTGACCGTAGCCTTGCTGGCCTTGGTTGTAGTAGCCGCCGCCCTGCTGGTTGTACTGATCGTAGCCAGACATGATGTGTAGTGTAGAGTTGGATGTAGGAAAGTTGAAGGAGGTTTGAATGGATGAAGGAGTGATGGATGAGTATGAAGATAAGACCGAGAGAACGGGGCAGTTGGGACCTTTTTATAAGAAGATGGGTTGGCCACTTGATAGGATGATCTATTAAGAGCACAGGGCTGAGTTTCTGATGACAAGAGGGAAACGACCCCACCATGCGCCCAAGGCAAATCTTCCCCCGTGTGCCAAGCCCCAATGTTTCCACTTGTTCTCAGCGCCCCAATAATACCGGACTTTCAGTACGGGTACGGTCAACTTCAAGGCGGTGCAAGTGCCTTGTGTGTATGGCAGTGGCGTCTGCCTGTCAGCCTGTCACCTCGTTCTGAGACTCCCTCCACGATCGCTATGCTCTAGTGTGTGGTTTAAGGTGATTCGATGGACTTCCAAGACAGATTCGCAACAAGCGCGCGGGGTGGCTGTGTCACCTGTGGCCATGTGTTGCGTCCCGTGCTTACAGGGCTGAGTAAGGCTGTATTATTGTGACCATCTCAGGTTGGACGGATGCCCCGCCAAACTTTCAACGATCGTCACGATGTTACCTTCATTCGGTAACTTTGAGAAAATTCCATCGTAACTTGGCTGGTTGCCTACGAACCCAAGGCTCTCGGCGGAGAAAACGAATGCCCTTTTTGGTCTAGTGATACAAAGCCGAGGCAGCACTAGTATATGTTGGCTACCATTTAACTGGTGCAGTTGATCCCACATACTCGTCTTGGTAGTAAGAGTCCAGTTGTACTTTGTACTCACCCCCGCCATACATTGTTAACAGGTATATACATACTAGTAATCATATACAGTAGCACCTCACAGCCACACACTGCGGCTGTGCCCTATCAACAACTGCATGACGTCAATTCTTCGATGAATTGCAGGTTCAAGGGGATTATCTCATTCTGATCTTATTCTGATCGCAGCATGAGAATACTAGAAGCTTCTATTCTCGGAACCTCGGGTTCTTGAAAGTTGAATCAACAACTTGCGGTCCGGGCTTGCCGAACCCCTCCGGTACAACTCGGGAGGGAGGTATTATACCCACGTACAGAGTATGTACTATGTATGTACATACTGTACGAGGTAACACGGTATTACCCACGTTCCTACCAGGCAGCCATATTCTTTACCCATGTTTCTCCCTGTTAGACGAGGCCGTCTACCGACTTTGGTATGAGTACGTACCGCAATAGTGGAGAGTAGCTAATCTACCTGAGGGGCGAAGATGCACTATAATTGGATACTGTGAGCGCTACTCCTAAAATAGTTTCCAGTATCCCGGGCCCCTCGGCCCTTAGCACCACCCGGTGCAATGAACAAGCAGCGACGAGGAACACGACGTTCAGGAACACACGGCAAGTATAGCCTCATTATGCTTGTTCCTGAGTTCTAGACTCTCGGCTGCTTCCGGACTGAGCCACGGCCCCTGATGTTCTGTGAGTCGATCTACTAGTGTCCAGAGCTGCTAGCTACGTATGGCAGGTTGATGATCCAGCCATAGAGAATGAGTTGCCTTGCACTAGTTTCGTCATCGGGCAAGATTTCAGCTGCTATCAACCAACGCGCGAGGCTGAGTTTCTATCAACACCCTTGGTCTCCAAAGTCTTTGCGGCTCATCAATGTGGCTTAAAAAACAGTGTCGCCTGTTGACGGTTGGATATATAGTAATATGGACTTATATTCCACGTATATCACGCATGTCGTGTAACTTGACTGAATGTCTTGAGCTATGTCATCACCTACATATCCAGCTCATACATGACTGCCTTATCAATGAACCGGCATATCCCTTGCGTCTTTAACACTTTGAAATCAACATCGGCTTCCTCCGAGAACCTCTGGTTTCTATCCTCAGATCTAGCGAGCGATACACTCATGACGACAATCAACTTCACTCAGTAGCTAGCAATAGCGGCGTGATAGAAGGGCCCTGGTGTTAATATACTAGTAAGCGTGCAGGCAGTGTATATTTCTTTCTGGAACGGTCAAACTCCAAGAAACGCAACCAAGGTTTCAACTTATTATGGCTGTTGCTCTGTTTCGGTGGTTAATATGGATGCCATGAAATGTGGGTATGGTACCTATGCACTCCATGTTGGAACTGTTGTGGGGCCTCTGATGAATAGCCATAGATGCTACTAGTACTAGTTGTGTGTATATATACTTAAGCGAGTAAAAAATTGCCCAGTGTGATATTAGGAATACATGTTTTTTCCATATGCCTGTGGGTTGGTGGCCAACATCATACATTGTATTGTATAGCCTTGCCTCAATTGATTGCCATAGTTCCAACAAACAAGATCTTACTACAGATAGGATCTGACAAGCAAACAAGTTCTATGAAACGTGACAGCTTGTACTAACCAACCTTTGGATACATTCCTGGGGAATGTCCTGCTCAAGATAGGGGTTTAAATAGGTATGCGGGGTATGGAGCTTGTTTTTCATACATAATCATCCATCACCAACTTCTTCACTTTCCCTAGTATTAAAATTCAAATCTCTTTGTCGCCCAACGCAATAGATCAGCCCTAACCCTCCTATCATCATACTACATAAGGTCCAAGCTTCCCACCATTACATCCTGCACGCGCAAACTGCGGGTCACCAGGACACACACGCTTACTCCATCAGTCGAAACACATTTCAAACCCAGCCATACCAAAGATCCATCGCGAACAAATAAATATCTCAACTCAAAAATCAGACGTCTGGGGAAAAGCCCTCATCATGTGACTTCCGCGGCTGCATGGACGATCAAGAAGACGGCAGACCCGGATTGGCTCAGCGCGCGAAGGGTCATACTAACAGCCTAAGATCCAATATATTTACTTTTTGCGGGTCGCGCCTGACCTCCTAACAAAACCACTCACCCCGTGCTAGCAGGGTGTCTATTGAGGACCTATGACGAATGGCTCTTCAACCCGGCTCATGGTGTTCGTCGTGGTATCCACTAGATCGGATATAAAGCTGTTCATCTTAGGCAGATGACCGGATCAGCAACCCCCCTTGTGCCGAATGATGTAGGGCTGTCGTGCGGCTGGTGGAGATAATTTGCGGTATGGCATACGCGTGCGGATATTTTTTTTCTTCTTTTCTCGGGGGGGTATTGTTGATATAATGCTTTCTTTTTCTTTTTGGCTATGGAGTTTAAAAGGGGGTGGAGTTCACCTGAGCTGTTTTATAATGCTTTTTCCCCCTTCTTTCTGTTCTCTGGTTAGGCCTATAGACTAGGTTAGCTAGCTGGCACAAAATGGCTACTACTCTTTATTTACTTTTGCATCTTTTTCTTTTCTCAGCTTTGCACGGGCTAACATATGCCTCCTACCCCCCGACAGTATATCTCATCCGTCATGGAGAAAAGTCAGGCGATCCCCTAGACAGTGGACTAAACGCAGATGGTTGGAAACGAGCCGAATGCGTCCGGGGCGTGTTCGGGGAAGCCTCACCTTACGAGATTGGCCATATAATGGCACCGCATGTTAAGAAAAGCAAGTATTCTCTGCAACCCTACAAACCCCTAATCTGAACACTACACACAGCACTACACACAAAGAGCAAAATCATCTGCCCATGTACAGGATAATTAACCAATCCGACAGATGGAGAACACAGACGCTCCTACGAGACCGTCCTCCCACTCGCCACAGACCTCGGTCTAACCGTCGACACCTCCTGCAAGCGGAACAAAGTCCACTGCGTTGCGAAAACAGTCAACGACTATGACGGACCCGGCAATATCCTGATCTCCTGGCGGCATAAAAAGATGAGGGAGTTGGTTCAGGCGTTGGGGTATGATGATGCGCCTGAGTATCCGGACGATCGGTATGTTGGTCTTCATATTCCTCTTGGTATTGATCTTGGTGGTTGAGGAGCTGTAAAAAAAAAAGGCGTTAATTATAGGAGGAGAGTTCTTTGTACTGACTGGGCCGTTCTTGTAGGTTTGATCTGATCTGGACCATTCCGTTCCCGTATGACAATATCACGGACATCCGGAGCGAGGACTGCCCAGTGTTGGATATTCCTGAGGAATTGACGGTTGAGCTTTGATGATTCATTGCGTGCTAATACCCTTTTTATACCCATAAACGAGGAGGACATAAGTCGTCATATGCTACATGGCTGGAACTAGTAGCCTGGATTTGGATACAGCACAGGAAGTGCAACATGTTTTGGGGGGGGGGGGGGGGGGGGGTTCTCCCTAGATATATGTCGCCACACCCGTTGACAGATAAGGTATGGAAGATACAGCAGGGTGTTTTCGCATCGGAGCTTGCATAGGCATCCTTAGATTGGATTAGATTGAAGATGGATAGTGGAATGCCAATTGGGTCACGGATATGTGCTAAACCAAGAGGAATACTGCGTGCGTATTTGCTCTCTTGTATCTCAACAAGGATAAATCGGATCGGTGAGGTGTTCAGTTTTGAGTTATTATTGGGCGGTCACTGTTATGTATACCACAAAAGAATTATATTCTATGTAGGGCGGTCAGTCAGGTTGATATTGGAGTAAAGTGGATGATCTCATACAGAGAAATGCCGTCGTTGTATGGGGACATTTAACCACAGAGCAAAGCACCTCTTCCATTGACCAATTCCGGCTTCAGTTAAAATTAGTAGATCTTGGATATTAGCGAGAAGTATGGAACTGAGACACTCAACACAAATAAAGTTAGAATAAGTTAGTCGATATGATAAGTCAGCAAACCCACGATGTGGCAGGCGGTGAACAACCAGCAAAAAGCAAGCGGAGAAAAAGAACGCCAAGATTTCGAACCGCCCACCCAATTTTTTCAAGAGTATCGCGTCCATGCTTCGAGAAACCCCCCTCAACGTCCAGGTGACAATCACCCAATCCTACATAATACCCGGAACGGAGCTGCTGTGAATCTCCGATTCAAGTGGGAAGAAAATGGATGATATCGAGGTATGTGGGCTTGCTTCCCTTTGTTCGTCCATGATTCTTGTGGTATTGCATTCCGGCCCCAGAATTGAAAATTGACGATCGGGAAATTTTTTGGCTCTACAGGACCGCTTGCGTAGCCACGCCCAGGCTTTTGATGGCCTCTTGTCGTTGATTCCGGCGAAATACTATTATGGGGAGGATGGTAGTGTATGTGTTTCTACTGCCTGCTGTCTTTGATACCTTTTGTCCCGTTTTCCCCACGGTCTCCGGCTTGTTCTGCGCCAGGCGTGGCTGACCACCCATATCCTTTATAGGACCAATGGAAACGCAAGAAGCAGACGAAAGAGGAAGCTCGTGAGGCGAAACGGGCGAAATTGGACCCCGATGCCGCGAAGACCGCTAAAGACGTAATGGAAGAGAACGCCCGGAAACGCAAGCGTCAAGAAGATGGTCAAAATGAGGCCGCATCGTCTGAGGATGAAGAACTCGGCTCAGAAATGCCTAAGGAAGGCCTGAAGCGGGCCGACGCAGCAAAGAAACAGAAGCAATCCGAAGACCCGGCGAAGTCAGAAGAGGCAGAAGCACGTAAGAAACTAAAGGAAGAGAAGAAGGCACAGAAGAAGGAGCAACAAAAAGAGAAGAGGAAGCTAAAGAAGCCGCCAAGAAGGAAAAGCAGAAAGAACAGCAAGATAAAGAGGCTAAAACAGCTGCTGCAGATGCTGCACAGAAGCCAGAGTCTAAGTCTGCCAGTGATAAGAACAAGAAGCAAGAAAAGCCACCTGTAAAGGATCACAATAATGATGATGACGTTGATGAAGAAGAGGCCGAAGGTCTCGCTCTCGAGTTCAGCCCAGAGCAAACAGAACAGTCTTCCTCTTCTTCTACCCCCAACTCCCCTGGTTTCGATGCCTCCGCTCTTCAATCGGGCGCCTCTTCGATATCTTCTATTGTCCCTCCATCTGCTCCTAACGATGCCTCTAAGGACTCATCATCCGATCAAAAGCCTCTCAAGTCCACACCCGAAGAGCTCAAGCAACGACTACAAAAGCGTCTTGATGAGCTTCGCGCAGCCCGTCATGCAGACGGGCTGAACGGCAAGCCCGCGAGGAACCGCCAAGAGCTGATCGAGGCCCGCAGACAGAAGGCAGAACAACGCAAGGCGCACAAGAAAGAGCTACGACAGAAGGCCAGGGAGGAAGAGCAACGGGTGAAGGACGAGGCATTGGCCCGCCGCTTCTCCCCAGGTGGGTCGGGCTCTCTTCTCGCCTCGCCTCGCTCCCCAGCCGAGTCGGTGGGTTCTAGCGCTGCTAATTATTCCTTCGGCCGTGTCGTTTTCGCCGATGGCCAGACTGCTGATCCCAGTCTGAACAACGTGCGCGATCAGCCCAAGCGCCATGGCCCCCATGACCCCGCTTCAGCCTTGAAAGCCGTTGAGGCTAAGAAGGCCCGATTGGATAGCATGGACGACGAGAAACGTGCTGAACTCGAGGAGAAAGACATGTGGCTGAACGCCAAGAAGCGCGCTCACGGTGAACGAGTCCGGGATGACACTTCACTGTTGAAGAAGGCTCTTAAGCGTAAGGAATCTGCCAAGAAGAAGTCCGAGCGTGAATGGAAGGAGCGCATAGAAACCGTTCGCAAGGGCAAGGAAACGAAACAACAAAAGCGCGAAGACAACCTCCGGAAACGCCGCGAAGAAAAGGGTAACAAGGGCAAGAAATCTGCCGCAGGCAAGAAGAAAGCTAGACCCGGTTTCGAGGGAAGCTTCAAGGGCAAATCTGGAGGAAAGAAATGAACAGTGACTAGTATGTAATACCAACTTATGTATCTAAAAAGAAAGATATCCTTCCGCAGCAGCCCTTGATGATGAGCACTTGCTCTGCGGAGAACAAAAGTGATCAAAAGGTAAAAGAAAATCGAGGAGTGTGGGAATTGGTGTTTGGGCTTCTTTGGGGGGTTATCTTGTTATTTGTGCATATGTGCATAGGCAGCGATTCACCTGTTGATATTCATAAATTTCAAAGGAGTTTTCTTGGTTTCATCTCATCTCTTTTGTAGGGGACCTTTAAAAGATTTGAAATAAAAGAAAATGAAGTACTCTTAGATTTATTCCCTAACAAAAACAGTATAGAAAACAGGAACAAGCCATGCAGGATTTCCCTCCAACATCAAGACAATAAAAGAACAGAGCCGGAATTCTAGTGACTGGGATCCCCTGTGAACCCGACTAGTACATCTGGTAATGAAGCAGGCTAAGCGTTAGATATGTACAAAGTGGGAAGATGAGGGTGTCGACCCTTGGATATCCTCTGAAGGAAAAGTTTGTCTTTCCCTTATCTGATTTTTATGATAAGATTCTTTTGAATCCATCTTATCTAAGGTGGATTTACGTGATGTGACACCGGATTCAAGAGTGTCCTTGTGATATGAAAGCAGCTGGTATTGTTTTAACGGTAGGGAGCGTCAGCTCTGGCAGCGGCGGCAATTTCAGGCTCCCACTTGTCACCGTTGGCCAGGAGCTTCTCCTTGTTGTACAGCAGCTCCTCACGGGTCTCGGTGGCATATTCAGCATTGGCAGCTGTGTCGCAGCAGGTCAGTCACGGTATTCAAGAGATCTAATCCTAGGATGGCTGGTGCTTACTCTCAACAATGGCATCAACAGGGCAGCTCTCCTGGCAGTAGCCACAGTAGATGCACTTGGTCATATCGATATCATAACGGGTCGTCCGACGGCTTCCGTCCTCACGTTCCTCGGCCTCGATGGTGATAGCCTGAGCAGGGCAGATAGCTTCGCAAAGCTTGCAAGCGATGCAACGCTCCTCACCGGTGGGATAACGGCGCAGGGCGTGTTCGCCACGGAAACGAGGGGAGATGGGGCCTTTCTCGAAGGGGTAGAAGATAGTGTAACTGGAGTATGATATCGCATCAGTCAAGCTGTTTGACCGGTCGAGAGCCCCAAGTAGCATGTCCCAGCACGCAATCAGGATATACAGCAGTAGTATATGACCGCAAGGGATACCAATTGGCCCTAGGCGACTGGAAGAGCTTGATAAGGCGCGGGAGAGGGCGACTTACGGTGGTCTGAAGAACTGCTCCAACACGACGTACATGCCGCGGAAAATCTCCGACATGAGGAAGTATTTGCTGGCCTTGTCCAAGGAGGACTCGGTAGTCTCGTCCCATTTCTTGGGGGGAGCCAGACGGAAGCCGGATGGAGGGGGACCAGCTGGGGTAGCAGCCCGGCACACCGAGGAAGAGAAGTTTGCGGTTGAACCTAAGGGACGGAAAGAAGAGGTCAACAGAGAAGGCGCAGGCCGGCGGTAGGCGACCAGCCTCGCGACCGACTTCGAGGAGGCCATGGCGGGGGATGAGATAGCGGACTGGAGAAGAGGAATGGAGTGGTGAGGGGAATCAATTGGGGGGTCAAAGTGGGAACAGGACAACTGGGAAGAGGTTCACGAAAGTCGCTTTTGGTGGTTTGCCGGCGGCTTAGGTCATTTCTTTCTGCCGCCCCGTGATTGGCCGGCCGCAGGTTTTTGCTTCCCCCGAGCCGCAACGCCAAAGCAGAACTTCAGAAACTCCAAGTCTCATAAGTCCATCTTTCCTACCACTCCCGACACTACTCTCTCGTCACCACCGCCCTCCCTTTCTCTTTCCTACTTAATTCCCCGGCAATTGCGCCTTTCTTCCACTTCCTCTTAAACCGACACAATGTTCCGTTCCGCTGTTGTCCGCTCTTTGAGGGCCTCCGTGCCTCGTGCCGTCAGGGCCCCGGCTACCTTCCAGATCCGCAGCGCTCCTGCCGCTCAATTCGCTCCTCGCTTTGCCTACCAGGGCGTCCGTCTCTACTCCGCTCCTGCCGGTCTTAACAAGGAGGAAGCTGAGGGTCGGATAGTCAACCTTCTGAAGAACTTTGACAAGGTACGTCGACTTACTTTCCCGCCTCGGAAACGAAGACCATCCCAGAATCATCTACGGGAAACTTGAAAAATGGCTAATGTATCCAATTATCGCATAGGTTTCCGATGCCAGCAAGGTTAGTTCACATTTGTTGCCTCCGGGCGTTTGATGGGCCGGTTTAGACCCGCACGCAGAGCAGTGAACTAAGGGAATCAAATCTATCAGATCAACGGCGCTTCTCACTTCGCAAACGACCTTGGACTTGACAGCTTGGATACCGTGGAGGTTGTTATGGCCATTGAGGAGGTATGGATATCGCACGTTCCCTATTATATTGGCCTGGAGTTGAATCCTGACGTTTTATCTCGAACAGGAATTCAGCATTGAGATCCCCGACAAGGATGCCGATGCCATCCACAGTGGTAAGTCTTATCTGAATGAGGCCCTTTGATGGGCAGAATACGGTGATCGTCCATATACTCATCTTTTGATACAGTTGATAAGGCTGTTGAGTACATCCTTGCTCAGCCCGATGGTAAGTCATGCCTTGCTTTGACAATGTCAACGTGTATGAGTTGACCACGACTAACTGGTATCGCAGCCCACTAAATTATGTAATACGAAGGTCTGAATGATTTTGCGGGTTAGATAGAAAAGAAGGGGACGGTGGCGTGCATCTACATGGGGTCTCAGCGTGGAAACGCTACTTGTATGCTGATACATGCCGGTGTTGTTTCACCCTACTATATCGTGTATATCATCTTGAATGCAGTTTGATTGATTACTGTTGGGTGTGCGTTGCTACCAGGCTTCCTGAGGACCTCGCTATGCGTGCGCCAATATTTTGATATAAACCGCTCTAGCATGTAGGACTGGTGTTGTACGTTCGGTGATTGAATTGATGCGGGTCTCAAGATGGATTGGGCATGTTGTATATGCCATCCAGCCTCTTGAAATTTAAGACAAGTTAAGAGTGGATCTGAAACGGTGTTGCTCTGACGACTTTCACGAAGGATGACGTGGAGCGGAACAAGTGGAAGCGAACAAGACAAAATCTTAGAAATATACACGGATAAGAGGGGGGAAAGCCTGTAGCTGGAATGGTTTTCGTTCGATAGTTATTGTGTAAATAGATGATTCAATGGTTGCATATCTGTGTGTGTGTGTGTGAGAGAGAGAGAGCCAATGCTCTATATAGAGATTGGAACTTATGGGTCCCCTCCAGGTTAGATAAATTATGACATGGTTTTTGTGGTCCGTCACCGGAGAAGCATTGACGCTAAGGGGAGGAACAAAAGTTGGAAATGAGCCGTTAACTTAATACCAATCGAGAATTTCTTGGACTTCCAAAACACCATCGGGGTTTCTATTCTGGTGTCTGTTTGGCGCAAGGGACTCCATCTGGCCAGCCTGAATTTATTCCTATTGATCGACCGTTTCGGGACAGTTCCAGTTGCAACACTCTCCGCCTCGTGTCCTTCTTCCTCCTCCTCTTCCTCCCACTCTCTCCCCCCTGACAATTACCCGCCCAGCAAACTTTCGGGATATTCTTCCCTCACCCGTCAAGCACGCTATCTTCAAAAAATCTGGTAAACGGTCTATGTCGCAGGTCATAGCGGTATAGATTCCGGTTCCTGACATTCTTCCCGACCGTTCTTTCGCTCTCCTTTCCGCTCCCGAACTCCGATCCCCTATCTCCTCATGGCCTCAGCCGGGGGCTTGACTCGCCGACGAGGTGGCGGTCGAGTCGCTGGCGCAGACGAGAACGATGACAGCAGAGTCTCCTCGCCAGTCTCCAGAAATGGTTCTTCCTTGGACAACCGTATCCCCGAGACGTCGTTCACCAGTGCCGAGAATGGACACAAGATCGCATTCGACCCCAGAGACCTCAGCGAGACCGAGGAACGAAGCAAGCAGCCCAAGCTGACGTTGATGGAGGAAGTACTACTGCTGGGGTTGAAAGATAAACAGGTTAGTCTTGCGCCCGTACCTACTCGTTTACGCCAGGGAATGGCGCGTTGCGATACCCAGTCTGGATGCTGACGCCGGTTCGGGAAATCTCTAGGGTTATCTGTCTTTCTGGAACGAGAACATTTCGTACGCTTTGAGAGGATGTATTGTGATAGAATTGGCCCTCCGCGGTCGTATTAGCATGCAGAAGGATTCTTCTCGACGGCGCTTCCCCCTGGCCGATCGTGTGATTGAAGTCGTCGACGATACATTGACTGGGGAGGTCTTGCTGGACGAGGCGTTGAAGATGATGAAGTCGAGTGAGAAGATGAGTGTGAACTCCTGGATTGATCTCATGAGTGGTACGTACGACTTGATGCTCTCTTATGTTCGATGTTCGAGAGGGCCCCGGGTGCTAACGGGGGACGCGTGGCAGGTGAAACATGGAACTTGATGAAGATTGGCTACCAGTTGAAGCAAGTGCGTGAACGTCTGGCGAAGGGTCTTGTCGACAAGGGCATTCTTCGTACCGAGAAACGCAATTTCCTCCTCTTTGACATGGCTACACATCCTGTCGCCGACGGCGGCGCGAAAGACGACCTCCACCGTCGGGTGCGCAATGTGTGCAGCAATCGAACTGTGATTCTTCCGCCTAACCAGTGGCTTCCTGAGGACTCCGAGTTCCGCTACCTGCGGACGATCACGATGGTATGCGCAGCTTACGCGGCGAACGTCTTGGAAAACGCTCTGGTCACAATGAGCCATGAGGCTCGGGAGAGAGCCTTTGCGCAGGTGGATGAGTTACTGGCAGAGTACTCCCAGTGGCCATTTGCCCGGCGGGCGGGTGGTTCGCAGGCAATTGGAGCTAATTTGGCGGGGGCAATCAACGAGGAGGTGAACAAGGCCAAGGACAGAGAGCTTCAGTTGGAGGTATGCTCGTTTTCCTTCTGCAGACTATTGACTCGCAGCCACTAACGAAAGCCTCACAGATTGTTGCAGCATGTTTGAGCGTTTTCACTAGACTCGACTCCTTGCTTTAGGAGCTTTCTTCTATCACCACCCTCTGTCCCTCCACTCTTTGCCTTCGCCGTCCATCTTATTTATTCCCCTGATCCCTCTCCCAGAAAATTTCAGCAGGAGTTCTTCTTTTACTTTGCTATTTTGGCTACTTAGCAGTAGTTTCCGGCATGCGGTTGGAATTGGGCGGAGTGACTTTATATGATTCAGCCGTCGAATACGGTCCTATGCATTCTTCTACGAAATGTTCGATTTCTCTGATCTCCCTCGATCTGTTCTTGTCTGTTTATCCATGGCTTTCTTTCCCGTCGACCACGTTAGCATTACGAGCATATCCTTTCCGTTCAGATGATCAGGGCATGTGTATTCCATAGAATCGCGCACGAAGCATACCTAGCCATCAACGCAAGCCAAAATTATGGACAAAGAGAACCAGAAAAGCACAAGAGAAAGGGAAGACACAACCAATCATTCCATCATCCTTTACAAGGCCCGCATCCCATGTCCCGATTGATAAAAAAAAAAAAGGCGAAGCCAACTGGTTTGCGGCTCAAGGGAATATGAAAAAGAAAGAGCAACAGACAAAAGCAAGAAAGTAGGAGGAGAATAGGCTGGAACAGTGTCTTCATGATTTTCCTTTTTTCATCCCCTTACTATGTTTCTTTTTCTTACCCTTCTTGTCTACGAACTTATTTTTACCGATTTTTGCCCATCTAATGAATCGATCAATTAACTTCTTTTCTTCTTCATGATGTTTATTCATTGATGGCTGTTGTACCTTATCTTGCTGATCTGTTTCTCTGATCTGAAGATCACTGTCTTACTCCCTCTTTTACTTCTTGCCTTTCTTGTGTATATCAGGTTCGTGGAAGGTGAGTGCTGATTGTTTCGTTCTCTTGAGGTGTGTATGCTTGAATTTGTCTATTTTGCCCTTTTTTCCCCCTCCCATGTTTGGCTATGGTTTAAGAACCGTTTTCTCTACGTTCTGGTATGTCGTTATTTAATGTGAGTATTGTTGATATTGATCATGTTTATGTTGGAGTAAGTCGTAGATTAGGACTTAAAGAGTCTAGGCTACCAAGTACGAAGATAACAGTGTAGCATTCTACATGAAAATCAGAAAAGTCAACTAAATGCCGCTCGATGCTATGGAATCAATGTACTGAATGTGAACAAACAAATAAAAGAAATATCCGAAAAGATGAGATAGAGAAAGATAAAGATCAAATGTTCACCCGGAAGACCATCATGCCTCCTCTCCTACCTCCACCAGCACCAGCTGCCTCAGACGCTAGGACATCCACTCCATGGGCCAGATCTACGATACTCTGAACCCGACCTCGGATGGAACCCTCTTCGACTAGTTCCGCAATGCGGGCTAGTGCTTTGCCATCCGGGTTCAAGGCGACGAATCGACTGAACAGACCTTGTTTCTGGGTCTGGGCTTCTCTATCGGCGGTCTTGGGCTGAACGGCTGTATCGTCTACGGCGGTCAGGACGATGCCATTGTTTTTGACGACGTCGGATGAGTGGGCGAGATTGAACATCTGTTCTCCGGCGCAGTCGAGGATGATGTCGACTGGATCCCATTTGTTCTTGCGGAAGATCTTGGCGAGGTCGAAGTCTTGCGGTAAGGGGAGCGCGGCGTCGATGACCTCGTCCACCTGGACTTGGTCGCGTAGGAAGCCGTCGTGCTCCGGGCATGAGCAGGTGGCGCAGATCCATGGCCGGTAGTGTGGAAAGAGGGATCGAGCTCGGAGCAGTTGAAGCGCCTGGGCAGCGACCTCGTTCTCACGGGCATTGGTCACCAGAATGCGCAGCTCACGATGTGCATCGCCGTTGTCGAGGCCCCCGTATGTGAACAAAGCCTGCCATGCTGTGAGAGCAGGTCCAGGGATGGTAGATGCCTCGGCGGCGCTGATATTCTTCGGCTTCAACGCGATCTCATCTTCGGTTGCGAGTGTATAGTCCGCAGCGGCGCCGTCGCGGGTGTTGCTAATGAGCCCAAAGACGGTGTCGGCGACCTTGAACTTTGGGCCATCTGGTTTATTGTGGTCCTTGGTGGGAGTACTAATGACTATGCCGCAGTAGTTGTGTAGGGGAATCTGAGGGATTGATTTTGACGGATGGAGGGTTCGAGCGAGCCTTAGTCCGTCATGGGAGAAAGCCGCTGTTTGAACCTTAATGAGGTACTGATTTGCCGCTGGCTTTGGCACCGGGAAGTCCGTGTCGAAGATCATCCCCGAATCCACCCTGGGCGCATCCAAAGCCGTCTGATCGGTGATGGCAGTAGAAGCCGGTCGGTGATATAGGGCTCTCATAGTCCCCGGGACGAACGTTTGCTCGTCCATTGTAGTAGAAAAGGGTTTTGCTGGCTTCATTATGGTTTAGTGTAGGGTATATGTGTGATACAGCGTCGGCCCTACTCTGTTTTCTCTAATTTGGACGATGACTATAACCCCGATCGGAGCAATGTGTATATAACCCGCCAACACAGAGTTCGCCTCTCAATTGCAGTATCGTGCACCAAAGTGCCGTCAACACCGGTTATGACCGTCCCATGAAGTAAGTTTCGCAACTCTGTAATGAAAGCAACTCATTTAAGAGTTAAGTTCTGAGTGCGAGCTGTGGGGATCGCCAGGCTTCCGGTGATGTAGATAATCTCATGTTGACGTAACTAACTAACGAGGATCTACTTCTGCTTATATCAGCAACAGCTATTTATGCTTCGCCTTAAGCTTGCAACACACCATGCAGGATAAACCTGTTGCTGTGAATATATCCTTGCCATTAATACGTCTCGTGAGAGGCATGCGTGGTAGTGTCAACGTTTAGATCACCCACGAAGTCGAACACTGCTTCGGCTTGTTCGAATACCTTCCATATTCGGTCCGGAACACCCTGAAAAGCTGCCTCGAACCTCTCTGGAGAATTTTGATCCTCTAGATGTGGGACATCGGTGACTTTCCTGATCCAAATGGCGCGGATCCAATGTGGATGCTTCTTATAGATCTCTGCGTACGCTTCCGGATCCTTTTGGGTTGAGTCGCCGATACAAATGACTTCTCGCTGAGGGAACTGGCGTCGAATTTTCTCGATTTGTTTTACCTTGTATTCCATGGTATTTACTGTAAATGACTTGACCAGTTCACTGACGTCCAGCCAAGAGGAATCTCGGAGGATCAAAGTCCCAGGATTGAAATGTGTATGAATAAACGTTCTCAGGAACGGATACAGATTGTACGGCGAAGCGGATACATAGAACCATGCTGGCGCAAGTTCTCTGTGTATGTGAGAATATAGCTCAGGCATTCCGGCAATAGGCCTCGGCTCTTCGACAAAGGTTGTCCGAAGAATTCCAGTAGACTCGGAGGTTTTGGTATACTTGATCGTATCATCGATATCTGATATCACGAGCCAACCTTTTGGGCCAGCGAAGTAGGTTCGCATTGCGATATTGTCTCTCGAGCCACGGAGATACGAGCGAACTACAATTCCATCTGCGATGCGACGGCTGCCCATATTCACCACCTGACTGCTGATGCCATTGCTGTTTGTCGGGCCAAGTTGCTGGATGATCGTAGTGCTATTCGGCTGCGGAATTTCGAGCATCATCATATGCGCAGGCATAACGTGATATAGGAAAGGCTGTAACCGTCGGGTTATTTGATGGCGTGTCTCCCTTTCGGTGCCTATTTCTCCGTCGAGGCCAATGAGATCCGCAATCATGGCAACGATCTTACTCATATCCTTCCGGCTGTCTTTTCGAAAAACGCAAGCCACGACTTCTGCGTGCCACGATTCTTTCAGCCCCTTAGCAATGGGGGTTGTGCGTAGATACGCAGTATTATCGAATAACCACACTGTATGCTCTCGGGTATCTACTGCCTGAAGCGAAGGCTGCTTCCATAGGAAGGAGGTCAGGAAGTATAGCATCGAATCTCTCCTCCACGAGCGGTACCCCAAGCGCTCGAGCTTCTGGATGACTGGGGGGTGTTTCGTTTGAGCGGTCGATGATGCCATCCTGAGGGTGTTACAAGTGGTCTTTTGATGTCAAGGTAGAGTAAGAGGTAAAATAGTCCACCGAGCGATGATGGTTTCGTAATTTAAGTGAGTCCGGAGCACTCTGTTCTGAGAAAAATTAACCAGAGACTAATAGTTCACAGAACAAGCTCGGAGTCAATTGCGGTACTTTCCCTGTGTCTATTCTTATATCACCCAGCAAATATGCGCGAGGCTGATAGTCCTCCTGATCTTCGCATGTACTTCATCGTATTGGTCCTGAGCCACGGGGCAATGAGCCATACTGGTTCGAGCGCAAATTAATCTGAGTCATTATCATCAGGAACAGTCAGGCGAACGAAAGGTCAGGGCGGACTTTTCTATAGCGGGTAATAGATTAGCTGTGACCGCGAATGAAAGAGGTCGTCTGTCGTATAGTCCGGCGAGTGATGGCTCATCGCTTGGCGCCCGATACAACCAAGTCAGCATGGGGTTGCTTGTGACCCTATCAGATTTCTCGGTTTTCCGCGGCGCCTGACCGTCTAAGGCACAGCTGTGAAAGTGATCGAACCAACGCCTGCGAAATTCCAGTTTAGACGTAATGCTGCAGGAACGTGGGTCTGTAGTGACGCTGGCCAGTGAACAGTCCGGCTGCTACTATGTGAATGCGTCCCATTTGCCCCTGGCTTCTTGCCCCCCAGGTTCTGTTTGTTGTCATTTGGCATCATTGTCGTGTTGCAGGGTGGAGGAAAGAAGATGTAGGCGGAGCAGATCATGGGAATCAAACAGTTCGCCTTCATTGGTCTGTCTCATTGGTCCGGCCTCGAAGGTACAGCCACCCGGCTTCTTAACATATTGCCCTTGTAAGGCTGATGGACGACATTGAAGAGAAAAGAGAAAAGAGAGAGAGAGAGAGAGAGAGAGAGAGAGAGAAGAAAGAAAAATAATACCTCTATGTAAACTTTTATTTCATCAACCTCATATGTCATAAAATCTGTACATTAAATGGTTTGTCCTTTTACCAATATGCGGCTGTTTCCTGCTCCCCCCCTGAATCCCGAAGAGTGTTCGAAGAAAAGCAAGCAAGACGCAGAATAAAATCAGACCGAGAGCTACCACCGCTTAGGAGCACTAATCACCGTTCGAGAAAACGACGCGCTGAGGGTGTCGTTCCCTTTTTTCCGGGTCGCAGCAATAATACCTGTCCGATCCGTCACCGGTGTCGCATCGATGATATTGTCAAACGCTTCGTCGTCACTCCCACCCGCAGACCCGGACTCGGCGTCTGAGTCTTCAACCGGCCCTGCATCTGGACGTGTGATCTTCTCAGGTTGGGGCTTGTCGGGAATCGTAGGATTCTGAAAAGACTTGGAGTTGAGAATTTTGCGGCGGATTTCGGCCATCTGCTCTTCTTCTTCAGAGTCATCCGAAATGGCAAAAGGGTCTTTTTCTTCTTCCGGCTCTTCCTCTTCATCATTCTTCTCTTTGTCTTTGTCGCCCTCTTCATCATCTTCGCTATCCTTATTATCGGAATCAGAATCATCTGCCCTCCGGTTCGTATTTCCCACTGTCCACATATCATCGGCACCTTCGACACGACTGTCTTCGTATTCTTTCTCAATCTTAGCCAACCACTCTTCCTCGGTCCGTTTGATGTCTTCTTCTGTGGCGCAGGCGGCGTATCGCTTCAGGAGTTGCGAATTAATATCGAGGAAAGCTTCGCCGTAACTGAAATGCTTAAGAACCTCTCTAGCCCAATCTTCATGACCGCAAATACAGAAGCAGGCTGCCAGGGCTTCGACACAGTTTAACCGCCATGGCCGTCCGTAGTTCACTGTGTTGGCTGCGACGAGATAGGGCACTGGGTTTATTAGTATGTAGATCAACACCGCCTATTAAGCAGCTTTGAAGGTCAACATACGAAGTCTTTCACACTTTCCTCCTATGCGCGAGAAAGGTACTTCCTTCAATCTTACCCATGAGCATTCCACTACTGCAGCGCCATATTGTTCTAGTATGTCTCGGTCCGCAGGGGAGATGATTTTCTTCGCATTCGGACTGCAGTCGCCTTGTTAGTTTACTAGAGAAGCGAGAAAAGCGAAGTGATCTTTGAAAGGCAGTAGGAGGGGGGTACAAAGTATGGAGGGGGAAAATTGGTTTACGTACGAAACGACGACACCTGGATACTTTTGTCCAATACCTAGCTCCCGCATCAATCCCAAATGCATCAATCTCTTGCCCGAGCATCGCTTCGGGTCGCAGTGTCCCAGATCCCAACATGCTGCTTTGAAAGGGAGCCTGTCGGAGGACTCGCCGTCGCCGCGGGGCACTGGACGTGGGCGGGTGTTGAGGAAAATTTCTTGCCTCCGCGGGCGTAGTTGTCTTTCTTATGTCGGACCATGTCGAAAGATAGGTTGAAATAATGATAATTTCGTTACTTTCTAATCCCTCGAGTTCACAAGGAAGAGTTTTTATGTGGAAGGTGAAGAGGTGGTCAAATCGATGCGGAGGACTAGTTTCAATGAGTAGTTCATGTATGTTCATAGAAGGAAAGACGGCGGCGACGGAAGCGCCAACACGTGGAGCTCAACCCAACTAGAGTTTAAGTGACGCCCGCGCCCGCAACTTGCTTTTGGCCAGCATCTATCTTTCTTTCCCTATCACTTCGCCTTCTTTCCTTTGTCTCCGTCCCTGCGCCCCGGTCGGACATTGTCCATAGGGGCTTCAATTATTGTCCGTTACCTTTCCCGTCACCACCCTGGAGGCCGCATCAGCACGAATGGCAGCTAGGGACCGCTTTGGTGCCTATGCTGACCTGGGCCTAACTCCGCTGCAACGAGCTGTTCGTATGTTACCAATCCACCCCCGCTACTTGAGTAGCAAGAGTATATTCTAACTCCTCTTGTGCGTGTTCACTAGGCCATGCTTGCGATATCTCTCACTACGAACCCAACCTTGCCCTGAACCTCGAAGTTGCGGACTTGATCAATTCCAAGAAAGGCAATGCGTGAGTCGCTGTCGATCCAGTAGGATGGCGCATTCTTACGGTCTACAGTCCCCGTGAAGCAGCACTTGAGATTGTCCGTCTGATCAACTCCCGGAACCAAAATGTCTCCTTACTGGCGTTGGCTGTAGGTTTACCGATCTTCGGAGAAGCTAGTGCGGGGCTGACGTAGTATAGCTCCTCGACATTTGTGTCAAGAATTGCGGATACCCTTTCCACCTTCAAATCAGTACCAAAGAGTTTCTGAATGAGCTGGTCCGACGGTTTCCTGAGAGGCCGGCGTTGCGCCCCTCGAGGGTTCAACATCGCATTTTAGAGTCGATCGAGGAATGGAGGCAGACTATTTGTCAGACGTCGAGGTACAAGGAGGATTTGGGGCATATTCGGGATATGCACCGTCTTCTGCTCTACAAGGGCTACGTCTTTCCTGAAATCCGAAACGAGGATGCCGCAGTTTTGAATCCCAGTGACGTAGGTTCTCCTATCAGGGCTAGTTTTAGGATAGCTAGCTGACATTCCCAGAATCTTCGCTCCGCTGAGGAGATGGAGGAAGAAGAGAAAGAGGCCCAGTCAGCGAAGCTCCAGGAGTTGATCCGTCGAGGCACACCGGCGGATTTACAAGAAGCGAACCGGTTGATGAAGGTGATGGCCGGATTTGACAATCGACACAAAACCGACTACCGGGCTAAGGCGGCAGAGGAGGTCGCTAAGGTACAGCAGAAGGCCAAGATCCTGGAGGAGATGTTACAGAGCCAGCAACCGGGAGAACGAATCGCAGAAGGGGATGTATTCGAGGTAGGTTCAACACTGGCTATGTGGGGGAGTTGCCACTAACGTCTTCCGCTTAGGAACTTGCCAATGCTTTACAAAGCGCTCACCCTAAGATTCAGAAAATGTGTGAGGAGGAGTCCGACGATCCAGAGGCTGTCCACAAATTGTTAGAGATCAATGACAGCATACACCGCACCATCGAACGGTACAAACTAGTCAAGAAGGGCGATCTGGAGGCTGCATCGAAGATTCCCAAGGGCACTCTGGGAACAACGACCGGTGTGTCGAAGAATGCGAAAAATGAATTGTCCCTCATCGATTTCGACCCAGAACCCAGTTCAAACGGCAATGCCTCGCAACCAGCGGGCGGCAGTTCTCTCGAGAACGATCTGCTTGGCCTCTCGATAGAAGAGCCAGCCTTCACTGGAGGTATCTCCCTAGGACCTGGACCTGGACCTGGTAGGTAGTTTTTCTAAAGAGCCTCGACCTATTGCTAACTGAGTGTAGTGACCCCAATGCCTTCTTCTACACCGCCCATACAGCAGGCCCCTTCGGCATTCAAACCCAACTATGATATCCTGGCTTCGTTGAATTCATCCCGCCCTGCGTCTCAATCATCTACGCCTGCACCCGCAGCGATGCGGCCACAGAGCACCACAGCTACCCCACCTCCGTCCGATCCTTTCGCCTCGCTGGTATCTGCCAGCCCGCGACACCCTAGTCCGTTCCCCTCGGGAGCCTCCAGTCAACAGTCCGCATCGGCGGCACCTTCCCTCCTCGATCTGGCAGGAGCCAGCTCGCCGCAGCCCCCAGCCGGTCACACGAAAGCGGCCGACGAGGACGAGTGGGATTTCACGTCCTCTCTCCCAGAAAGTAACACTCTCCCGACCACGAATCGGGTGCAGGTGTTGAACTCGTCGTTGCGGGTTGAATTTGTGGCGCGGCGGCACCCCCAGCAGGCCCGGCAGATTCATATGGTGGCACTCTTTTCCAATGGCACCAATCAGCCACTAGGCGAGCTGCACTTCCAAGTTGCTGTGGAGAAGGTCAGTTACGGTGGTTTAATGTATAGAGTTCAGAGTTCAGGGGCTAATGCAAGACCAGGCATATACGTTGCAGCTTCGGCCCCAATCCGGGCGGGATATTGCTCCTCTCCAGGCCAACGGAGTGCAGCAGGAAATGTTGGTGAGTGGCGTGGAAGCGGGTAAAGGTAGTTCCATTAAGATGCGGTTCAAGGTTTCGTACCGGGTGGGCAACGAGCAAAAGGAGGAGCAGGGAATGGTCCCTTCGTTAGGAATTGCTTAGAGGGAGAGAGAGAGAGAGAGAGAGAGTATTGAGAGATGATCGCGAACGGGATTCGTTTCTACTTTGGTGCTGTCGTGTTGTTCAGTTCTCCAGCCTGCATTCTTGTCTATACCTGACCAACTTTCTGATGCCATTTGATGAGCGATATTTGGTGAAATTAAGTTTGTGAGATTGATTGGGTCCTCTTGCAGCGTTTTCTGATTGATTTCGAGTAGAAAAAGCTACTGATGCGTGAGTGATATCTGATGCCTGTTTGGGAAAAAGCCGCCTTCGGTCAGGGGGATCGGGACTCATACTCTCTATAGTATATCTTGATTTGATTTGATTTGACCTTACTTTACTTTATTTTATTCTATTTTATATTGGCTTGATCTAGAAAGGTACATGCCGTTCCTGCCTTGGTTCTCGGAGGGGAATGTAGGATGTTCAAGGCACGCGACGCCATGTACCGCTCAAGTATAGAGATAGACTTTTGGAGGTACTTTGATTGTTCGGTCGATTCGTTCGTTACAGGCAGCCTTGTGCTGGTAGGTACTGAGTCCAGTAAGTGCTGTATGCAGTAACAGTAACGGTAACGGTAACAGTAACGCACGTCGGACAATCGACGGAGTGGCGTCATCCGTGTGGCGTCCGGCCGAAAACTAACCCGGATAGGTAACGCTAGTCAGCTTGGAATCTCTTTGAAAACGATAGTGATGCTGATTCTCTGCTCATATTGAACCCAGATCAACCTGATGGCAAAAACATGGGCTCGACCCATCTGCCGGGAGTCGGGACTGTCCCCGAGGAATTCCCTCTTTGGGGTCCGATGTGCGGTCATGGCGAGGAACCAGAAGTCCCCAATTTAAATGGCTCAAGGTTTTTCTGCTTCCTCTGGACAGGCGCAGGTCGCCGGTCGCCAAGAGAATATTTTATGGAAGATCATCCGGTCGCACAGCCATGGTATCTGGTGAAATGGGTTGAGGGGGTACCTGTGGTTTGCATCTCGTACCTTTGGCCTTGCAAGCAGGTTAGATAATTACCGAGGACCAACGGAAGACATTCATGGCGGTTGGTTTGTTAGGGTTCCTGCAGGTGCACGCGGCTTTCATGCAGGAGAACGTAGCCCTAATCGACGCCGAGTTGCCCAACGTGACGGCCCTGCCAACCTCTCAGAGTGTGACTGGAAAATTCCCCGGTGAGCAATCCAAGAGGCTACACAGTATCAAAACCCTTAGTGCGATGCTGGAGGGATTCGTCATCCCCTCGTGCTTTGATTGAATCGGATCCCTGACCGATTAGCAGTGCCTTAGCGGCATCTCGTCAGCAATCTCTAATTTGTCATGCCCCCCCCTCACGGCGTTTGAGATGGGCTTCGACATGAAATTGCCCAATCTGGCCTCTGAGAGACCCGGACCCAGTCACATGGGGGGGGAAGGTCTTGGACCTTTCCCCATCGTGTGAGTGGGGAGAGGGAGATCACCGAGAGGCCCCGAAGTAAAATCGTTAGGCTAAGTACTAAACTCCTTCGCCATCGGGCTCTGGGACAGATGGTCCGTGCGATCAATCACAGTTCCCTTCGTGCCCGGTCCAACTCATAGAGTTTACTGATAGACGTGGTCTCTGGTGGTGCTCTACCAATGGACGTCCCATCCCCAGTCTTAGGGCAGGTAAACCCAGTGGAATCCTTTTTACTGCCGTTGACCAACAGGCTGTGATGGAAAACAAAAGTCAATCTGGGGGAGGCGCATACCGCCTTGGCTCGTCCTTTGCTTTCCCAAGTTACTGGGATCCTCTGCACAGGGTGAAACTGGCGACCGTTGATGTTCGTGCCTGCTACTGCAGGGGTTAACGGCCGAATCAGGTGGGATTCCGACTGGAGATCCTCCAGAACGTTTGGTCGGTGATGTCGACTGGGGAGGATCCTCATGCAGCGCAACCTCCCCATTTGGTCTAGACTCTGGACATGTTTCGACTTCTGTTATAGTGTTACTTTTAGCGTCCTCTGCTTATCGTGGGGAAGTAAAATCGAAAAGCCAGCCCATCGTGCTCGTGTAATTTGCCTCCTATCCTGGAAAATGGTTCCGGTACTACGCAAATGCCCGCTTCGCTTCGAGTCTGTTTTGTACTTTTTCTTCACTTGCTGAAATTCCCAAGAGACTCCTCTCGAGCGGAACCGACCCAAGGTTAAGCCCTCTACTACGCAGTGCCAGCAGTGCGAGAACTTTGGCCGGAGTAGGATCCACGGAACGGCCGGCAGCCAGACTTTGACCGGCCCTTAGGTCGAGGATCCGAAGTTGAACTTGCTCCAAGTGAGTGGCTCGCCTAGGCCCCCCTCTGGTGCCAATATACTTGACAGCTGCGCTGCAAAGTTAATAGGGGGGGGAAGAGAGGTGGATTTTCGTGCACGACCAAAAGCCCCGTCGGCCACTACTACATATTTAAATACTACTGTCTCGTTTACTTCTTCGCTCGTTTGCCCCCCCCCCCCCTTCCGCGGCCTCTTTTGCGAGCTGAGATAAGTCCTGTTTATATTTATACTATCGTACCTGCCATTTTATTTTCTCTGAAGCCCCGTACACCGATACGTATATGACTCCCCTCTCGATCCACCTTCAATAGCCCGGCCATTCCAATTCCATCGCCGCCATGGCTTCCCCCATTGAGTTTGAGATCTCGCCAAACCCTCGTACCCGTGAGGAAAACCAAGAACGGTAGGTCTCTTTCTCTTTCTCTCTCTCTCCTAGAGGGATCCGACTAATGAGACCAGAGCGTTCATTGCTGCCTCTCGGCGGAAAGATCGGAGCCTCGATGCCCGTCTAGAATCGGCCAACCGTGCGTCTCAGCTGCACAAGCAGCGGACGGGCAAAGCACTCCTGATTACTCGGGAGATTGTCGAAAAAGAGGCCATGTATGAAGAAGTCGATGATCGCTACAAGGAGAAACTACAACGCATGCTGGAAGCTCAGAATTTGCAAATCAACACCCAATTCCAACAGAATCTCCTCGCCACCTTGGCCATGCGACCCGGCCTGCAGCATCGCCGGGCCTCCATGATGGCACAGCGCGGCCCCATGGACGGGGTGCGCAAAATGAGCCTGGACCTTTCAAGCATCCGCAGCTCCTTCTCGGAGGGCATGCGTGGGAGCCCGATCACTAGCCCCATGGCCATGAGCGGCAACCAGAGCTACGTGATGTCGCCCTCGTACGACGGGAACTCACATTCCCCGTCCTCATTCCATCCCAACGTGGTGCCCGCCTCGTCGGGTCCCATGCCATCCTACATTGCCCATCAGTCGACCCCCACATGGCCCGCTCACATCGGCCCGCAGCACGTTCGATCGCCTTGGGCTGGCTTCAACCCTGGTGACATGAACATGCCGGTGCGCCAGTTCCGAGACCGTCTGGGTTCTGCACCGGTTATTCCCGTGCACGCGATCCCCTCCAGTGCCGCATACCGACCGACGCCCATGCCTCAACATAGTCGCAACCGCTCCGAACCAGGCCAAACGCCTGCCCAACGGATGCCGTCCCACACACCCTCCGTCGAGAACACTCCGAGGGTGGAGCCTCGCCTCGACGGCCTTCCCAATGAAGCCTTGCCGACCACCTTTCCGACTCCCGATCTCTGTCCCACCCCCAGCACGCCGCACTCGCCTACCTCCACCGCGAAACACAGCGACGTGGCCTTCGACACCCTGGATCCCAAGGAATCCGACTGTGTCTCCTTCTCGCAGCCGTTCCTGGACCAGGACTTCGTCGACTTCCAGGGCCTCTCGTTCTCCTTGGGTAGTAACCCGACCATCCCCTCGTTCGACAACACGCTGCACCACCCGGAAACCGAATGGAAGCCGGACGAGGTGGTCCAAATGGACGACTGGCTCGTCGGTGCTTAACCTTGTCCCATTTCCATTTCCATTTTCTGTTTTTTTATTTTTATTTTTTGCTTTCAATGATGATCCTTGCATTACTACATAGGGTAGCTTAAGGGCCTTTCATCCTTTTTTTTTTCCTACTTGCTTTTAACTTATTTTTACTCATCTACAGCTTTGCTTTCTTTTCCAAGAGTTGAAGTTGCGCTGGACCAGTCAGGGCAATACCCCGGGATGAATGGCGTTTCAATTGGCTTGTACAATAATGAGAAATGAAAACTCATCCAAACATTTGAACCCTTTTTGTTTTCTCTAAGCTTTACTCTATACTTTGAAACATCTCCACCGTAGCAAAAAAAAAAAAAACCCCCCAGAAACTCTTGGAAAAAAAAGTAATAAAAATACTCAATAAAAAAAGTATGTTCCAACAAGTACATAGCTCGAAACAGGAACAACAAGGTTACAACAGCTCCACCCGCCAAGAAACGCCGCAAACAGTAAAGCAGCAGGAAAGCAGAAATGTCACTACACCACTGTCACCTCCCAAGCAACAGCAACTTTAACCTAAAGGAAAGGAAAGAAAAGAAACAAGAACGCAAAAAAAAGACTCTCCACTAGGCTGATCTTGCATGGATATTCCATTTCAAAACCTAGATCGAGGTCCATACCGAAAACAGCCAGATTCCGCAGGGTTTAAGATTTGACTTGTTTTTTTCTTTGGGCAAAAAAAAAAAAGAAAAAAAAACAAAGGGTGAAGAAGCCGAAGACCCTTTGCAACAAGTTGGAGCTACTATTAATAAATAATTGATGGGCCTACCGTAGTTTCCCCCATCGTGAGTTTCTCCCATAGTAGACAATAATTGAACTAGCTGAAACTACTCAGATAATAGTTCATAGTTAATATGCAAAGTAAAGTTAAGTCAAGTCTTTGATTAAAATAAACCACATCCCCGCACTCGACAATATTCCCCCCTCCCCTCTCCCCCCTCCCCCTCCTCCTCAGATACTAAGACAGTCTGAAACGCAACTAAGCCACCACTAGTCAAAAAACAGAAAAAAGAAAAATCCATCCCAACCGATCGGAACCCTCAACCCCGCACAGACCACCAAGAAAAAAAAAGCTCCTGTGGGTCCTTTTCTCTCCTCCTCACCCGGAATAGGCTTAGTCCACTTGGACCCTCGCTCAATCTCCACTTCCCAGGTTGGAGGGGGAATTCCTGTTTCGGGCCTAGCGGACCCACTCACGGCGAAAGTTTGTTCGTACGACGCAGGCTTGCTTGCTCATTGGGTTCCGGTTGTCTGGAGGAGTTGATGTGTAAGGGGTTGGTAATTGGCCTGGATCCTTTTTTTTTTTTGTACGTTATGGTGTGGCTGGCTGGTTTTTGTAGTCCATTGGTTTTGGTGATATTTGAACAGGGTTCGACATGCGTTTGTTTGTGAGTACCAGTATGGGGGGGACGGAGTACACGGTCGACGGAGGTGAGACTGCCATGTTCTCCGCTGGGATTGGGGGGATTCAATTGAAAGGGAGTTGCCCGTGGGTAACTGCATATAACATGTCCTTGTCCGTACTTCAATCTTCTACTAGCACTTCCTTCCCCCCACTGTACCTACTGTTAGTAGTAAATAGCTGTGTGCTTTCTGCCGCCGTTGATTCGCCAGCTCGCTACAAAAGTACCGAAGCAAAACTTGAATTAACTCGGGAAATTCAAATATACTCAAAGTTGCTCCAGCTCTTATCCACTTCCCATCCGGGGATTTCGTACGGTTGGGGATCGACACTCTCGTCCATACTTTGGGGGTGTCCGGCCTTTGCTGTCTATGTACTTACTTTTTGCTGGTCCCCCACTGTAATCTCCTAAAAAAGCTAAGGTTAATCAATCATTATACCCTGACCCCGGACACCCGCGACCCACTGATACTGGATGTACGAGTAGGAAAGGTAGGGAAGTAGTACCTCATAGTGTTGGAAAGTTAACGTGCAGTAGAGCAATTTCCCTGCATCTGCAACCTCCACTTACAAACTTCCCTGCTACTCCGTCGTTCCGCCCCCTATGTAACTTCCTCAAGTTCGCGTGCCCACTTACCTCCCTGGATTAGTAGTGTGTCTCTGTGTCCCTGCTGTCCCCCTCAATTCCAAATCAGATCACCGACGCCGGTAGGTATGTACTATTGTACTAGGTAGGGAAGTCCACCATTCAAGGGTTGGAAAGCTAGTAAGCTAGTTAGTTAACTACTAGTAACTACCCAGCTAGTGACTAACTATAGCTAAGCTACACTCCATCCATAAACACTCCATCCAAGGATCACAAACACAAATAACGATTAACAACCTCCCTGAACCAAACCCCCAAGGCGCAAAAAGACCTCATCTAGACATTATGATCCGGGCCGGGACCGTCCAGAGAGAGGCTTGAGGGTTAATTCTCCGTCGTAGGTTGGGAGGTCTTTTTTTTTTTTTCCTTTCTTTCTTTCCTTTTCTATTATTGTGTTTGCGGGGTTGGAGATTAAAGTGAGAGAGCTGCATGCGTGCTTCTTGCGAAGGAAAGTACTTTTCGGGGTGGATTGGAGGTACTCTTTTTGTTCCTTGGTACTTTACTACTACTCCTACTTCTGGGGGTGACGATGTTGGTAAGTTGTCTGGGGGTCGGCGATGTTACTGTTTCTGTTTCTACTGCGTCGGGTGTGTTCTGGCTGTGTGGGTGGTTGTTTGTCTTTCTTTCTTTCTTTTTTTTTTCGCTTGGAATTTGATTTGAATAATGTATGTTGTTTCAGATTGGCGGAGGTCGATCTTTGCTGTCTACAGGGTAGCAGTTGTACTAGTAGTTAATAGCAGAGGGTTATGCTGGTCCAGGCAAGACTATATGTTGAAGAATGCAATCCTCGATTGGGACCTACGAGGATCAAGGACCATCTTCTGGTACACCCCAGTTTTCCGTGAGCACCGACGACAACAACAACAACAACAACCACAACCACAACCACCACCACCACAGCTGCCCCGCTGAGCAAACACGAACAACAGCATACGGTCCCCCAAATCATAAACAAAATAAGAGAGGTAAGAGTCTTCAAAATAGAGCTAGCTACCTATAACTCCGGTCCACACGCCCCTCTTGCCCCCCACAGTAACATTAGCCCGAAAGAGAAACACATTGCGAATCGCCAGCCCATGGCTCCAGCGCACTTTGCCACTTCCCCAGACCACTTATATCAAGTTTGGGTGCTCGGCTGGGTGGGGATATTTACGCCCGCACGGTCGCCAGGTGAGATTGGGTTTCAGGGTGGAGTTATCTCGGTTTTCGACTTTTGGCTGTGGGATTGGTTGGGGCTCAGGCTGGGACCTCTAGGAAATGGGGAGTGGGTTAGGTCGTGCTGTGATATACTGGCGACCCGAGTGCTAATCCAGACTGGACTTACTGTTTGGGGGATCGGTGGGTGGAGGTTTTCAGATCTTGGATCCATGGTATCAGACGGATTGTGAAATCTGATTGGGGTTGGAGGGAAGCATGCTTGACGTTTGGGAACCTTTCGGGCTGGCCGATTCTTGCCGATCATTCTGCACATGGTTGAGTCAGGTTGGGATGGGTAGAGCCGGACATTTGAGTCGTTAGGGTTCATCTTATGGTCTGCATTGTGGATCGCTGGATTGGGGGGGGGGAGGGGAGGTTGCATAGGTATGGATCTGTTCTTGAATTTGGAGTTTCTTCTAACTCAATGCACTAGCCCTACTCCGTACGTACGCCGAAAACCACTTCGGGAAATTGATGAGGCATTTAGCAAGCAAGGGTCTTGAGAGAACGAATGTGGTGGTGGATGTGCCTTTTTCCTTTTTCCTAGTCCCGATCGACCGACCGGGAGTTACCGACTGAATAACTCCCGCCCTATCTCCCCACTGCGTCGCACGCTGAGGCTCGAACTGCTGCTGCGTCGCCGGCGGCTACGGCTTTCTGCGGGATCGGCCGGGCTTAGCCCGCTGGCCCGCGCGTGCAGATTCAATATATCGGTGAGGCTAACCACCCCCACCAGGCGTCCGGAAAGCCGTGCCCCCGGAAGAGCGGAAGCTGGGATAGACGACGCAACGGTGTGCGGCAGCCCCGTGGACGCCGCGTGTGTAAGCGGCGCCGCAGGCACATACTGCTGAGAGGGCTGTACGCCGGCGCTACCGGGAGTAGGTGAGGGAGGCGAATGCGTGTTCCCTGAGTTAGTAGGCAGAGGGAGATGCACGGCTGAGTGGGATGGAGTGGGTGGTCCCGACGAGGAAGGAGACAACGGATCGGTGATCCATAGTCTATTTCAGTCCATTAACAAGAGCTAGCTTCGTAGGGACAAGATAGCAGACTCACCGGTGGGATCTAGTGGCTACCACCTTCGCAACGGTATGAGCCAACGTCGATCCTGGATTCACATGAAACACTGGGAAAGAGTCCTTGCCATCCACTAAACCCCGTGTGGAAAGAATCACGGAGATGAAATGAGTGCATGTATTGTGCAGGAGTGGAAGCGACGATGAGCGCGTCAAGAGCTGTCCGTTCAATTAGCCCTACTGTCTCTTCGCCAGCCATGTCCGGTTTTTCATACCTTAACGTCCGTCAGAGATATATTGCCCACCACGTTGGTATGGTTATCCACCACAGCGACCGATGTGATGCCCTCGTTGTTCATGAGATGCAGAGCCTCCGATAGAGGCTTGTCTCCGCTATACGCAGGTTAGACTAGCTAACTGTAGGTCGAGAAGTAAACCTACTTGATGGAGATCACCTCCAGAGATCCTATCTTCAAATCCCGCAGCGCCTGCGGATACAGCTGATCAATCACAGGAAAACTGCGCCCATTTTCCCATAGGAACTTGACCAGTCGGAATTGGCTGAAGATGCCCACTACCTCATTTTGTTTACGCTCGTCGACCACCACCACCCGATGAACGCCTCCTCCGAACGTCTCTACAGCTGCCATCACGCTGGCCGACGCCGGAAGCGTCGTCAATGGCTCTTTCCTGCCGAGGTCCTTTACATCTTTCAATGGTATCTTGATTCCTTCCTTGGCCTTTCGGGCCAATTCGTCATAAGAAGCACGGGTATTCTCGTCGGGCTGTGTCAGACCCGCAGCGAGGAGAAGGTACGCATTTAAATCCGAGTAATCGAAAGTGCCGACAGCAGTCTTGTGTTCAGGAGTCTCGCGAATCAAAAGTACAGGAGCATCGGAATCAATCAGGACCTAGTTGCTGTCAAACCTCGATCCCACTTCTTTACTCTCGGTTATGGATCGCAACTCACATTAGTCGCATCCTCAATGCCCGTATCAATTTCCACAAACCTCAAATCAGTGGGGCTAACCAGCTCTCCGATCGAAATTTCTCTCCAGTCGCGACCTACAAAGGCAGGGTTTACATGGTTGGGAGCCGGCGGGTTGTCGATCAGACTCTGAATTGCAGCCTGTGTGAGCGACGGCTGTCGACGGCTACGTGGGGAATTTGGAGCCCCGCGCAGACTTTCACTGAGGCTGTGGCGGTGCTGATGGTTGGGAGAGACGTGCGAGAGTCGTAGCGACTGGCTGCGCGCAGACGGAGAGCGAGAATCCGTGCTGGATCGAGGAGATGCAACGTTCGACCCGCTAGAATTGTCTGCAACCGGTTCACCTAGCTGGTGGTCCGACATGGTTGAGCCGGGCGATAGCGTTCCAGAAGTTTTCCCCTGAGACGCTGACTGTGTCGAACGAGGAAGTTTGGGTTGAATGATACGTGAGTTCACTAGCGTAGAATGCGGTATATTCACGTATAAATCACATATATAGAATAAAAACCACTTGATCAGGTTATCCGCACAGCTATCGCAGTTGCGAGAGCACGATCGATGCCAATCACGGGGTTGCGGGGAATTGACGATGTTTGGTTGGCGGGCGGCAATGGCCAATCAGCGTCAGGTGGCCATGGCGTCATAAAATCATACGAACAATGCCTCTGTTACTTCATCGCCTGAAACCCCCATGGTTCGTTAATCTTCTCTTGCCCCCCCTCCCCTTTCTGCATACTACGTATACGCAGTACACAGTCCATGCCCCCAGGGATCAACATCCACTTGCATATGGATACAGTATTTCCCACAGCGACAAACAATAGCCAATCATTGTGACCTGTGCCAGTCCCTCCTGCAGTGACGTCTGCACATAAGCCCACTTCTGGCTTCCCACACTCCTGCAGCCGCTCGCTTAGAGGAAATTCCCCAAGACTTCTCCGAGGTCCTTGGCTTTGCGGTCTCTCATCACAGCCCTTTTCGGACCCGACCGCCTCTGGCGTTCACCGGAGGCCGAGGCCTCTTCCCTACACCTTTTCGTCGGTATATGTAGCGCCGAGTTCTCGGTGGGTATCCGATTTGCCGCCTTCGTGCGATGTAAATATAGAGTTTTTGTCTTGGTGGGCACTCTCTTGGATTCTTGGTTAGTCTGGCCTATCTGGAAATCGAGAATCGGCCCCCCCTGGTCCATAACCGGTGGTTCTCCGTCCATGTTGGTAATGCTAGCTTGGTATAATTCGTAGAGTTCTGGTGGCTTATCTCCTTGACCCGGTCGAGACTCCCATCCGTCTATCTCCAAGCCATCTGTAAACATGGAGTGGATACCTGGACAGCCATACGCAACAATGACTTGCAAGGATGGGAAAGCGCGCAGATAACGCAATACAACACCCGACAAGTCCTGGTGACATAATTTGAGAACTCGAAGGTGTGCGAATGCACCCGAAGTCTGCGCCAGCTCGCTCCAACTTCGGATGATCCGATCACTCAATGCCGTCACAGGCGTCTCTGTAGCGTCTGCAAGTGTTTCAGCATGTGGAGGCGTGGCAACTTCCAATGCAGCAAGGTTTCGGATGCTAGATATGCCCACTAGATCTGGCACTCTGGCGAACGAAGCAGCCAAATTTAGCACCAACTGCCATTTCAGGGAATCGCTCTTCACGAGTTCCAGATAGTCTCGCATTGCCAGTCTGGGCCCTTCGATCTTCATTGATCGGTACTGGGAGATATGCCGGAATTCTACCGGGTACGCAGTTGCGAACAGTTTCCACATGTAGAGCGTTCGTTTGCGACTGAGTTTACCCAGTGATTTAGCATGAATATTATTTTCAATTTCCAGACGCGATGAGGTGGCTTACCTTCTCCCAAGGCAGTCCCACAGATAACTGGCAATGGGCCATGGTATGCTCGCAAACAATTGTGGTGTCAGATTCCTTTGGTCCGATAGAGCTTGCCTCATTGCTGAGTGCTTCAGTGTGGGTGCCCCAGTTCCATTAGTTTCCTCCCAACCCCTGGGAAGAAAGGGTGTCTCATGGACCCAAGACGGACCTTTGGAGTTGGCCCCTGCCCGGGTTGAGGTCCTCTCTGAGTAAACCTGGCCGGTCCGCCGATCTACTCGGTGGGGAAGCATGGCCAATTGCATCAGCTAATAGAAGCTGCACGAGATGGCGGGTTCTGAAAGATTTGCTAGGTACAACTACTGGGGGATAAACCTATGCATCCCTTGATTGTTTATGCATCCTGTTATGCTCCTGCCTCAGGCACCATAGTCCAAAAGAAGCGATTAAGGCCAGGTTCTCGAGTATCAAACTCAAATCATGTATTCTCTGTAGACAGGTTATGTTTCAATAGCTCCTCGAATGCCTGACCGAAAAAAGCAGCGGGTGTACTGTTATTCTGTGTAGAATAGTCTCTATATGCCTGAGGTCATCGCTGATTTTATGTAATCTCAACTAAGACATAACAGGTTAGCTTGCTTTCTAAACGAGTGAAGATCCAAGACACCTGATCTATACATCTCTCTCTCTCTTTACGTATCATTGAGATGGCCAAAACTGTTGCAGGTCAACTAGTTCCAAATTTTCGCATATACCCTTTCCAAGTGCTTCATTGGGAGAGAAATATTATTGAAGTATATAGCTATCTGCCTTATTTTCTCATCGAGATCGATGCAAGTATAACAAGCCCTAAGCCTCGACTGCCTGTTCCAAGACATGGGAGTTTCAAATGGATGCCTTCATTGTTTTTGACCTAGGAGGCCGTTGTAGTACTGGAAGAGTTATACTCTGGCTTTAAAGCTGCTCCTGTCGAGCACTTAGACGCATTGAGGGAGGTCACTAGAAGGCTGCCATGACTTTCGTTATCAGAAACTCAAGCAAACATGCTGTAGTCATCAGAGATTTTCATAATCTCCTCTTGACGTCTGACAAAGGCCATCTTCCCTCTCCATACAGTAGCAGTATAGTAGCGCCGAATATGCCCCGTATACAGTTAGGTATGCACGATCCTCAAGTCTCAACGTTCGTCTCTTTGAAGCGCATGTCAACCTCCAATTTCTGTCTAGAATGACTCCCAGTGGAACAATAACCTCTTGTAAGCCCAGCCTCTTGTGATCCACTCATTGCTGGTGATACTTAGTAGTTTGATGGTACTCAACGATCAACCAACCAGACGTGGCTATACAATATATAACTTCTAAAGCAACACGTTCCACACGATTGTTTCTCTCTGAGGACCTTCTTTTGGGAGACAATGTGAGCTTTTTTGAGTGTTGTTACTGACTGACAGCATGCCAAGTCATCGGGCTGGAGACCAGACTCGGCTGAAACATTCCTCTATGAAATTATCTGAACATTACTCTCATTCTGTAGCCTGGATGTAGAAGATCGATTCTTGGAGGTGGTGACCGGAACGAGGCATAGCCGGAACGACGCAGCAAGGAAACCAATAATAAAACTTATGACGCCAGTGGCATCTCATCTGCTTCAAGAATGCCACGTGATTTTAACGTTGTTGGAGTTCTGCAATGGTTTGAGTATAGCCTTAGTCGTGTGTCACTGCATATAATTTTCAATTGCAGATTTGTTTTGTAGAAGTGAATTAGAAGCATGTAAGATATGCGACCCAACTAAGCCCGTGTCCTGTCCGACTCCATGCAAATGAATGTTGTCAAGAAAACCATAGGAAACAAACGAAGCACTCGGGAAGAAAGCAATGAGAGTTTTGAAAATGGGGCAAAAACAGAAGAAAAAGAAAAAGAAAAGCATTTCCGCGTAAAATGTCAGTACTATCCCGATGCAAAGTCCGTGCCTAAAGAACCATCCATAAGCCCAAATATTTACATCACATAAAGCAGGTTCACATCTATGCCCGGTCAGAATGAAATTATAATAGATCGTATCTATTCGACTTACCCAGTGGGTGACTGCAGCTGAGCTGCGGTTTCTGTGAATACTTGGTCGACAGTTCGTCCCGAATGCTGTTTAGCAGCTGCACATAGCTCTGCTGAGGGTTCTTGCGGAGGGCGGTGATAAACGCCCATGACATTGCACCGGTCGCTTGTCCCTGAATCTGAGCATCCTGGCTGGTCTGGTCGTCCTTGCTGCCTGACCACATGATGACGTCTGCTCCACTCGTCTTGGTCTGCTTGTTGCGCTCGTACACCTCGTCGCCCTTGGTTGCCTTCTTGAGGAAACCGACAGCTGTCGAGACCATGCTGCCCATATCGCCCCGTGCGTACGCCGACACCACTCCCAGCAGACCCTGTCCTGCTTCCTTGGCCAAATTGGGCTCCTTGAGGATACCTTGTGTCGAGTAGACATACGGTAAATCCAACGCGGAGCCCGAGTGGCACGAGTCGAAGATGGCTGTCAATCGCACGCCCGGCTGCAAAGGATTGACCATTATCCGATGCATCTCATCGTCAACAATATGGCCCGCTTGCCGGAAATCGACGGGGTAAATGACTTCGTCGTATCCGTCGTCTTCATCACCATCCAGATCGGGTGTCTGGCCACCATGGCCTGTTCCTGGTCAGACTACGGGCTGAGAAGCAAAGGTCCACCACAGACTTACCAGAATAGTGGAAAAAGAGGGAGTCGTTAGGCTTGGCGTCTTTCACTAGCCAATGCATGGCCCGCAGAATATTGGCCTTTGTTGGCTGGCTCTTTGGGTTCTGTTGGTCGTCCGTCAGAAGCACCATATTGTCACGAGGGTAGCCGAAGTTCTCGTGCAAGTACGTTGACATGTTCTTGACATCGTTGATACATCCGCGCAGCTGACCCTTCTGATTGAAGTAATTGATACCAATCAGCAAAGCCTTTCTCGTGCCAGTGCAACGTGAGTACTGGTAGGCGTATTCTTGGGGAGCGCCTTGACCGAAAGAGACCGGTTCGTTGGGCGGAGGGGCTGGAGCACCATGGCTGCCTTGATTATAGTGGTTCTGGTAGGCTATTGCGCAGTCAGAATACCAAGCTAGCAAACTTTGGTAAAAGACACCATGACACAAGGGTAGACATACCATGTTGTTGTTGTTGCTGCTGTTGTTGTTGATACATATGGCCTCCGCTGGGAGGGCCGTAATTCTGCTGCGGGCTCTAAAGAACTATGTCAACCATTTACATCCGCAAAAGAAGAATATATGAATGAGATAAGATAAGAGAAAAGGAGTGGAAAAGCCGGACGCCATCGTAGTTAACATACGTTATAACCATTGTGGTGCGAGCCGTATGACTGAGGAGATGGTTGGCCATATCCATATGCGTTGTTAGGTTGTTGCTGACGATAGGCCTGACCGGGATACCCGCCGCCGTAAGACGACTGTTGATGATGCATGGGTCTATATAGAGTTAGCACCAGCAAGCTCAGAGCAAGCAATATCGAAAGCAGCTGAAGGATAAACACGCAAAGTACTGAGTAGCCTTACTGAGGGGGGGCGCCGTAGTTGGGCGGCGGATATTGATATTGTTGCTGCGGGGGGTAGCCGGGAGCTCCCGAGTAAGGGGGATAGTAGGACATTCCTGGCGGGGTCGTGATAAGTCTCAGATATAAACGACGACAGCAAGAGTCCAGAAGCGAGACGTAAGACAGTAGAGGGGCGTGAGGTTGTGGTGGTGAACGAACGAAAGAGCGACCGAAGAACGATGCAGCCTACAAATCGCCGAGATCATGTGGAGAAGGAAACACGCACTGATTGGGAGCGGGTGTGGATTATCCAAGCAGGAAAAAGGACGGCGGAAATATCTTTTAGTGATCGGAATTATCTTCAATTAATACAAAAAGGCCCTTAATTGTACCAGAAGGGACAAAGAACAACGAGACAAGGAGAAAAGGGAGAAGAGAAAAAGAGAAAAAGGTTAGGGGAGAGACAGAGAGAGAATGGCACCTCACAGGCGTGAAAATTGATATATCCGCAGATCATCGACGACCTTGCTGCATACCGTCGGCTACTCCGAGATCTCCCCCTGTACTAGTAGTCCTGGATAGGAAGGAAAAGTGGCTCGCACGCACCGTCTTTCAGCCAGCCAAGAGCATCCTCCATACCACATTGCCTCATTCAGCCAATTTCCTCAGCGTTCGGCTCTCAGAGTTCCTCGGTATCTTATCAATAAATCCTCTGTTTTCACTTCTTTTTTTTACTTTTTTTTTCCCCCTCCTTGCTCAGCCTTACTGAGCCTCACAGTACAGTGGGTCAATGTCGTCAACTTTGTTTACCCTGCTTAAGAATCCGAAAGCCATCCATGACTTACAGCTGGTCCAGAATAGGTATAGGATCCATGTACTTGGTAGTTTCTTTTTCTTTTCTCTTCTTTTTTTTTTTTTTTTTGAAAATCATATTTAGATGTCCACCTCTCCATCAATCTATGAACATGAAAACATTATTGATAGCAAATAAAAGTACCGGGCTGCGATTCTAACTATTGCATGGCTTTTGTTTTCTAACATCATCACAAACCACATCGCATCCTTCCTCTCATGCATTAAATTTACCGGCCCCGTCGGGGCATGCCGCGTCCTCTGCCTCCACCAAGAGCCCGTTGGGCAGCACCCGGGGGAAGTCCACGGCCAGGTGCCTGGGGCTGGGCAGACTCCTCGTTCTCTGTAAAACGTGCTCGTGTCAGCCAATAGAAATCCAACAAACAAAGCAAAAGGCATAGAGGGTTAAGCAAGAACGGTGGATACTTACTGATAGTCTCATCTACACTCAAAATCAAGCAAGCGGCCTCCACTGCGGCTTGGATGGCGTTGACCTTGACCAGACTAGGCTCCCACACGAATGCCACCATGTTATCACGGACTCCCTCGTTATCGAAGTCAACACCGGCCCAGACGTTGCCCTTGCGGTGCTCCACGCGCAAACGGTTCAAGATGTCAGTCGCATCGAAGCCGGCATTGTCGCACAGCTGACGAGGGATCACCTCCAGGGCCTTGGCGAATGCCTTGACAACTGCCTGCTGCTTGTGAGGCACGTTGCGGTCGGCGAAGCCGTGCATGTAGCTCGACAGCTCCATCTCGGTAGCACCACCACCTGCAACAATGGTCGTGTTCCGAAGAGCACGCTTGACAATCATGATGGCGTCATGCAAACTCCGCTCGACTTCGGCAATGAACTGCTCCGCACCACCACGTAGCACAAGGGTACACGTCTTGGCGGCAGGGCACTCAGAGAACAGGTTGTAGCGTTCACCACCAATCTGGCGCTCCTCAAAGATGCCGCAAGTACCCAAGTGACGCTCTTGGATGTCACTGCATGTCGACTGGGTGGCTGCTCCAGTTGCCTGGCACACCCGGTCCATATCGTCCGAGGCAACACGACCAGCGCAGAAGATGTCACGGTCAGCGAAATACCTGAGATCACGGTTAGATAGACTAGTAACAGCAGGCGCATCACAGTAAATACGTACTGAGTAGCCAAATCACCGATAGGTAACTTGCTAAGAACAACCTTGGCCCCTGTCTTGTAGATAGCCTCCAGCTTGTTGTAGATGATCTGCCATTCCGCATCGACGATGGCCTGGTATTCAGACACCTGTTCGACACGCACCTCGGCGTTATCCTTCTCACTCTTCAACTCTAGTTCGACGTTCAAGCAGACAATCTTGGGATCCTTGAAGTACTTCGGCTGCTGTTCGAAACCGGCATAAGAGAAGGTCTTCTTGAAGGCAACACCGTTGACAAAGAGGGAATCTTGCAGGCCACCACCGGTGACTCTCTTGATTCCAATTAACTTTTCGTTAAGATCATCCTGGTCGAGTGAGAGCACAGCGTTCACCACCACTACACATAGTCAGTATCCGCTTCCGTCCAGTCCCACGGGAGCCCTTACTCTTGGTGAAGAAGTCCGAGTTGCGCTTAATGAGCTTGCTGTTCATGGCGGTTGCGGCCAATCGTCGTAGAGTTTCAACCTTCTTCTCCTCGCTTCCGGCAGCCTCGATCATGTCGACTGCGATTTCTTTCACCTTGTTGACGGCCATAGCACTTCCCCTCCGTAGACCCTTGATGATTGTCTGTGCGCTCACGCCTTGCTCAACCAGTTCACGAACTTCCTTGAGTATTTCACCGGCAAGAACAACGACCGATGTTGTTCCATCTCCTACTTCGGCATCTTGGGATCGGGCGATATCCGTGAGAATGCGGGCGGCGGGGTGCACAATATCCAGGAGCTAGTTTCGTCACGTATTAGTATCACACCATCGATGGAAGTTAGAGTATTGAACTCAAGTCGAACACACTTTCATTACTGTCGCTCCATCGTTCGTAATGGTCTGCTTGCCGTTGCCGTCAACAAGCAACAAGTCCCCTCCATACGGGCCGAGAGTGCTCTTGATGGTAGATTGCACGGCAACACAGGCATTGATATTAGAAATGATCTGACCCTTTCCCTGAGAGGCATCCGTGCCTAAGCAATTATGAATCGTGGAAAAGTCAGCGAACAAAACACGTCGGACACACAGTGGAGGGGGTCAGAATGCGGGCAAGAAACGGACCCTCCTTAAGCACAATGATAGTGGGTGCCTGGCCAGCGAAGGCCATTTTGATTAATTTATTTCGAAAAGAACCGACAAGTAAGGCTGGTAAAGACCGGTAGAGAATAAGAGACGCACAGGAGATGGAAAGTGACGCCGAAAGTTACCAGCTCGGGGGTGTTCAATAATGCTCTCGACCAAAATTTCCCCGAGCTTCTCGATGTCGCCAAAGCACTGAGGCGGTGACCAATCATACCGCGTCTCCGCAACCCTACAACCCCTCAAGCAATTTATACTAACTAGTAGTAATCAGCACTGTATACATCCCTTATCAACCTGCCTGGAGAATCATTTATCGGTCTATTACATATAATTTATCGCGTCACTTTCTATCATACTGCTAATAATACAGATATCCACCACCGTAGTTATCCGATAATCCACAATGCCGCAAGCCCAACTTATATAAACGCCGTCAAGAAATGCCGTAACGATAATGCCCCAGAAAACAAAACAAAAGTGCAGAGAAAATCAAATCAGATAGAAATGGGCTGGAAAAAAGGAAAAGAAAAGGTGCAAGCAGGCAGCCACATCACGTAAAGTCCAAGTCATCATCTGGTTGTCCTACATACTGATACTTGGCCAGTATCTGTTCGTGGTGATGCACATCACCTACTTGTGAATGTACTAGCCCAAGTGCATCCTGATGAAGCGCCGATCCAGGATCTGGATCAGATGGGTCATCAACCATCATATGGTAATCACTCGCAGCATGATGTCGCACATCATCATCAAAGTGAGAGCTAGACAAACCATGAGGGCCGTGCGTGTAAGGGTCGGTCATAGCATCATGGGTTTGGAATCTGGGAAGTTGCTGGTGAATATCAATGATTTGGGGGTCGAGAGGCATGACGTAGTCGCTGATGGAATCTACTGATCCCGGAACAACGGATGGATGGGTGGTGACAAAAGGGTTCTGGCTTTGATGGGCATCCAGAGATACATGGTCCATGAGCGAGTTTGCTCCCATGTTCTCGCTGGTTGGCATACTAGGCTCGCTCTCGCGGCTGCTTGTTTGATCCTCCTCCTCTATCATATCATCATTCTTGAAGAGTCCGTTGGCTAAGGGCGATTTGAGTGTCTCCTTGCACTGGGGACAATCTCGGATGACCCTGCTTACGGTTTCCTTGATCCGGACCCAATGGTACTTGACTGCAATGGCGGCTGTAGTCTTATTGATGCCGGCATGCTGCTGAACATGCATCTCCCGAGCGATATCATACTGCTGTTGTGGATCCGACACTACCTCTTTGTCTTTCAGCATCAGCTTCTCGGTTTCACCATCTTGCCCCCCAATCAGCTTATAGTGGGTTGCTGCACTTCTAAGCCGGCTCTTCTCGGCCCTGTCGGCGCCCCTAGGGTATTTTGAATGCTTCAGATAATACCGGATCTTGTCAAAGCGATCCTGAGTAACAGCGTCCTCACCCTCGGGCCCCAAATCTCGGCCGTATATGATCGCATCCACATACTGTCCGGGATTCGAGGCGAGTCTACCACCTCCTGGTATTCTTCCGATCCGTTTGAACCCTAAAGAATCCCAAAGGCGACAGGAGGCAACATTACTCTCATAGACTATGTTGAACATGGCATATGTATACCCCTGCAGAATGTCAGATATATGAGACTTCGGATACATCCGCAACCAATCGCATAACGGCAAGACACTGGGCTAACAGAGCGTTCACGGAGGAATTCATCAGTGCAGTTGGTACTGACCAGTTTTGGAGCCCATTCTAGGTATCCTTCCCCCATCAGTCGGCCCACACCTCGATTCCGAGAGGCATCGGTGACAAGGAACATGCTATTGCAGATATGACTACTACGGCCAGGGTAGTTTGGTCTGACGGTAAAGCTGCCCAGACAGATCTTGGGCCAATTCATTCCCGGCCTGTCCATGGCTTTGACATCCTGTGTATGCTTGATATCCCCGAGGAGCATGATAGCACCGAAGTTAGAGAACCAATAGTGCTTAAACTCATTGTACGGAATAGGGTCAATCATAGCATAGGTGTCGCCCTTCTCAATCTCACTATTTAATTGGTCTGATAGGTAGCCCAACAGAGACGGGGGCACATCATCGGGCGACATAAAAGGTACCAGGGTCGCGACCGTAACGCGATCGCGAAGGGTAACCTGCCGAGGGTAGATATCTGGTAGCAGCTCCTGGTCCGCAGGCATCACCATAGACGCTAAATCCCCATGTACAGCAGGCATGTTGAAACCTTGGGCCGGCCGAGCCGGTCACAGGACTATTTACCATTATTAGTTAATTGAGCAAATATCAAACATTGATTTAATCTGATGTGATTGCAAGCTGCAAATCGGTATATGACAAGTGTGAAGCACTGGGATAATAGACCACGCGGGACAGAAATAGCACGGATGCCATCACAGAGACTACGAGTCAAGCAAGATACAGGAAGGACCCAGATAGGAAAAACCGTGGCAGGGACATTACCAGAATAGGGTCTAGAAGCACTGACTTTCTGAGGGCGAAATCGGAAACAACGTTTCTCCTTTAATACTTGATTGTCCCCGAGGGGCACTTCGAGGACCGCCGAGTATTCTAGAGTCCGGAATGATGTGAACGCAGCAGAGAAAACGTCGTCCCGCCGGCGGTTTATGGTTGATCCGGGAACGGTAATACTATCCCTATTAGATTTATTCGGTGCCTCAGGTGCTGAGTTCCCATTAGGGTTAAGTTCGGCCCCACCAGAACAAGTTGTTCCTGGAAGGTGAACTAGTAGTACCTACCAACTACCGGCAATATCATGATATACTACTAGTACTAGTAGTAGTGAACAATAGTAAACAAATCAAGTAATCTATACTCCTTATAATACAGAGTCTTGTCTACGTAATGATATATCCATAACTCATCTGATTTTGCAAGATAGTAAGTACAAAAACTGACAATGTTTCTCTCTTCTCCACAAGACTATATATTTTGGACAGCTCACCTGCCACTGACGTCGCTTAATACTTGACAAGGATAAGTACTCGTAAGGCATCAACAGCTGAAAAGTTACCCCTGCAAGAAAGGCCCGTTCCACCCACTGGACAATCTTTCCCACATTTGTGACCCAGCCAAACTCCCATAGGCAAGTAATCTCGCACCCTAAACTTCTCTCACAACCTGGGTATGATCAAACCACTTGCCGCCATCATGAATGCCCCTCAGTATTATCCAAACATGCTGGAGCCACTACAGGTAAACAAAGCGAATTTGCAGAAAGCTCTCCATGAATTTCGCGGAGCCGTTGATCATGGAACTCATCTGATGCAGCAAGGCTGCCCTCCTTCAGCGGAGTGGGGTAGTGCCGGTTTGTACTTGGGAGTAGCAGGTACGGTCGACTCCCCATTCCAGAACCGACGACGTCAAGCGTATACACAGAACACCTTTGAGGTATCTATAGTATTACCATTGCCTATCTCGCTGACTGCATCCCAGGGATCGCTCTCGCCTTCCTGCGGCTTGAGCGTCAAGCTCTATCCTTGATAGAGCCAGGCAAGGCTCCTATCGATTTCGGTAAACTAGCGAGGGAGCGGATAGTGTCACATGGACCAAATTTGCCTTTGAAACCAGGCTGGCTGTCGCCTCTAGGCTCATTGTCCCCAGTAACAGGGGCCTTGATGCGCATCTTAGCAGCAGCTACGGATGGCAGTGTAATCTCTGATGCTGACATTACTTGTCTTGGAGATGCGGTTAGGCTGGCAATCCAGAATGGACCCCTGGTGCCTCAGGGAGATAAAATGATGGGAGGTGATGAGCTTATTTACGGTCGGCCTGGATTGTTATGGTCCATCCTCAATCTCCGGGTTCAGCACTTCGATGAGAACACAAGGAGGCGCCTACAACCTGTTTTCGATGCTCTACCTGACCTTGTTGATGTGATAGTCGACGCTGGAAGACAAGGACAGAAGAATTACATCGAAATGCACGGAGAGAAGGATGCATTGCCCCTGATGTGGTCGTGGAAGGAAGCCCGGTTTTATTTAGGAGCGTGAGTGTTCACCCCAGCCAATGTATCCTACCCCCTTCCCCGATGAAAAAAAAACCCCACAAGACTCAACGTACTGACTGAGAGCTCAAGTGTTCATGGCATCGGTATGTACACAGAGAAAAGCAAGTTCTCCGCAGGGTTTTTCGGAGCTAATACTTCGTAGCCGGTGTTCTTGCGATTATCCTTGCTTGTCATGCCGAAGAAGTCAATGATGACACTTCGCGTAAATATCTCCCTTGGATAGCGGGTACTATCACAGGCTTATGCAAGATATGTATTGCTAATCATGGACACCTTCCCACACGCATTCCTCCATCTTCCCGCCATTCATCTCCACTTGTCCAGTTATGTCATGGTAGCCCTGGATTATTGGTTCTCATGGCATGTGCAAGAAGAAGCCCGTTGGTCATTGAGTACTGGGAACCCGAATGGGACGAAGCCATTCATTTAGCGGCTGAAAGTATCTGGAGGGAAGGACTGCTATCGAAGGGTGGCAGTTTGTGTCATGGCATTGCTGGAAATGCACTGCCGCTGCTACTCATGCACGACAGTTTCGAGTACGATGTGGAAATGATGCAGACGGCGAAGCGCAACTACATAAAGCGAACCGAGGCAATCGAGACTAAATGCTTAAGAGACAATCTCTCAAGCGACTATTTCTTGTCTAGAGCGCTAACATTGCTGTTACATGCGCGGGAGACGCCGCCTTACAGCAACTCGCCCGAGAACATTTATCGTATGCCTGACCGCCCCTTCTCCCTACATGAAGGTCTAGCGGGTACGGTTTGCGCGTGGGCCGATGCTTGTGTGGCAATCCAAGCGAGATTGCGGAAGATGGAGCTGGAGCTGGAGGGTGACGGGCCAGTCGTAGAGGCTACTTTGCGACATGACCCGGCTTTCAAGGAACTAATGAACCGCCAGCTAGGGTTCCCAACTATCGCTCACCACAGACCGACAGGTCTGCCTTGAGTGAAAACTGGAGAACGCAAACCACCTTTTTGAGAAAAGGACAACGGCAAAAGCAGATATTGTATGCTATATTTGTGTTCCTAAAACACTCAGCTGAATATTCATCTGTAGCTGAAAGTTGATCTTACCCGAGATTCCACGCAAATAAATATGGGAAGCAGTAGTTTGTGTAACCGTATCCAAGTGTAATGTCGGCTTTATGTCCTCATCATCACCGAACTCGGAGAAGACAAAAGAAACGGTCCTAAACAAAACTAAATCCCGATCGATACATAGGAGGTTGGCCTGGAATTTCTGTCCTAAATTCGACACGCTTCGGTACAAAGTTGCCATGTGGTACCTCAACAGCCACCCTGAAGCGACGCCAGCAATTATTGTATTGGTGAGACGACTCGCCGCAGAAAGTACAGCGCGTGGGCATTGATCGCACTGGGGTTGCTTGCGCTCTCGGCTCCGGCTGACTGTGGCTTCTCATCCTGGTCTTGCGCTCTTGTTCCCGACGCATCTGCTGGACAACATACTGATTAATCTCCTCTTGACTGGGCTTTTTGCTGTGCCGCCTAATAGTTTCATTGTGTCGTGGCGCCTTTTCATCTCTTTTCATCTGCTGGACGACGAATGCGTTTATCTCCTCCTGTGTAAGCTTTCGAGAATCCGAAGATACGTCAAGAGAAGAATAAGGTGTGCTTTTACTCCGCGAATGTTGGATATGTTTCTTCTTCCCCTTCATGCCTTTTTCGTGTCTCATAGCTAACTCTGAAAGCTCTTGAAACGTCATTTTGTCTGGGGAATTTGAAGAGCCCAATCGACTATCACGAAGCATATCCGTCGCCCAGCTCTTCCATTCTGGTCGTGTCTTTAGTTTATTAAGAAATAGGATATTGATTTGGGAGTCTGCGATCCGGAATTCTTCGTTAACTTGAGTAAGACCTTCTCGCATTGCTTCAATGAGCTCGATGAGATCGGTGACTGTATCTGATTTTGCGGAGTCGAGGTCCAGTATCTCGCTGATATGATGTATCATACGAACATTTCGCTGCCAGATGTCCATGTTGGCGAACCGTAAACCAAGCTTGGGGGTGTTGTTGGTGAAGCTTATTGAATATAGATTGGTTCGAGCTCAGATGAGAGAATCTTGTTCTTTGTTTTTGCTTTTCTAATAGGAGAAATGACGTCAGGGGAAATCCATACGCTGGACGTAATCTATTTACATCCTCTCCTGATTGACGTAAAATACCGTACCGAGTAATACACTGAGTAGGAGATACTACTTGAAAGCTTCTTATAACGATGTAGCTCTCTAAACAATCATATATGTTGGAGGGTATCATATATACATATTTTCGCTATCCTTGTTTCATCGACTAGTGTACTATAGTAAGAATCTTATGGCTTCTGCGCCCAATACGAAAAGTGGCAGTGCTGGGTCTTTATTTGTGGGTGATCATGGGGGCCGGTTTTTCTTGGCTCCCTGAAGCAATAATGGTGCACCTGACAATTTTTATATCGATATCTCTTTCTGACTCTGGCAGAGACATTTTTGGACCTAAGATCCTATGAATGCGATGCTATCTTAGCCCAGGTATAACATTATCACTCAGCAAGCGGTAAAAAGATGGATCTTGTGCCCCCATCCTACCAGTCCGCAACGACCAGAGATGCGTGGTCCTTTATTGCTACATATATACCATCCAGCGACCTATGCGCAGCTACATTAGTCTGTCGGAAATGGCATGCACTTTTTATGCCGTTCTTGTGGGGTGATCCTGCATCTCACTTTGGGACTGACAACGATGCCGTTTATGGTAATTCCACTGGACACACCATTCGTGGTCTGAGCTGACAAGATATCTGCATTGTAGTCGCTTTGACAAGGTTTAGGAGAACCCTGGTATATGCCAGGTTGGAGGTGCGGATGCTAACACATACACTTCATCTGCCTCCTGCTCTTTCAGAAATCTACGGAGGTCCGCGACCGGAATGGCTGAGGGAGATTCTCGAATACTTACCATGCCTTCAGTCTCTGATTGTCTCTAAATTGCCGTTCTTTGACCATAATTCCATGGTAGCTTTAAGAAATAATACGAGCCGCGAACTTGTCAACGAAACAGTCCTTACATATAACGTTCGTCTGCTGTTGGCGGACCACGAACCTAATACAACCTCTCAAGGGCTTGCAGAGGCACTATTGCGTTTTCAGGAACTTGTATATCTTGACCTGTCTTATACCACTCCAACTCGAGATAGTAGTGTTCTATCTGCTCTATCTCAGCTGGAACATCTCCAGGTCTTGAAACTACGGGGCATTGGGTTAAGAGATAGCGACGCAGAGTTCTTAGCTAATGCTATCGGTCTGAGAGTTCGCTACCTTGACTTGCGGGATAACAGGCTCACTGATATGGCTATCCGATCTTTACTGCAAGCTTCTTTCCTATCACCAGGTAATCCTGCAGTCGATCATGGTTCAGATGTGGGAACGGCAGCTCCAGGACCTTTCACTCCTGCAACATCGCCACCGACTAATTCGAAATGGCTCAGCTGCCCTACATTAGATGAGCAGTTCATGAAAGCATTAACACAGCCCTTGACAGGCCGTTCGTGGGTGGAGAACGTACCACATGCGGGCATTACACATTTATATATCGCAGATAATCGGATTACAGTCGAGGGGGTGGCAAGCCTTATAGCTTCATACCGACTTCACGCTCTTGATGTAGGAACAGTTGACACCGCCGATTCAATTCGGGACTCGCGTGTTATATCCTCATATCACAAAGACCCCCGAAAGCTTCCTGGTGCTGAAAAATTGATACCAATTCTGGGTTCTGCCGCAAAAGAGAATCTAACGTACCTACGTGCTCACCATGCAGTTTGCACCGCTGATGCTCCTTGGAAAGACCCTGTGTCATCGAATGGGTTTGTTGCAGAACTTCCAGCCGAAAGTGAAGATCAAACCCCGGAGCTAGACGCCGCAAACGTGATCCACGAGCTCCCTGCAGAGGAAGCGCCTGTTTTTGAGCTTCCGGGGTCACCAGTTCCAGAGACCTGGAGAACAGACTTTCAACGTTCTGGCCATGATACGCAGGCGCCTATTCGTGAAGATGAGCCATTACCCCTACGAAGACGAGGTTCTGTATTTGCCCCTGAGGTGGTTGAGACACCTTATACCAGGGCAGACGATGATGCTACATCCATTACCATTAGTCCGCTCTATCCAGCTCAGGCTCAAGAAGGCTTAATCCCGACCGAGTTGGAGTTCGATGAGAATACGGAAACGCCTGGTACAGTCCCAAGATGTACATCCCCAGTAGTGATGGACGATCCCAAAACCCAGAAAATCCAAGAACTCATCTCAAAAAGACCCAAAAATTCCGTCCTACCTCGCAAAGATTACAAGGAAAACAGCTTTCCGTATCTGCATCCTTCTTTTGTACCACATCTTGAGACATTGGTGTTGACTGATGTTCCATCCCATGTGCCCGCAAATTCCCCCATCTTGAGGGCTCTAATCCGCTTCATAACAGCCTGCTCGAATGAGGCCTTGCTGGCAACGCTCCAAGCAGGATCAGACTATTCGCTTCCTCCTGGTCGAGCTCGAGCCAAAGCTGAACAAGAACGATCTCGGTCACTGTTTGCTCTGCGGCGCTTGGTACTTGAAGTGACTCCTGTCGAGAGAACAACGGCTAAATTAACTGCGTGGAAATCAACGAGCTATCAACAAGGAGCTTCAAAATCAAGCACTGGGGATCGAGATCTGGAGAAACTGTGGTCAGCAGCAGCGGACGACTTCAGTTTCTTCGGTGAGGACGAATGTGGGGTCCCAAACCACGACCCGGGGAGGTACTTCCCAATGGCTGCTCTCAACGAGAAAGTCATTTTGATCCCAGAAGAAGATGATTCTGGAAACTCAGGGTATTCAACACCGGTTGCTTCTGCGCAGAAATTGCACCGTCCGGATTTCCCCTCTTCTTATGGCAGTCATTCTCGTCCCTCTTCCATCAACTCTGGACCAGCACGGAATGACGGCGCCGTAGTTTCGCCTCAAGCTGATGCTCCAGAGGTTGACCTCATCTCAGAACTAGCTGCTTTCAGGCGTTCAAAGAAGGCTGAATACGAAGATCTGGTGCGCAGGGACCGGAAAAGGAGGAGTACGGTAGGCACCACACCTTCGCTCCTCTCTCCTTCCGGGTCGTTATCATCATTCGGGCCGTTGTCGCCTTCTCCAAGCCTGTCCACTGTGGCAGCAGTTTCGGCTCCTCAATTGGCCATGTCGCATTATGTGGAAGGATATTGGAAAGGTGAAGTGAAAATTGTCCGAAACCCCGCACCTAAAGGACGGAGTGGAGTGGTTGATATGTATGGAAATTACTTTGAAAAAGGGTACCTATATCCTTAAGTCTTGTATGGAACATATTCCCTCGTTTGAAAGTTGTTTCTAGATCGCAAGCATGTATTTACTCATCATATAAGTTTATGTCATCAAGTTAGATACCCCAAAATATGATCCTAGCCATGTAAGTCATGGTGGTGCATTTTCAGAGGGATCCCCCCACAGACAACCTAACATAAGTATAACGGAACTACTCTGTCTAGTGGGGCAAAGCAGCTAGAAGTAGAGGCCACTAGGGCGATTTACAAGAACGGAAATGGGATCGTTTTGAGTATCTTGTCATTTTCTCTTTCAGTCGTTATGCGAGCTTGGATTCCCTTTCGTCACTAAGTCAAAATGTCGAAATACAATGGAATCATGAAAGCCCCTGGCCGATCCATTTGGTGCATCGGGGTCCCGTCTCCACTGGGCTATATTCGTTTACCTTTTGTGAACAGTAAATGTTTAGATTTTGTTTTGTTTTATTTGCGTCTCCTGCCCACGGGCGACCCGTAATGCAAGCCTTCGACCCCAAAACTGAAACCCATTCATTCCATTTGAACCGAGTAAGAAAGTCTGTTCAGTAAAGAAACAAGAAAAGAAACAAGCCTTTTAAACTAATCCATTTTTCTCTTCTGTTTCCCTTCCTTACACAGCCTTAGCGGCCTGAGGGGGGCTCAGCTTCTTGCCGTCCTTGTTGTACCTGATGCGAGGAGGGGGGGCACGGTTGCGACGACCTTCCCGGGAACGGACACTGTGATGGGGATTTCCGTCAGCTTGGTTCAATCTTCCTAGTGGTACATAAATGTCGCCAAAGTGTATCAAGAGTCGGGGTTGGATGCGTACCGAACAATCTTGCCGTGGATAGCGCAGGAGACACAGTACTGCAGCTTGAGGTACATCTTGGGGACGGCATAGTCGGTGAAGACGGAGGCGTCAGAGATATCACCTATACAGTAAAAATCGTCGAGTCAGTCCCAGTTGCATTTGCAAATCGTATCCCATCAATTCGTGCGTGCTGTTGCCCTCTTCGTTCACAATTCCTTCTCCAATTCCAGATTTCGATTCCAGCTCTTCCGAACAACAGTGCGCGGCGAATTTGGGCTTCAATTGCGGGTATCAGGCTCGGACATACGGATGGCAGCGGACTCAACCATGTTGCGGATAGTGAATCTCTTGATGGCCTTGTCCTTGGGGACGCAGCGAGCGCAGTTGGAGCAGCGCACGGGCTTAGTGTGGCCGCGGCCGTTCTTGTTACGACCGCTGTAGAACTGTCAGTTTTGCTGATTCCAGAAATTGCCCCTTTCCGTTTTCCGTTGTCTTAACAAAAAAACACTTGTCGGCAACCGGGTTCCCACGGCCATGTAGAAGATACCGGAACCGTAGGCGTCATATCAAAAGGCACGCATGTAATGAAATCGGACGGGTATAGGAGATAGGGTCGGTCCTTACTTGTTCGCCCTCTTCTTGACCATCTTGACGGCTTTTCTCTGGAACTATGGGTCAGAGAATGAAGAGTCAGGGGGAAGGGGAAGGTTGTCGCGTACTTGGCTTGTCGGGTTTGGTTGTCGTGAAGCACCGGAAGACTCGTGATGAGGTTGTGCGAGGCCGGTCATGTGCAAAAGCCCTATGCCCTTAAGCGAGGCCTAGTCACGGGATGTTATGTGCCTGAGGCGGAATGCGGGAGGTCTTTCTGCCTGAGGCAAGCGACGAGTCATTCCGCCCGCGGAAGTGGCCTGAGGCGCCCAGACAGGGATGAGGGACATATGATGTGTTCACGTGCTGATCCTCCCGTCTTACTTGAAAGCCGAGAATCTTACGATACGCCAATACGGGTACTTTGTTTACTTTACCCGTTCATCATAACAGGGCAATCGTCCCATTTTCTGCCGTAAACTAACAGCTAATAGTTCGTCCACCCGACTGAGTCTAAACCCACTCGAGACCCCCTGTCTGTCCGTAACTTTCTCGTTGACGTTCAATTTATCGTCTCTCTTCCCTCTCTTCCCTTACTTTGACCTGTTCTGGTTTATCGTGAACTTGTGTCTTGAGGGTACTAGTACATATCACTACTAAATACTCCGTACATACACACCTGTCTCCGCTCTCCTTTACCCTCCCCAATTCCCGTCATCTCCTTTACCCTCTCCCCTCCCACACCCACTGACCATCCACATTGCGTAACCGTACCTGCATTACTGTTGGTTGGCAACATGTCGGCCACTGGAACGTACAGGGGAACTACGACTGGCCACAAGACTGTGGGCAGAGGTAGGCTGCCCGACTTCGATAGTCCGGCATCCCACATTCCGCGTCCTCGGCCTGAGACCGCTTCTTCTTCCACACCCAATCCTCACACTCCCTCCAGCGACATTGGAAGTTCAACAATGAGTGCTGCCAGCAGACAAAGACAGAACCAGTCGAAGCGAGATGAGGTATGATCTTTCTCCCTTGGTCACGCTGTGTGACGCTTTATAGCTACAATGGAGCTTGAACTTTTAAGCACGTCCTTTGTATCCCATCTCTCCTCACCGAATTTTTTTTCCTTCCCTCTTGCACCTATTACCTTTTCCCCCCCTCTTTCTCCAAACCAGCCCGTTGTAATTTGAGATAAGGCAAATGATTATATAACTCTCTACTCCTATTCTAACACCCCAATCAGGCTATCCGCCGAAAGATGGAGGCGGACCTCAACAAGAAGAAGCAAGCCCCGACAAAGGCGCATCGCTCTCGGAAAGCTCCGCCAGGAACCGTACTCGCCCTGAAACCTAGTCAAGCTCTTCAGATTAAACCTAACACGACCATTGCGGAGGCCGCTCAATTGATGGCAGCAAAGCGGGAGGACTGTGTTTTGGTTACCGACGATGATGATCGCATTGCCGGAATTTTCACTGCGAAGGATCTCGCGTTTCGTGTGGTGGGAGCTGGCCAAAAAGCTCGAGATATTACCGTCGCCGAAATCATGACCAAGAACCCTTTATGCGCGAGAACCGATACTAGTGCTACCGATGCACTCGACCTCATGGTTAGGAAGGGCTTCAGACATTTGCCAGTTATGGATGAGAACCAGGATATTTCTGGTGTTCTCGATATCACGAAATGCTTCTACGATGCGATGGAGAAGTTGGAGCGCGCATATAGTTCGTCCCGCAAGTTATACGATGCTTTGGAAGGTGTTCAGACGGAACTCGGCTCCAGCCAGCCTCAGCAGATCATCCAGTATGTTGAAGCCTTGCGTTCGAAGATGTCTGGTCCAACTCTCGAGACTGTCCTTGATGGCCTGCCGCCCGTTACAGTCTCCGTTCGCACGTCTGTGAAGGAAGCTGCTGCTATGATGAAGGAACATCACACCACCGCCCTTCTGGTGCAGGATCAGGGCTCGATCACCGGTATCTTCACCAGCAAAGATATCGTACTGCGTGTCATCGCTCCTGGTCTTGACCCGTCGACATGTAGTGTGGTTCGCGTCATGACTCCTCACCCTGATTTTGCGCCCGCTGATATGAGTATTCAAGCTGCGCTACGGAAGATGCACGGTTAGTTATAGCCCATTGGATTTCCAAAGATACGGTCTCTAATTTTAGATTGTCACAGACGGCCACTATCTGAATCTACCAGTTATGAACGAGACGGGCGAGATTGTTGGTATGGTGGATGTGCTGAAACTCACATATGCCACTCTGGAACAGGTTAGTAAATCATTTTTCACCCGCGATAGTCGCAAGAGTATCTAACTGGATTTCAAGATCAATTCGATGTCGACGCATGATGACGAAGGCCCGGCATGGAACAAGTTCTGGCTCTCTATGGACCATGAATCCGACTCGATGGTGTCTGGTAGCCAACAGCCCCATAATCGGTCAGTACTCAGTCCTGAGTCTCCGAAGCTAGTTATGACGCCAGAGACAGTGTGCTTCCTAATGAGTCTGCTTCTCACCATGGCGGCGATGAGCACTCCGAATACATCGATCACCATCATCATCATCATGGCGAACCTGTTCCGTTCCCCTTCAAGTTCAAGGCGCCAAGTGGCCGCGTTCACCGTGTTAACGTTCTCCCTTCTGCTGGCATTGCCGATTTAGTTGCCCAAGTCACGGCCAAGCTGGGATCAGAGGCGGATGCCGTTGGCGGCGCTGCAACCTGTGACGAGGGTAAACTTAGCAACACAGGCTATGCTTTGAGCTACTTGGATAATGAGGGAGACACTGTTTCGATTACCACAGATCAGGACCTTGCTGATGCAATTACTCTGGCACGGCAGTCGCGTCGGGACAAGGTTGATCTCTTTGTCCATGATCCGACGCAGCCTCCAATTCCTGCTACTCTCGAACCCCAACCCGCACCTGTGAAGCCTGTGGAGGAGAAGATCTCTCCAGTTCCAGAGGATCAGTTGTCGGAGGAACCATATGTGCCAAAGCCCCGGTCTCAGACGTTCTCCTCACAGCACCAAGAAGAGCAATTCATTGCAGGAGTGCCTAACGAGTTACTCCTTCCTGGTGCGATTGTCACACTGGCGGCAGTCATTGCGGGTGTTTTCGTCTTGAGCCGGGCCACGTCCCGGTAATGTGTGTCTAGTGAGCATTGTTTGATATAGTTGAATCGGTGGGACTGTTGTATCTAGTTCTTTTGTCTTTTCGTCAGTGCACCCCCGAGAGCGCTATTACTCCGCTTTTTTTTTGGCCATCGTTTAGCTGTCGTCTGCATTAATTTCTGATATTGACTGTTCGGATACCGCTGCTGTTATTAGTGAGAGCATAGTGTGATTTACAGCGCATAGAAAAGATTTGGGTTCATTTTCAGTTTTTCCACCAGCAGGGTATATTCGAAGGAATTTAGTACTAGTTCTTTAGATCGGTAGAGCACGAATGTTTGCAATCCTACTGGTTGCTAGCCCATAGATTGGATGCTGACAAGGTCGAGTGGTCGGGTTCTGCTGTGATGCCTTGATGCCTGGGATTGCCCTGTTTGGGCCTAGCGCGGCGTTGCCTCGAATCGCTGGAATTTTTTGGGTTGGACTTTTGGTTGCTCAGTTCCCTCATCCCACATCCATTATTCGCTCCCTCGCGAACCTCTAATTCTCCCCTCCAGTTCATCTGCAGCTCTGGACCCAGCTGGGATGCTGAGCCTGCGTTTGAGCTGTGTGTTTTCTTGAGAGATAATCCATTTACTGATCTTCTTGAGTACGGGTCTTTTGACACTACTCCCCCCTCTATATTCCCCCCACCAAAACAATTCCAGAAAAATCCTATCTAACCGCTACCCCACTCGCCGCCTGGGTTCAGCACTGAGCCCGCATTTGAACGTCTTCCTGGATCGCGACTTCGTTTGTTCCGTTCGGTTGGACCCTTCAGCTTAAGCAGACAAGATGTCTTTGCTACCCCCCGAGGTCCACTCCGCGCTCTCGCAGCTGCTGCGCGCGTTAACCACCCCGGACAACACGGTTCGTACGCAGGCGGAAGAACAGTTGAATAATGATTGGATTCAAGGTCGTCCGGATGTCCTTTTGATGGGCTTGGCGGAGCAGATTCAAGGCGCAGAGGAACTAGTAGTAAGTGCCTCGACTCGGAATACAAGGGGGAAGGTCGCATGAAAGCGCCGAGACGGATCACCTTGCTCCAAGGCCTCCTCCACAATCGGTCCTCATCCTCATTCTTATTGATTACCACAGACACGTACATTCGCCGCGGTGCTGTTCAGGAGAATATCTACCAAGACACGGAAGGACCCTGTCACAAATGAAGCCAAAGAGCTCTTCTCAACACTTACTGGAGAGCAACGCCTGGTCATTCGACAGAAGCTGGTTACTTGTTTGACGACTGAGACTGTGACGGATGTCCGGAAGAAGATCGGCGATGCAGTGGCTGAGATTGCGAGACAGTACACCGATAACGGTATGCAGCCTAGACGACCTGGGAAATCCTAGGATTGACGAATGACTTTTCTAGGTGACCAATGGCCTGAGCTTCTCGGGGTTCTTTTCCAGGCCAGTCAATCCCCCGATGCTGGCTTGCGTGAGGCTGCTTTCCGCATTTTCTCGACCACCCCCGGAATCATTGAGAAGCCCCACGAAGACGCCGTTCAGGGTGTGTTTGGCAAAGGTTTCAAGGATGACGTTGTGTCTGTACGTTCAATCCTCAGTATCGGCCGGTAGAATTTCAGTTTTTTTAACCGTCTATTTGCAGGTGCGCATTGCTGCCATGGAGGCTTTTGCTTCCTTCTTCCGCTCGATTTCGAAGAATCCCAGCCCAAGTTTTTCCAGCTCGTGCCAGACCTCCTTAACGTTTTGCCTCCGCTGAAGGAATCGTCCGAGAGCGACGAGCTTTCTGCTGGATTCTTGGCCCTCATTGAGCTGGCCGAGATTTCTCCCAAGATGTTCAAGAGCGTGTTCAACAATCTGGTGAAGTTCAGTATCAGCGTGATTGCCGATAAGGACCTCAGTGACCAGGTTCGCCAAAACGCCTTGGAATTGATGGCCACATTTGCAGACTACTCTCCCAACATGTGCAAGAAGGACCCTGAATTTGCACAGGAGATGGTGACCCAGTGTCTGAGCCTCATGACTGACATCGGTATCGATGATGATGATGCTTCCGAGTGGAACGCATCTGAGGATGTAAGTTGTCCATGTTCACTGTGTGCCACATATTCTGACCTGTCTAGCTTGATCTGGAGGAGAGCGACCTCAACCATGTCGCTGGAGAACAGTGCATGGACCGCCTGGCAAACAAGCTTGGTGGACAGGTCGTCCTTCCCGCTACCTTCTCTTGGGTCCCCCGGATGATGTCTTCTTCAGCCTGGCGTGATCGCCATGCGGCCCTTATGGCTATCTCCGCTATCTCAGAAGGCTGTCGCGAGCTGATGGTTGGTGAACTGGACCAGGTGTTGGCACTGGTCGTTCCCGCTCTCCAGGACCCCCACCCTCGTGTCCGCTATGCAGGCTGCAACGCCTTGGGTCAGATGAGCACCGACTTTGCTGGCACGATGCAGGAGAAGTACCACGCTATTGTGCTTAACAACATCATCCCAGTGTTGAACAGTGCCGAGCCTCGCGTCCAGGCCCACGCTGCCGCGGCGCTGGTAAACTTCTGCGAAGAGGCTGAGAGGAAGGTCCTTGAGCCCTACCTTGCCGAGCTTCTGCGCCATCTTCTGCAGCTCCTGCGCAGCGACAAGCGCTACGTTCAGGAACAAGCTCTTTCCACTATCGCTACGATTGCCGACTCTGCTGAAAATGCGTTCGATCAATACTACGATACCCTGATGCCTTTGCTCTTCAACGTATTGAAGGAGGAGCAGTCCAAGGAATACCGTCTTCTGCGTGCTAAGGCTATGGAATGTGCTACCCTAATTGCGCTCGCTGTGGGCAAGGAGAAGATGGGACAAGACGCTCTGAGTCTAGTGCAGTTGCTGGGCAACATCCAACAGAACATTGTCGATGCGGATGACCCGCAGTCGCAGTATCTGCTCCACTGCTGGGGCCGTATGTGCCGGGTCTTGGGCCAGGACTTCGTTCCTTATCTCCCTGGTGTTATGCCCCCTCTCCTCTCCGTTGCGGCTGCCAAGGCGGACATTCAACTGCTAGATGATGAGGACCAGATTGACCAGGTTGAGCAAGATGAAGGCTGGGAGTTGGTGCCTTTGAAGGGCAAGATCATCGGCATCAAGACCAGCGCGCTGGAAGACAAGAACACTGCCATTGAGTTGATCACCATCTATGCTCAGATCCTGGAAGCTGCCTTTGAGCCATACGTGCTAGAAACTATGGAGAAGATTGCCGTACCTGGCCTTGCTTTCTTCTTCCACGATCCAGTGCGGGTGTCCTCGGCTAAGTTGATTCCTCAGCTCTTGAACTCGTACAAGAAGGCCCACGGTGACCAGTCCCCTGGGTTCGCACAGATGTGGAACAAGGTGGCCGAGAAGATCATCGAGGTGCTGAGCGCGGAGCCCACAGTTGATACACTGGCAGAAATGTACCAGTGCTTCTACGAATCCGTGGAGGTTGTGGGCAAGAACTGCCTCACCCAGCAGCACCTGCACACCTTCATTGAGTCGGCCAAATCGACGTTAGAGGACTATCAGGTCCGTGTCAAGGCTCGGCTGGAGGAGCGTGCCGAGGCCGAGGACGGCGAGGAGGAGAACCTGGAATATGAGTACGCAGTGGAAGATGACCAGAACCTGCTCAGTGATATGAACAAGGCATTCCACACGATCTTTAAGAACCAAGGCACATCTTTCCTGCCCACGTGGGAGACTCTGATGCCATTCTACGATGCGTTCATCACAAGCCAGGACCCGACGCAACGCCAATGGGCTCTGTGCATTATGGATGACGTGCTGGAGTTCTGTGGGCCGGAGTCGTGGAAGTACAAGGATCACATTATGCAGCCGTTGGCAGCAGGGTTGCAAGATCAGAACGCCGCCAACAGGCAAGCAGCCGCGTATGGTGTGGGTGTTGCCGCGCAGAAGGGTGGCGCCGCCTGGAGCGATTTCGTTGCGGCCAGCCTTCCCAGTTTATTCCAGGTAACACAGTTCAACCAGTCCCGGACAGAGGAACATGTGTTCGCCACCGAGAACGCTTCCGCCAGTATTGCGAAGATCCTGCATTACAATGCAAGCAAGGTGCAGAACGCACAAGAGATCGTGGCCAACTGGATCACGACCCTGCCGATCACATTCGATGAGGAGGCGGCTCCATATGCCTATTCATTCCTGGCGCAGCTCATTGACCAGTAAGTTACTAGTTTCACATTTGCACCAGATAGTGCTAACTCAGTATGCAGGCAAAACCCCACTGTCATGTCCAACGCCGACAAGGTGTTCGGATACATCGTTCAGGCTCTCGAGGCAGAGACCTTGCAAGGGCAGACGGCCGCCCGGGTGGCCAACTCGGCGAAGCAGTTGGTGGCTACGACCGGACTTAACGCAGATCAGATCCTGGCTGGTGTGAACCCGGACAACCAGGCGGCAGTGCGGAGTTATTTCCAGTAGATTGGGATGATTGCAGGGAATGTCTATGATATGGATTTTGTCGATTTACTTTTTACGAGCCTATAGCGTCTACGGACTTTAGGGATGTCATTAAATGAGATTATTGCAGATACACACAACCCGGGTTTTCTTCATCCATATATACAGGAATCGATATTTAAAGTATATGTACCAATACCAAGTAAACCTCTACTCAACCACCATCTCCAGAATCTCTAATATCTGACTCTTCTCCGTCAACGGCACTGGGTTCGTCTTACACCATCGATCCTGCAAACTATTCTCAGCCAACCGATCCAGCTGGTCTCGACCAACCCCAACATCCTTCAACGACCGAGGCATCCCCAATTCCCGAATCACCGCGTCCAAAACATCCCCTAGATCCACCTTCGTCGCATCCAAGCCTCTCCTCTCCAAAACCTCCCCAACAACCCCCTGCCCCAAAAGAAACCCCTTCGCCCTCTCCTGCCGCTCTCCATTCGCTCCGTGCCGCGCATTAAACTTACAAACCGCGGGCAAAAGCACACAACTTGTCTCCCCATGCCCAACTCCCAACGGCCCCAATTGATGTCCAATCCCGTGGCTAGCCCCCAACTGTACCCCCGCCGTACAAGCAGCCATAGCATCCACCGAGCCCAACTGACACTGCAACCTCGCATCCACATCCCCCTTATCAAACCTACATCCCAGCAACCCGGGCACCAAAAGCCCCAACGCATGCAATGCAAGCCGGTCCGTCTTCTCGCTCGTATGCTCTACAGCCACGAACGTCTCGATGCAATGGTCCACCGCTCTGATCCCCGTGCTGAGCCAGATGGAATCGGGGGTCGTGGTCGTGAGAGCCGGGTCTAGAATCACGAGCTCGGGACCCTTGGTCGGACTCTGGAAGGTATGTTTGCGTTGCGTGGCATCGTCGGTTGCACCGGCGAAGTTGGAGTATTCGCCTGCTGAGAGGGTAGTCGGTATACTGATTATGGGGATGTTTGGGGCGTGGATTGTGGCTTGTTGGGATGGTGTAACGGGGAGTTTGGAGAGGTCAGTTGCTGTTTGGACGTTGTTCGATAGGGCCTTTGTGTTTAGAATTGGTTAGTTCATTCTTTCTCATATATGTATATAGTGACCTGACAATAACTCTATAAACTTCCTCGTATACGGAAAACAAACTAGGTAAGGGATATAGAATCTCACCAAAGCAACAACTTTCGCTCCATCCGTCAGGCTCCCCGCTCCAATCGTTAATATCAAATCGGCTCCGCTGTTTCGTGCTTCGTCCACGATCTCGAGGATCTCGGACCAATATGTATGGCTCCGCATTCCGATGCGAGTCCCTACTATCTTGTCTTTTCCGATGGAGGTGCTTAGTCGGTCGAGTACGTCTGTGTTTCGGGATAGAGAACCCGAGCAGATTATGTAGACTCGTGAGGCGTGGAAAAGGTCGTTTATGTGTTTTGCAGCGGCGGTTTCGAAGGGCACGCCGTAGGAGAGGAGCGGGCGGGGTCGGTCTGCGAAGGCGGTGCGAAGGGTTTCCATTTTTCTTTTCTTTGCTTTTCTTTTTGTGTTGGGCAGTTTGAGGGTAGTTTTATTATGATGGTATGTGGTGGTTGGGGTTGGTTTATATGGTGCCTGGATTGTGTATATATATGTGCTATGAAGTCAGATCGATGTCAGTAACAGTGGAGGTGGTGGGGCTGGTGGGGGTGGAGCGGAGCGGAGGTGAGGTCTTGGTATACGCAGTACACAGTAGAGGTAGCAGCATTATCAATGGTATGAGGAAATTTTGACATTGCCATAATTAAACAACAGATTTGGTATATATACAATCTAATTAGACTTTCCCGCCTTTTGCGCCAACAAGTTCAATGCACTTCCTGCCAGGATGAACGCACACTGATCCGGGCTCAGAGTGTGCTTCACCGGGACCTCAACCGCCTCGCCATTCTGCTTGGTCACCTGCAGCTTGATCGAGCCCTGTCCGCCTGCCTGCAGGGTTTCATACAGTCCGACCGTGTCGACCTTGTCGCATGCGTCAATGCGGTCGTAGTCAGCGGGGTTCTCGAAAGTCAAAGGCACGACACCCTGCTTCTTGAGGTTGGTCTCGTGGATACGGGCGAAACTCTTCGAGAGAATGATACGTCCACCGAGGTAGCGAGGCTGCAACGCGGCGTGCTCACGAGCGCTACCCTCACCGTAGTTGTCCTCGGCGACCACCAGCCACTCGATTCCCTCCGCCTTCCATTGGGCGGCCAGGTCGGGGATTGAGTACTGGTTGCCGGCCTCGTCGTAGGCGACGTTGGTCTCGCCAGTTGCTGCGTTGACGGCGCCGATCAGGGTGTTGGCGGAGATGTTGGGAAGGTGGCCCTTGTACTTAAGCCATGGGCCCGCGGCGGAGATGGTATCCGTGGTGCACTGGCCCTTGACCTTGTAAAGCACCTTCAGACCGGACAGATTTCCCTTGGGGAAAGGAGCAAATGGCTCCAGCAGAGCCAATCGATCGGAAGTGGGCGACACAACCACCTCGCAGCTTGAGTCGGGGGCCGCCGCAGAGGGCTTGAAGTCGGGGTTGCCGTCCTCAAAGCCATCAGCGGGCAGCGCAGAGCCGGTCGGAGGCTGGAACCGGAACTCCTCACCACTCGGGGTCGTCAAGCTGTCGGTCATAGGGTTGAAGGTAGTACGGCCAGAATATGCCAGCGCTGTGACAAGCTCTGGGGAGGCGAGGAAGTTCATTGTCTGGCGGTTGCCGTCATTACGACCGGGGAAGTTGCGATTGTACGAAGTGAAGATAGCGTTATCCTCGCCTTTAGCGACGCCATCAGTCCGCTTCCACTGGCCAATGCATGGCCCGCATGCATTAGCCAGGACAGTACCACCTGCAGAGGCAAAGGTGGAGAGCGTCTGGTCGCGGTCGAGGGTCGCCCGGATCTGCTCACTGCCCGGAGTGATAAAGAAATCAGACTTGGGTTTGAGCCCCGCAGCAGAGGCCTGCTTGACCAGGTCCTCGGCACGGGTCATGTCCTCATAGGAGCTGTTCGTGCAGCTACCAATCAGTCCAGCTCCGAAGGTTTCGGGCCAGTTCTTCTCGCGAACAGTGTCGGCGAAGGCGGAAAGGGGAACAGACAGATCCGGTGTGAACGGTCCGTTGATGTGTGGTTCCAACGTCGACAGATCAATGGTGATCAACTGGTCATACTCGGCACCGTTGTCGGCACGCAGAAGGTTTTTGGGACCCGAAGCGGCAATCTCCGCGGCCGCCTTAGCGACATCTCCACGGTGTGTCGCCTGCAGATACGGGATCATGCTAGGAGAGAATGGGAACACCGAAGTGGTAGCACCCACCTCAGCACCCATGTTGCAGATAGTAGCCTGGCCAGTGCAGCTAAGAGTTTCCACACCCGGTCCGTGATACTCAATGATGAAGCCAGTTCCTCCACGGACGGTGAGCTTGCCTGCCAAGTGCAAGATAATGTCCTTGGGAGCAGCCCAGCCGTTAAGTTTACCCTCCAGTCGCACACCCAGAACGCGAGGTGCCTTCAACTCCCAAGGAGCATCAACCAACGCATCCACGGCATCAGCACCACCAACACCAATGGCAATAGCGCCGAGACCACCCGCATTCGGGGTGTGGCTGTCAGTGCCCAGCATCATCAATCCAGGGGCAGCGTAGTTCTCCAGGACGCTCTGGTGAATAATACCAGCACCGGGGGCCCAGAATTCGATACCGTAGCGTTTGGCCGCACTCTCCAGGAAATCGAACACTTCACTGTTACCCTTGATTGATGCAGGCAAATCGGTGTCGGCACCACGCTCACCCACAATCATATGGTCGCAGTGAATACTAGCGGGTACCGCGGTCGACGGAAGACCGCACGACATGAACTGCAATAGAGCCATCTGTGCTGAGGCATCTTGCATCGCCACACGGTCCGGCTTCAACTTCAGGTTGGCCTTGCCACGAACATCACGTCCATTGTCCGTGCCGGTCAACAATGACTCTTCGGGATTTGCCAGATGGGCGTAGAGGATCTTCTCCGCTAGGGTGAGAGCCCGCGACGAACCCAAGACACGACGGACTTCCTCCAAGTTGCGCAGGATTTTGGGGTAGGGGGGCATGCGAGAGGACATCGAGGAAGCCTCCGTGGCCAGACCACGGCGGTTGAACAGCCCTTGTGGGGGAAGGCACTTCGGAGCCAGCTATGATTCATACCGGAGGTTAGTACACGGAAGATGTATAGATCATCGAGTAGAAGGCAGCCATTGAGGTTACTTACCCTGCGAGAGGCGGTGGCCCGCTGCCAAACAAGCTGCCTCACCATCGTGCCGCCTGAATGTAAATGAATTGGGGAAGAAGAGAGAAGGACATGAACTGAGTTCGATGGCGATATTCTTTTATTCTTTTATTTTGACCTTCGGCTGCCTTTTACCCCCATGCTGATTGGACGACCCCGTCGCCGATGCCGGGCCGACATTCCAAAGGATCCATCTTACCGTACTGTACTCGGGGCCCCATATCTCGACTACCGAAGTCCCGCCGGTTTTCAGGTATGATACCGTATTACCAACTTGATAAGTTTTGACATTAGTAGATTTGATGACAACTACTAGTACCACATGGAGCAACAACACAGATTGCAATGCGCCAGACAAAACGCCGATAAAATACGAGAAGAGCAAACAGCCTCACGATCGCCGAGGTCGAACAAACCAAGTCCGTCCCAAGATGTCCTCCAGATCGCCATTAATACATGAGAGATGGT